TATTTGATTTGTTCTTGGTCTAAATCCCCAAACATCCAGAAGCGAGGTCCTTTCCCTTTGAAGAGACGTTTGCCTTGTTGGTTTTTTGGTTGTCCTGACAACTTTTATTTGGAACATCCTTTCTACGAAAAGTAGATGGCGGTATTGGGCAAAATCTGAGTACATGAAAAGATGCTGATTATTATAAATACTGAAAATAGTTTTGCTGCATTTTTCTTTTCTTTTTTTTAAATACTGAACATTAATATTTTGGATTTATAGGATTTATAAACTTCAAAATCAAACAAAAAGTGCACAGGGGTAACTTAAATAATGTGTAAGAATAATGTGTAAATAATGTGTAAGAATCTCTTTGGGTAAAAGATTCATCAGAATAAACAGCAAAAATCAGTCCAAGGGCACTCAAAAAATGTGGAAAAATATTTAAAAGCCTTTATTCACATGGCTAATCCTTAAAAAAAAGGTTTTTACATTGTTAAAGTGTTTCACAAACAGACATACAAATTTCATAAATAAATGCTGTTATATTTGAACTTTATATTTATCATAGATTTTGATTTGATTTGAAATGGTTTCTATGAAAAGTTACTGATTATTTATTTCTGACCAGCATTATGCAACAAACCAGAACATTTAATTACAACAAAATATTTTTTTTTAAATAGTAAATTCTGAGCGAAAAAGCGATGTATATATAAATATATAAATAAATATAAATATATAAATAAACATATATATATATATTCATTCATTCATTCATTTTCGGCTTAGTCCCTTTATTAATCTGGGGTCACCACAGCAGAATGAACCACCAACTTATCCAGCATATGTTTTCCAGCTGCAGCCCATCACAGGGAAACATCCATACACACTCATTCACACACATACACTATCGACAAATTTAGTTATCCAATTCACCTATACCGCATATCTTTGGACTTGTGGGGGAAACCGGAGCACCCATAGGAAACCCATGCACACTCCACTTAGTGGTTAGCACTGTCACCTCACAGCTAGAAGGTTGCTGGTTCGAGTTCCATCTGTGTCAGTTGGGATTTCTGTGTAGAATTTGCATGTTCTCCTCATGTTAGCGTGGGTTTCCCCCGGGTGCTCCGGTTTCCCCCACAGTCCAAAGACATGAGATATAGGTGAATTTACCATAGTGTATGCGTGTGAATGTAAGAGTGTATGAGTGTTTCCCAGTACTGGGTTGCAGCTGGAAGGGCATCCACTGTGTAAAACATATGCTGGATAAGTTGGTGGTTCATTCCACTGTGGCGACCCCTGATGAATAAAGGGACTAAGCCGAAAAAAAATAAACGAATGACCATATAAACACACTGACGTATTGTGATCACTGCAATGACCCCATTTATATGTGATATGGGATGCATATGCACAAGCATTGAAATAGTAGACCTACATTACAACATTACCACATATTTATTTATCAATAGTTTAGCAGAAATGTAGAGATTTTTTAACCAGTTTTACTTGATGTGTTGCAAAATTCTTTTTTAACAATACTTTTTAACAAGACGTTTTTATTTATTTATATTTTGTTGTAAACACTTTTAAACAGGATTGCATTTTTAACTGCATACACTACATACATCCAATAATACAGAATAGGACTGCACAATATTGGAAAAATTTGACATTGTAAAATTTATATATATATATATATATATATATATATATATATATATATATATATATATATATATATATATATATATATATATATATATATATAACCCTGGCGACCCCGGATTAATAAAAGGACTAAGCCGAAAAAAAATGAATGAATAAATGAACTTCGATACTGTTGTAGTTATACTGATCAATACTCTTTTATACCCCTTGGGGTATGTATGATTTTGGGCTTGACTGTATATTTAAATTTAGTCATTTTCATACTGTATTTCATTCATTCGTTTGTTCATTTTCTTTTCGGCTTAGTCCCTTTATTAATTAGGGGTTGCCACAGCTGAATGAACCACCAACATATCCAGCACATGTTTTACACAGTGGATGCCCTTCCAGCTGCAACCCATCTCTGGGAAACATCCATACACACTCATTTACTGTGAACAACTTAGCCTACATAATTCACCTGTACCCGGAGAAAACCCACGCGAACGCGGGGAAAACATGCAAACTCCACACAGAAACACCAACTGACTCAGCTGGGCTCAAACCAGCGACTTTCTTGGTGTAAGGCGACAGACTAACTAATTCGCCACCGCGTCACACTTTATATAATGTGTTTTGCAAATGTAATCAGCAAATTATGAGTAATCAAAATTATTCATATCAGATGCTGCTGCTTTTAGAAACTGTATAAACGTGTAAAGCTGTTATTTGGAACATAGAGTTTTTCAGTCATGCTATGTTTAAGAATTTGAAAAAGATAAGAAACATCCATATTTTTGAAACATTGACTACAGATTGGACAAAGGTATGTCAGTTTTTTTTTAAATTGCTAACATAAGTTTGTCCAATCTGTAGTCATAATTACACAATGAAAATGGTTGTCAGCAAATGAAAAAAAAAATGTAACTACCTGTACCATGCCAAGAATCATAGCTCACCTGCTTTGTTTTGTAAAAAGACCTTTAAGTGTTTTTTGTCACTTCCGGTTATTTATTTTTGTTTTCTTGTCTATCTTGTTAGTTTTTGGTTAGCCCTATCTCCACATCCCTATGTATTACTGTAAACCCTTGTGGTTGCCTTTTGCAATGTCTGGGTGTTCTTTCTATTTCTTTAATAAATACTAAACTCCATTTGGAAATTCTTTGCCTTCATTGAACACTTTACAAAATGTTGCTTGAGTTTTTGCTGATTCATCCTCTTCTCTGAAATAAGGGTCAATAGACACCTCCGTTGTCAATTATTAACTCTGATATGATAACTGATTAAGGCCTGACTTACTGAGAGCCAGTGGGAACTGGAATGAACCACTGTTCATTCTACTGGAATTATGTTTTTCATTTTCAAAATATAACTTTGAAATGTCAAATTTTAAATTGTAAAATATCCAGTTTAGCAATCCCCTGGAATTTGAAAAGTCTGTGAATAGGGCTGTTGTGTTTGTCACAAAAAAAAATCAAGTAAATTTGCAATTACTAGTATCATGTCATAGAATTCCTTGAACTACTTTTAAGCATGTGGTTATTTAATTCTGAAAATACAACTTAACTAGTATCATTCATTCTTTCTATAAGTGTGATACACAAAGTGATATATATGTGTGCTGGAATAAGTGGAATGAGTATAGAGTTATGAAAGGTCAAGGATGCTTGAGGTGACAGATGAGATAAGTATTTTTTATTAGCTTTTTTTTTTTTAAGAAAAGAGCAAAAAAAAAAACTTTATTGCTGAAAAAAATTGTGAACTTTATTTACCCTTTAACTAAACAGGTCTTACATCATATTGAAAAAAATGGCTTTGTTTGGTTTTGTTTTTTTACGCAGACACACCTCTAAACGAGCTTTCTGGTGTAAGGATGGTTACCTATTAAACTGATGTCTTACCAGGGAATGGACTCATACTTGCCATAAATGTATAATCATTTATAATGTATTATACAATACTAAAGTAATCTTAATTGTAATTGTGCATTGTGTCACGGCATCATTTCTTCATTACTGATTTAAAAAGGACGGTATGTGTGCTGACCTTCACTAATGCACCATACGTAAATACATGGAAAATGTTTTTTGACATACTTTTACTTTTGTGTTTTATTGAAAATATAAACAGAAATCAAAGAATTTATCACAATAAAATTACTTAATTTAGCATAGACTTTAAATCTATAAAAATGACAACATATGAATACAGCAATGCATAAACAATTCACAGGTTTATTAGTTATAGATCAGGAAACAAGCTTTTTAAATTAAGTCTAACTTTATCAAGATGGCTTTGTTAATTGATGATCAGAGACCATTTAAACATTTTTTTCTGAAGTTTCATATTCCGAGGTACAAGTTAGTGTAAGCTCTTCAGCTAACTTGGTGTTTTGGCCAGAGAACTGGAGCGGCCATGGCTTAACCTTGATTGTGTGGTCAGTGAACTATTTTTCTGTTGATCCTGATGTGTGCTTTGGATCACTGTGCCTTTGAAAGATGCATCCATGGTCTTGTTGAAGAAGGTGTTGATTTAATTTCTGCTAGTATTTAGGGTTTATTAGAATTGATGATGCCATATTTTGACGAGTTGTTCAGGGCCTTCAGAAGAAAACTAACACCAACATCTACTCTTCGGTAGGCTATTTTACACCACATTCCCTGTTGTGTTTTCAAATAACTATATTTTGGTCTCATTTCACCATAGAACCCAGAAACAATTGCATTTCAGTAGACCTTCAGTTTGTTGTTCGATGACAGTCAAGCTCTGCTTGTTAAAAAGGTCCAGATGATCAGGACACATAGTTTGGTGGAAAATTAAATGTCTTCCATATTGTGCATTTAAATATCTCATTTATCATTGCATAACAAATGCCAAGTTTTGTTTATTTCCCCAAATTGCAATGATAATATTGATTCGTATCGAAACTTCTAGGAATTTTGCACTTCAGTGAATTTCACATGATCAAATATTATGCAATAGACAAAAATAGTACAAAATCAATCAATTCCTTATCCAAAGTGTTGTTGAATTGCCAGGGCTGAATCGCTTCCCAGACAGACTCAGTCAGGTCAATAACCTTCATACAAGACAGTCTGATGCAGGCATAATATGATTTGGCCCTTAAATTATTGGTAGCTGTTTCATATTGATATGATATAAACGTGAAGCTTTTCTCACAAGTCTTGGTGGTTGCAGCAAAGCGTCACACAAAAGCCAAGTCTTTGGCATGTTTTGCACTATTTCATCATGCTTCTAAAACTTTGGAAACGGAACTTTTTAGTTCCACCCCCTAGCGTTTGTCATAACGCTATTGGTAGTCTATGGCTGGCCCGCAATACAGTTCTGCTGAAATAAATAGCAACAGTGCCTGCTGAATCTTTCTTTCGTGCAGAGGAACGGCTCTTATTGGGACGTGCAAAGGTATGATACGTTTAATATCTACACAGAACATGTAGAGTGATGTCAAATTCATGTAAGAGTCACACATGTTGTTTGCAAAGACAAGTTCCATCGAAGGACAAAATGCTCTGAGCATACATGCTGCGTAAATGTTGGAGTGTTTGTATGAGCGCCTTAATATATGATATGGCTATTATTTTACAGCTAACCTCTAACTAAATTTCATTATAGCTTTGTAACTTCAATTTAATGCTTGCGGTCAAAGTGCTGCTAGTTAAAAGCACTTGAAAGTGTGGTCGCAACTTATCTCGAACTTTGTTTGACCCCTTTCTGCACTTGTTCCAATCAATATATTCACATTTTTTTCTTCTATTTTTGCCCCATTTATTTGAAAAACGTTGTTTTCTGCTTGGAAAGTTTTTCTCGTGATGTAGCGATTCGGTGTCAATCTAGCGAATGGTTCATTCCAGTAAACAAACTGATCTTTGGTCAACAAAACAACTCGATTTTTTCCTTCGGACGTGACCGACATTTAGAACTAACCGAGACCCGCGAGCAGCTTGAAAAACTATGCTGTTGCGTCTGCCCCTGCTAATCGGATTTGCGAATTTGCGGCTGTCAAATAAGCCGTATTAGTCACTTTATATATTATATAAATCTTCGAAATGTGGATATCCCTCGCAAGCCTAATATTTCCTCGAGTGTTCTCTGAGCGGGCGGATGATGCATATCATTGTTGAAGTCACGTCGCACGACTGCAGGCGTCAGGGGCGGTGACGTGTTGTGAAATGTGTTATGTGTAATATGTATTAAAAATTAACAAATTATTATGTATAAAACGTATTAAAAATTAATTGAAGTCTAACAATTTATTGTTTGCATGAACTATGACAAGACATTGAACCTTTTAAAGATTTAACGCTTTAGCAGCTATTCTGAACATGTCAAGAACATTTAATTTCATAGTCAATGTTTATGTAACAAGTAAAAAGAAGTAATCTAAAAACAAATTTTAAAAAGTTATATTTGCATAATTTTGATTGCATAAGTTGCCTATTTCGTATGCACTATGGTCAACACTAGTGGTCAAGTTTGAAATTAGTACGATTTTTTACATTTCTTTAAAAATCACAAAGGAAGAATTTTTTTTAATAATGAATGCTGTAGAAAGTGAAATTGTGAAATGTTGTTGCAATAAAAAATTACCAATTTGATTGAATGGAGTTCGAAATGTAATCAATTAATATGGTTTAAAGCTGAATTTTATAGTCACGTAATCCTTCAAACATTCTAGTATCATAGTCTGCTCCAGAAGAATCATTATTAGTTTTGTTGTTATCATTTTGGTTAATTGATACCATACCCTGCAGGCACAGGACATCAACATGATGCCATTCTGTCGTTGTACCCCAACGTACCCCAATGTCGTGGGGATGTTGGATTTTGTTTGGAAAGGAAAATCGGTTTTAACCTAAAATCAACCAAACATCAACCTCTAATCATGTTACACCTTGACGTTGTGTGGACATTACCACTATGACATCTATCAGACGTTTGATTATGATCACTTTCCAACACAACCTAAAATCAACCAAATATAAACATAATTTGATGTTGTTATTGGACGTCAAAATAACAATGTCCTTAGACACTGGCTAGACATTGACTTTTGGTCATCTGATGTCATGACCTCAATCTAAACTTATATTAACGTCTTATGATGTTGTGTGCCTGCTGGGTACATTTCAAATGTACAATTAAAAACATATTTATTCTGTTCATCACAATAAATTGTTCAAGGGTGAAAGTGAATCTATTTCTAATGTAGAAACCTGCAAGCTATTATTTAAAACTAATTTTTTTATTGAAGAATTAGCATTCATTCATTTATTTATTTTCTTTTCGGCTTAGTCTCTTTATTCATCAGGGGTCGCCACAACGGAATGAACCACCATATGTTTTACACAGCAGATGCCCTTCCAGGCGCAACCCAACACTGTTAAACACCCAAACACTCTTGCATTCACACACATAAACTATGGCCAATTTAGCTTATTCAATTTACCTATAGCGCATGTCTTTGAACTGTGGGAGAAACCAGAGCACCCAAAGGAAACCCATGCCAACACGGAAAAAAACATGCGAACTCCACACAGAAACGCCAGCTGTCCCAGCCGGGGCTTGAACCAGCAACCTTCTTGCTGTGAGGCGATCGTGCGCCATGATGTCGCTATCAAAGAATCCTAAATGTGAATGTATCAGAGTTTCCATGATACCATGAAGCAAGATAAAACTTTTCAGCAATGATAATTGTAAGAATTATTATTTTGTACCGAATAACTGATCATAAAATAACAGAGTAAATCTTTAAATACATTACATTTTAAACTACATTCAGTATTAAAAGGTATTTAAAATTGTAATAATGTTTTCAGCATTTTTATCAAATAAATGCAGCCTTGGTGAACAGATTTGGCTTCTTTCAAAACATTAAAAATCTTACTGATTCCAAACTTTTGACTGGTAGTGTAGGTGGATAGAGCAATGTTTTGAAATAATTGTAGGACAAAAACAGCATTTTTTTTATTTACGATGGGCTTTTCAACTGAGCTTGATCAAGTTAATAAAAGGCAGCAGTAATAGTCTTAATAAAAAAAAATGTGAGTATGACTATTAGTTATTTTGTTTAGATAACACTTAACTAGAACCATTCTTTTGCATTTTATTGTTCATTGATATGCTTGCTTTAATAACAAATAATTTTATGATGCCTTCATACAGTCATGTATTGGTAAGCAAGTTGTCATAATGTTTGTTTGCCTTGTTATCAGTATAGACAGGAACAAAAAAAATCAATAAAAATGTTTTTCTGATGTGTGGGACTTTGGAAACAAATTCTTAATCTTTTACTGTCCCACATACATGTCTGAATTAAACGTACAGTGGTAGTATCCTATCATCAACACCCCAAAATTTCTCTACTGCATGTGATAAATGACAAATAATGTGTGACTTCATCTTGGTTATACAATTTATTCCAGAGATAGATTTACTACCTATCCCAAATAGGAAGAGTAAGGAAAGGAAAGAAAAATTCAAGTGCAAAGCTGGTATTGTTTATCAATTCCCATTGTCTTCCCAGAACCACTTCTTTCCTTTTTTTCCCCAATTTTAGGAAATTAGCATATTGTATAAGGAGTTACAGAAAAACTGTGGTGTAACTAAAATCTTACATCACAACTAAGTAAGATGAATAATTGTATATCATGTTAATAATAACATATAGTTAATAGTTACTATATCAACATTACAAATACTAGTACATTTGTTCAGTTTTGTGTGTACCTAATCAATATATGTTGTTAAACTGTCAGAGGTGATCCACACTGGCCCCTGAACCCAGTTTATATTTATTTTTGGTAAATGGCAAAGTTAAGTGTCTAACTTGCAGGTATGGTCTTAGAGAACAGAACTCTGACTTTGCTGACTGTTACAAACACAAATGCTGATTGATTAGGCAATTGTTTTAAAAGATTCTGCTTTGTGCAGAGTCAGTGGTATGCCATACTACCTTTACCTGATATTCTCTTGAACATGGCCTTGTGTAACAAGTATAGGCCTGTGAATGTAATAATTCCAAAGTGACTTGACAAGCAATTTATTATGAGAACCAGGAGTACTGACAGACAGTTCAAAATTAAGTTTAATATTCATATAAAAACAGTCTAAAAGCTAGAGGCGTGAAATGCACAAAGTGTGGTGAAGAAAATGCAATTGTTTATGGTTGAATTATCTGCTTGTAAAACAGGTTTGATATTTTTTCATACAAACACTCACCGGCCACTTTATTAGGTACACCTGTTCAACTGCCTGTTCACGCAAATTTCTAATCAGCCAATCACATGGCACCAACTCGATGTATTTAGGCATGTAGACATGGTCAAGACGATCTGCTGCAGTTCAAACTGAGCATCAGAATGGGGAAGAAATGTGATTTAAGTGACTTTGAACTTGGCATGGTTGTTGGTGCCAGATGGGCTGGTCTGAGTATTTCAGAACCTGCTGATCTACTGGGATTTTCACGCACAACCATCTCTAGGGTTTACAGAGAATGGAACAAAAAAAAGAAATTATCTAGTGAGCAGCAGTTCTGTGGGTGCAAATGGCTTGTTAATGTCAGAGGTATAAGGAGAATGACCAGACTGGTTCCACCTGATAGAAAGGCAACAGTAGCTTAAATAACTACTTGTTACAACAGAGGTATGCAGAAGAGCATCTCTGAAACACAATACATCCAACCTTGAGGCATATGGGCTACAGCACCCCACACTGGGTGCCATTCCTGTCAACTAAGAACAGGAAACTGAGGCTACAATTCTCACAGGCTCAGCAGTATTGGACAATAGAGGATAGGACAAATGTTGATGGTCTGAGTCTTGATTTCTACTGTATTATTTGCATGGTAGGGTCAGAATTTGGCACCAACAACATGAAACCATGGATCCATCCTGCCTTGTATCAACAGTTTAGGCTGGTGTTGTAAAGGTGTGGGGGATCTTTTTCTTGGCTTTTGTGGGGGATCTTTTCTTTGAGCTCATTAGTACCGATTGAGCATTGTCTCAATGCGAGTATTCTTGCTGAAAAGTCAGTGTGCCCATCTTCTGATGGCTACTTTCAGCAGGATAACGCACCATGTCATAAAGTGTAAATCATCTCAGACCTGTTACTTGAACATGACAATGAGTTCACTGTACTCAAATGGCCTCCACAGTCACCAGCTTTGGGATGTGGTGGAACGGGAGATTTGCATTATGGATTTGCAGCCGACAAATTTGCAGCAACTGCATGAAGCTATCATGTCAATATGGACCAAAATTACTGAGGAACATTTCTAGTACCTTGTTAAATCTATGCCACAAAGGATTAAGGCAGTTCTGAAGGCAAAAGGGGTCCAACCTGGTATTAGTAAGGTGTACCTAATAAAGTGTCCGGTGAGTGTATATGCTATAGTGTGTTGTACTACAAGTAATTAACAATAGTGGTTCTTTTAATTTCAGATGAAAATTGCAGTGATTGGCCAGAGTCTCTTTGGACAGGAGGTATACAAAGAATTGAAGAATGAAGGCCACATGATTGTTGGTGTATTCACAATCCCTGACAAAGATGGAAAAGTAGACCCACTTGGTAAGATTCTTATTCTCTAAGCTTCGATCTTTTTGTAAGATGTAATTGATTTGTTTTTACCATCAAATTTGACATTGGGTTCCTAGAGGGTTAAAGGTTTATGCAAAAACTAAAATGACATCATTCCATCATTTATTCACCCTCATGTTGATCCCAACTCATAAGAGATGAGTATATTCATTGTTCATCAAAATATATTTTGAATCAAACACGAGAATACTGTGGGTTTATGACTTCTTTTTCAGTATACTCTATTGTCAGATATTTACGTAAGCTGCAAAAAAGGTTACTTTAGGAATAATAAGTAAAAATAAATTGTGTATTGCCTTATTGTATACACATTAGGGCTTCACGATATTGGAAAAATATAACATTGCAACATTTTTTACAATACAACTTTACTTAGAGCAGTTGAATAACTAATTGAAAATATTTTTTCATTTTAGATTGATTTGGATGATTCTGTAGGGCAGTGCATGAAATATAATAATCTACAAGTATATATAAATCCAATAAAATTTTTTATTCATTTCATTAAGCGTTTTATTGTTTTCCTGAGAAGTCGAACTGTATTCAGGTATACAGTAATTGAATAATCAAATCCAAAATAATACTGCATAGTCTTCTTTTTATAAACAATTCAGTAAAATCAATCGTTGTTAATTTGTCAATGGTACTAATGGTACAATTTCTTATGCCTTGATGCTTTTAAAACCCTCACACAGTCACAGGCCACAGAAACACTTGCAAAATAATAAATTATAATTTAGACTCAGGCGAGGCAGTGGCGCAGTAGGTAGTGCTGTCGCCTCGCAGCAAGAAGGTTGGGAGATACTCGACCCCCAAATTTTAATTTTATCATCATATACTCACTCTCATGTGGTAATAATGGACATATTATTGAACAGATTAATGAACAGAATCTATCATTTGGACACAAATCAAAAATTAGCATCATTCATCAATTTTCTTTTCAGCCTAGTCTCTTTATTAAATTTTGGGTCGCCACAGCGGAACGAACTGCAAACTTATCTAGCTTATGCTTTTAAGCAGCGGATGCCCTTCCAGCTGCAATCTATCACTGGGAGACTTCCATACACACTCATTCACACACACACACACATACACTATGGACAATTTTAGGTTACCCAGTTGACCTATACCACATATTTTTTGGACTGTGGGGGAAACTGGAGCACCCGGAGGAAACCCACGCGAACAAAGGGAGAACATGCAAACTCCACACAGAAATGCCAACTATCTGAGCCGGGGCTTGAACCAGCAACCTTCTTGCTGTGAGCTGATTGTGTTACACACTGCGGCACCGTGCTGCCAAAATGAATATCCTTGAGTATTATTTAGTTTACACTTAATCTTTTCACTTCAGAAAGCATTGGTCCAACAACTGGGTTTAAATGGATAAATGTTATTTTCACTTTTTGAAGTGTCAAATTTGAAGAGCATAGACTTAAAATTATGCGGTCTAACAGATGCATAGATTGGGTTTCTAACATCATAACATGTCAGAATGATAACAATAATAAATACCTTTGAAACTTTGAGACAAGGTTAATTAAGGCTGTTAATGTCATCAAATTTACAGTCAGTCATTTAGCAGGTGTTTTTGTCCAAAGCGACTTACAATTGAGGAGGCATTCAGCAATTCAACAGGAAGAGGCAATATACCCAAGTGCTAATTATACAAAGCAACTGTTAGTGCTCAGAGCATGCTGGATTGAAGCACACTTCATAAATGCTGATGTTGAGTGATTGTCAGAAAGTGTCTGGTGCAAGTGTCGGTTAAAATGAGAGAGAGATGAAAGTGGTTTTTTTGTACAGTTGGTTTGTCAAACCCACTCACCTGTATGAGGCACACTCAGAATTGCATTGGGGTTGTCATGTGGTGAGGTGGAGGAAACAAGAAGGGTCCTGTTTTTTAATTGTATTTACAACTAAAACTCCAGTTTGAAACCTGTAGATGAAATATGAAATTGTGCATTATTGCAGATATAAAACTACTTTAGTTCTATTGTTTTTGATATAACTCTAATGATACATTTTTAAACTTTCTTAAGCGATTGAGGCAGAGAAGGATGGTGTGCCAGTGTTTAAGTTTCCCCGCTGGAGGCTGAAGGGAAAGGCCATTACAGAAGTGGTAGACCAGTACAAAGCAGTTGGTGCGGAACTGAATGTTCTACCTTTCTGCTCTCAGTTCATCCCAATGGAAGTGATAGATCACCCAAAACATGGTTCCATCATTTACCATCCTTCCCTGCTGCCCAGACACAGAGGTGCCTCTGCCATTAACTGGTCAGTGTGTGTGTATGTTCTCTTTATGCTGTCATTTGTGTCTGTGTGTGCATATTTGGAAACCCAACAATTAGGAGCATATTTTTTCCCAGCACCACCTTATGCTTTCATTAAACTAGTCTTGATGGATTCCTTGGACCATGCTGAGAATATTGATACTAAACTTTAATTGACTTAAATTTTTAATTAGGTTGAATTTATATTTTTTCCAAACTATTCCTAGACTGTTGGTCTGATTTCCACCAAATTCTGCTCAGATCATTTTCAGAGCATGCTTACAAAAGTTAAAGAATTCATTTCTCAAACCAGATCTTTTCATTAAAGGGGTAATTTATGTGGTTATAAATAAGAATATATTAAGAATATTTACAGTTTTCACTTGCCTAAGCCACATACCTACTATGTAGATATGCTACTCACAATAAGATAGGGATATTGTGAGAGACTAAGTGAATGTCATACATTCAGCGTTTGTTTCACTTCAAACTATTTTGGGATAGGGAGGCAATTGTATTGGGGTGATAGACAACACCACATTTTGTGTTTTCCATGTAGTGGTGTCATTGTGTACAGATGTGCCTTATATTGGGACCAATACCAAAAGACAACCCTTTTCAATGTGGCATCAATTTCAACATTCTGAGGGTATAAAAATCTGGTATTGTCAGTAGGTCATTCCAAGTTCATCTTTCAAACAGCCATGAACAGAAGACGTCACCTTATTGATGAGCAGTGTCACCTGGCCATGGTGCACCTTCAGGTCGGTGGCAGCAAAGTCGGATGTTGCTTGTGAGCTTGGTGTGCCTCATCAGCAGATGCAGAACTACTGGCAGAGTTCATGACAGACCCGGGTGTTGAGCCCTATGAGTGATAGAACGCAACAGTGACCAGTACCTAGGGGGCAGTACATTCAGACATAGTTATGCAACTGCCACACAACTGCCGGCCTGTTTACGAGATGTGAGGGGTACTGGGGTTTCCAGACAAACCATTTGCAACTGACTCCACCGCATTGGCTTGATGCCAGACGACTGTTGCAGGTGACTCTACTGACACCAAGACATTGCCGTGAATGCTTGCGGTGGGCAAAAGATCATGTGATAAGGACAATGCAGCAGTGGTCTACTGTCCAGTTCACAAAAATGATGGTCGTCAGCGATGCTGGAGAAGGTGAGGTGAGCGATACGTTGAGGTCAACATGGTCCTCTGGGTTTCCTTTGGTGGAGGAGGTGTAACAGTCTGGGTAGGCATCACCAGTCAGCGCAAAACAGATTTGGTTGTTGCAGATGGCTCAGTCACTGCACGTTCTTACCTCAGAGACATCATAGAACCATCATCATCATCTCCCAATTCTGCCAGCACACCCACAACTCTCTGTTCATAGATGATAATATTCCACCACATCGTGACAGAATGGTCACAGCTTGACTTCAGGAAGTTGGAGTCTCTCATGTTATATAGCTATCAAGATCCCCTGCCCTCAACCACACAAAGCACATCTGGGACCAGTTGAAGCAAAAACTGGATGATCGTACCCCACCCCCACGTGACCTGGCAGAACTGCATGTAGCACTTGTGGAACGCATTGTCTCAAAACAACATCATGAGGCTAGTGAAGAGCATGAGACGTTGCTGTCAAGCTGTCATTGTGGCAAATGGTTGAAACACCAGCTACTGACATTATCAATTTTTGTTATTTGGGGCTATTCTTGTTATTGTCTAAATTTTTGGGGTAATAAATATAAAACTAATGAAAATGGTGTTTCTTCTCATACATTATTAGTAATAGCAAAGGAAACGTTTACTTATTTCGTTAAACTTCAGAGCAAATAGGAAAAGCACTCATACTCCAATAACAATATCCCTAACTTATTGTGAGTAGTGTATATATAATAATATTTTAACATATTGAATCAATGCACTCTTTGGCACCTTAAAAAAGAAAAACAAAAGTCATTTCATGTTTAAAGCCCCCCAGATAAACATCATTAAACGAATTGTTTTTTGTTATTATGTAAATTGTTCTGAATTGTCCTACAATTATGTTAGATAGTTCCATCGACATAACTTATGTTTTGTTCTATTGGCTCACTACAGGACCCTCATTCATGGTGATAAGAAGGGAGGGTTTACTGTTTTCTGGGCAGATGATGGACTGGACACAGGACCAATTCTTTTGCAAAGAGAATGTGATGTTGAGCCAAATGACAACGTAAACAGCATCTACAAGCGCTTCCTGTTTCCAGAGGGAGTCAAGGGCATGGTGTGGATTATTGCAGTAATCAGAACTAGCATAGCATATTTGCATATGATCATTCAAAGTCCAGGAAGTAGTCTGATTTAGTTGTTAAGAATGACTTCACCCATGGATTTAATTTTGTGTGCATGTAGGTAGAGGCAGTCAGGTTGATTGCAACAGGGAAAGCTCCAAGAATCAAGCAACCAGAAGAAGGAGCCACATATGAGTGTATTCAGAAGAAAGAAAATTCAAAGGTGATATATTGATATATAGTTTGTCTAATTCTAATTGTTGTTTCACAATAACCATTTGTGGTTGTTTGCATAGATTGACTGGAATCAACCAGCAGAAGCCATTCATAACTGGATCAGAGGAAATGACAGAGTACCTGGAGCCTGGGCAGAGATAGATGGCAAAGTGAGTGTTTTTCCTCTTAACAACAACAATACACCAAACATGCTCTCTTAAAGGGCACCTATGATGAAAATCATCTTTTGGAAGCTGTTTGGACAGAACTGTGTGTAGGTAGGACCACAGTCATACTGGGGTGATACAAAGACAATAAGTCTTGGAACCATGAATTCTGCTGTGTGCCAAAATATTCTGTATGAGAATGTTCGACCATCTGTTAGTGACCTCAAGCTGAAGCGAACTTGGGTTCTGTAGCTGGACAATGATCCTAAGCACAACAGCAAGTCCACTTCTGAATGATTGAAGAAAAACAAAATAAAGACTTTGGTGTGACCGAGTCAGAGTACTGACCTGAATCCAATTGAGATGCTGTTGCATGACCTTAAAAAGACAATTCATGCTCACAAACCCTCCAATGGGCTGAATCGGAACAATTCTACAAAGATGAGTGTGCCAAAATTCCTCCACAGTACTGTAACAGACTCATTGCAAGTTATCGAAAATGCTTGATTGCAGCTGTTGCTATTAAGTGAGGCACAAACAAAAATTGTAAAATATATGGACGTAATATCCGTGACGTCACCCATAGGTTTCTGAACGCTGCAAAGAAGCCACAAGTAGGCGCAGCCAACCATGGCCATTTTGTTCGCGTGTCATCGCACCCACAGCGGTATACTAAACAAGGGCAAAGAGGCGGAGAGTGAACGGAGCTACAGACACCTGCTGGCATTTTGCTTGGACCTGGCTTAGACAGACGTTACTTTGGGAAAACGCTTAATACTTTATTACCTGCGACTCGTTTGTATTCTGACCACATGTGCTTGGCTGTACACTATTTCAATAAAGTGTTTAGTCTTTAACAAACACTGTTGTAATGCATTGAGCCACTAAGCACTGTTCTTATGATGTTTTTCTACAGGAGGAAAACACGAATTAAGTCCAAACACTTCAGATATAGTCTGTGTTAGTGAATGCAAGGCTATTGATGAAATCCAGCATAACACTGTATGACAACGCTGCAGATGACTGTTCTAGAGTCTACAGCTAATCAATCTGTCATATTCTGGAGTGCTTTACAACTCTAAAGAAAAATATAAATGATAAATTATCTTAAATAAAACAAATACATTTATAGAGATCGTGTATAAGTATATAACTTTAATCACATGGGAAATTGAGGTCACGTGAATGGTTTGTGAGCACAATGAAGTGCACACAGCATCCCTTATCCTCTGATAATTGTAAAAAAATAAGCCCAAAAGGCAACTGACTGTGTAAAGCCACGTAAAACAACACAAAAATATGATGAATATGCTGAGTTCAGTGGCTAATCTGCCGGAGTCAGGTGAGGTGAAGTGGCGGTGACCAGCGAGACCTAGCTGTCTCTCAAGTGGCCATGCCCTTACTTTTGCAAACTTAATATAGCCTAATAAAAAGGAAACAAGTGAGTTATAAAAATTCACCCCCTCACAGTTGTCATGAAGGGTAATATTAGCTATATGAACCAAAATCGTTCTTTGTTTCAGGCTGTAAACACCTTTTTTTCTGTTGTAAAGTTGGTCATTCTAACAGTGGATTCAATTGGAATTTGCTCTATTATGGAGCCAGGACTAGAGGATTTTTGATGAATTGTAGTTTCAGTTACTTCCGTATTGGCATCCCAAGGGAGAGTGGGTGGTTGCTGCTTGGGTACAACCAGTTATTTGGTTTAGGGGCAAATACTTTTTCACACAGGGCTATGTATTTTTTTTGCCTTAAAAACCTTCATTTCAAGACTGCACGGCATGTTTACTTTTGTGATCTTTGGCTAATATTGAAAATTAGTTAGATGATCCGAAATATTAAAGTGTGACACCCATGTAAAAAAAAGAAATCAGTAAGGGGCAAGCACGTTTTTACACCACTGTGTGTGCAACTAAACCAGTATGTGCTGATTAAACTTGTTTTTTTTTTGTTATCCTGGCTTTCTTAATTCTACTTTTTGTGCAATAACCTTTAGCAAACAACAATAGCCAGGGGAAGGATTAATAAACAGTCTAAATTAATTGGAAACAGGCATGGCTGTTTGTGTTATTAACTACTAGGCTGAAAATGTTGGGAAATGGTGTCCAGAAGTAACCACATGGACTAGATACAAAATATTATACATGCTTAAATGTGTATGTGCTCATGTACATTATTACGTTTTAGGAAAAAAAACATTGTAAAGTACACTAAATTTGATGTAGCGTAGGGTGTCCACATATAGATTATATTTTTTAATATCACGAACAACATATATACTATTCTATTTTAAGTATGTATAAATATGGACTCTTATATGAGCTTGTAAGTATTTTGCTATTGATCTCCCTTTCATCTGCCCATTATATCCTTTCCTCACTTATTTTCTTGCTCTCATTTATCTCAGTAATACATTCCTTCACATTAGTTAAAGCATGTAAGCAGCCTCAGAACACTACTGCTTAACCCTCGTCTAACCCTAGCACTTTTTGTGTGCATTGGTTGGCACTTAGCCCTGCAGAGTGTTCTACTAGTGAATGGTACATTGTGGCGCCATCCCAAAGAGGCTCAAAACTGCTTTCACTGTCTTTTACCTTGACTTTTTGTTTCTGATTTGAACTGGCGAGTATGAATCAGGCTTAACCCAAATGCATTTAATCATGCAATGATGGTATTTTTTCCATTTTTCTTGTAGAGTGTGTCATTTTATGGATCCACTCTGTTGGAAAATGATCATTTTTCAAGTAATGGTCAACCTTTGAAAATCCCTGGAGCAAGTCGAGCTGCCCTGGTTACCAAAAATGGCCTTGTTCTCTTTGGGAATGATGGAAAGATGGTAAGGACCTAATATGCATTAACTTAAGCTATTAAATTTGCTAACCCTGATATGTAATTAGATGTTTTTTTTTACTTTTTTTGTGTGTGTGAAAAATGCCTTTGCAAATGGCAAAAACTTGAACATTCTTATTGTAGTAGCATCAAGTGTCAGCAGGATATGATTATTTTTACCTAAATGATTAGCAATGAACAAGGGAAGCATTACATTAAATTAACAACTTAATAAAGTAATAGTCATTCATTCATTCATTTTCTTTTCGGCTTAGTCCCTTTATTATTCTGGGCTCGGCACAGCTGAAAGAAACTTATTCAGCATATGGTTATGCAGCGGATGCTCATCACTGGGAAACACCCATACACACTCATTCACACACACACATACTTCGGACAATTTAGCCTACCCAATTCACCTGTACCACATGTCTTTGGACTTGTGGGAGAGACCGCAGCACCCAGAGGAAACCCACATGAACACACATGCAGTTCCACACAGACATGTCAACTGACCCAGCCGAGGCTCAAAACATTGACCTTGTTGTTGTGAGGCGATCGTGCTACCCACTGCGCCACCATGATGCCCTAAAGTAATTTTAAGTTAAATTCATTTAAAATTACACTCATGTCATTCCCTGGCTGTATGTTTCTTTCTTCTAAACCCAAAACAAGATATTTTAAAGAGTGTGCGAAACCAGATTGTTTTGCTGAACCCTGATTTGATATTTTGATTGACTCACCAATGCTGGGATAGTAATATTTCTATTGCAAATATATGTTCATAGGACTTAGCAATAATAAGAGGCCGAGTGAGTATACGATGGCACAGTATTGATTTTTGGGTGAACTTTTGCTTTAAGGTCAAGCACATGTGATTAGACTGTGACCAAACCAACACATTGAAAAGAATAAGTCTTGTTGATGCTTAAGAATCAATTACTTTGGTCAGATGTCAATTACAGTTCCACTGTTAACTTTTTTTTAATGGTTTAGCCCATAGCATTTGAAGCATATTCAGTGTAAACATGCTAGACCAAAATCTTCCGTTCCAGCTCTGCATCATGTGCTGGAGCTGAAAAAATCAATCAGATCGGCTCTTAGAATCAGTTTATTGAATAACACTGCCTTTGATTTTGTAAATGTAATAAGGGTCTGAAATAGATGTTGTGTAAAATTAACTAAATAATTTGATGAATTAACTTTTTTTCCATTACAATTGTTACTGTAACCCATATGGTAATGGTAAAATCCAATATTTAGTTTGGCACAATGTGCACAAACAATTAAGTTTTCTTAGTACTTGTATTACAACAGATCATCAAAATTCTATTTTCAATTGTGTTAGTACAATTCACATAATTGCAAATTATCATTTTCACTATACAAAATAATTTTCATTTGTATAAATGTTTCAATAATTTCATAAAGCCTTTCATAAAGCCATCATCAAGTTCAACTGCTTTTAATGTTTAATCATTTTTATGTCCATAGATTTTCAACTTGTCTGATTGCTGTCTGATAATTTAAAAGTTACAAATTGCTGCAAGAAATTTCAATCCAAAATAGCAATTATTTCAGTAAATACTTTTTTGCGTACAAATGTAAATGACTTATGTGCGGCACGGTAAAGCAAGCAAGAAGTTCACTGGTTCGAGCCTCGGCTGGGTCAGTTGGCATTTCTATGTGGAGTTTGCATGTTGCATGTGTGAATGAGTGTATGGGTGTTTCCCAGTGATGGGTTGCAGCTGGAAGGGCATCCGCTGTGTAAAACATATGCTGCATAAATTGGCGGTTAATTCCGCTGTGGCGACCCCTGATTAATAAAGGTACTATGCCAAAAATAAAATGAATGTAAATTACTTGACGTGTTATTTGAGCACATTGTATAAATGTTGCCAGTTTTTCAGAGCATAAGTGTAACATTTGCTGGGGTGGCTGTGTATACAGTTTTATAGTTCAGTAACATGCATTTGCATATACACTCATTGAGCACTTTATAAGGTACACCTGAATACTTTGTGGCATAAATTCAAAAAGTTACTGGAAATATTCCTGAGATTTTAGTCCATATTGACATGATAGCATCACACAGTTGCTGCAGATTTGTCGGCTGCACATCCATAATGCAAATCTCCCGTTCCACCAAATCCCAAAGGTGCTCTATTGGATTGAGGATCTGGTGACTGGAGGTTATTTGAGTACAGTGAACTCATTGTCATGTTCAAGAAACTAGACTGAGATGATTCACACTTTATGACATGGCGTGTTATCCTGCTGGAACTAGCCATCAGAAGATGGGTACACTGGGGTTATAGAGGGATTGACATGGTCCGCAACAATACTCAGGTAGGCTCAATTTGTACTAATCCGCCATATGTCTGCCGAAAAAATATCCCCCACACTATTACATCACCACCACCAGCCTGAACCGTTTAAACAAGGCAGGATGGGTGCATGATTTCATGTTGTTGACACTAAATTCTGACCCTACCATCCAAATGTCGCAGCAGAAATCATACTCATCAAGCAATGTTTTTCCAATTGTCTATTGTCCAATTTTGCTGAGCCTGTGCAAATTGTAGCCTCAGTTTCCTGTTCTTAGCGGGTGCCGTTGTGGTCTTCTGCTGCTGTTGCCCATCCGCCTTAAGGTTGGATGTTTTGTGCATTTGATGCTCTTCTGCATACCTCAGTTGTAACGAGTGGTTATTTGAGCTACTGTTGCTTTTTTTTTTATCAGCTGGAACCAGTCTGGCCATTCTCCTCTGACCTCTGGCATCAACAAGATATTTGTTCACACAGAACTGCAGATCACTTGATGGTTGTTCGTGAAAATCCCATTAGATCAGAAGTTTCTGAAATACTCAAAGCAGCCCGTCTGGCATCAACAACCAAGCCACATTCAAAGTCACTTAAATAATTTTTCTTCCCCATTTTGATGCTCGGTTAAACTGCAGCAGATCGTCTTGACCATGTGTACATGCATTCAGTTGCTGTCATGTGATTGGCTGATTAGAAATTTGCATTAACAAGCAATTGAACAGGTGTACCTAATAAAGTGGCCTGTGAGTGTATATATGTGTACATGCAGTAATGCATTAAAAGTAATGTGAGTTTAGCTAGTCTAAGTAACAAGTAAAGAAATGCCTTATTTAAAAATATTAACTTAAGTAATATTTCAATTCCGTTTTTAAAAAATGTAGTTACTTTTTAGTTCATTTGCTTTTTAAAATCAGGAAGAAAAAAGGAAGACTACATTTCTGTGAATGAAATATTCTCATTATTTTAAACACATGGAAGAAAAGGAAAAGAGGATTATACAAGTGGACAGTGGTTTTACTTTTTAATAAGATAAAAAGTACAAAAGTAGCAAATGCATATATATATATATATATATATATATATATATATATATATATATATATATATATATATATATATATATATGTGTATGTATGTGTGTGTGTGTGTGTGTGTGTGTGTGTGTATGTGTGTATTCATATGTTTGTTCTTGTATGTAGTTGCTTGTGAAGAACCTACAGTTTGAGGATGGGAAGATGATTCCTGGCTCCCAATATTTTAAAGCTGGTGTCACGTCCACAGTGGAGCTCTCTGAGGATGAAAATCGATTCGCTGAGCAGATGAGGGTGAAAATATCTGGCTTAGTTTATTAGCATGCCCTAATATTCTTTGTTTTTGTGTCTGCTTGTTATAACTCTATTAGCCATTACTCCGAGTCATTAAAGATAATCAGCATTGAAGACGTACCAGTGAGACTCAAATGCTGATTAAAGTATTTCTGTCCTCTTTGTCCAGGTGGTGTGGAAGAGTATTTTAACTAACGTAGAGAAGATTGAAGACACTACTGACTTCTTTAAGTCTGGCGCTGCATCAATGGACGTAGTCAGGTAACACGTGCATAATATTTCTCATCATATATGGATATAATTGTTTCTTTTATATTATTCAAAGATTGTTTTTGTTATTATTTTCATATCGCAGGCTGGTGGAAGAGGTCAAGTTGAGGGCAGCACAGTTGCAGTTGCAGAATGAGGACGTTTACATGGCGACAAGCTTTCAAGAGTTCATTCAAATGTGTGTGAGGAAGTTAAGAGGAGAGGATGAGGAAGAAGAGTTCAACGTAGACTATGTTAGTATATTTCTTGTTAAAGTACAAATCAAAAATATTAATAAAAAGCATATGATTTTGTTAGCTCACATTGCTAGTTTCAACACTTCATTTGTGTAAGTTATTAGGAAAAAAATAGCTTGCTCTTGTAATCTAAACTTCAAATCTGAAAATGCACTTCCTGTTTGTTTTCAGTTAAATTCTCAGATTTCATCTGTTTGAAGGGGTGTGGTTAAGTATGTTAACCACGCCTTTCCAACTGTAATGTCAACACACAGAAATGGTCAGGAGGTGTTAGGTGGTAATGACCCCCGAAACGTGTAGGGATTATTTACAGTTTTAACCCAAAGAATGACCAGATGGGGTTAAAACTCATCTTCTTCTGTCACATGAAGAAGTACCGGAGTCGAAGATTCAAATAAATAAATGAATTTATATAATAAATGAATAATTTTACTAAAGATAGTTTGCAGTTTCATCAGGAGAAGCCAGCATCAACACTCGCAATAAGTTCCTAGGCCGCTCTGCCTTACAATCACAAACCAATAACAATTATACTCTCACATAACGTCATTAACTGCGTCACACATATAGGTGTTCTAACCTGATTGATTAAAACACAGATAGTTAAAACAGATGGTTAAAACACGGAAATTTCTAAATAGGGTGCGTGCGTACTAATCTGAACAATATCTTAAGCATAAACGTCAGACATCCACTAGACTGTTCAGAGCTGACTTCTGAACTTTGATACGGTTCCACAATCAAATAGAACACACACACACTTAAAGTATAATCTGTTTCTTACCCAAGGCTGAGCGTACTCTCAGCCGTTTTTATTGAAAGTGGTTGAAAACCGGTATAATCTACATTCAGGCAGTTATATCCTTACTACACAAAGTTTATCTTGAATAAAAAGTAAAATCATTTTAAAAGAATTAACCGTAAAAACAGCAAAATCACTTAAGACATTTTAGATAGTATAAACTCATAGAAATAACAATGGAAACAGTTTCTTCCAGTCCTCAGCCCTCAGTTCCACTCAAGGTCTCTGTGACCTCTAACCTAGTTTGCTGGCTCCTGAAAATAGTTATAAAGAAACAGCAAATGCACTAAATATTCTTATATTAAGCAATGTGTTTACTTATTCATTAGTTAAAACCAATTCAAAGTTAAATACTCATTTAAATAATTATTTAATCATATTTAATAAAAATAATGAGAAACAGGATGATGAGGAAAGGATAACCGTTGATTCATGCTGAAATTAATTGGAAGGTATAAATCCGAAACCTTCAAACGCTTTTCCCTCTCTTTCAAAATGAAATAAGTTAAAGTTTAAAATAAGTTGTCACAATATAAAAAAGGTTGCAGCTTCTGGTTCATGCAGGCGTTAAAGAATAAATATACCAAGGACAGCATGTGAATAATATTTGTGTAGTGTCAGGAAATAATTATGCCAATCTAACATTTTTACATGATTTAGAGAAGAATAAAGTAATGATATATGGATACGTCTACTTGTATGTCTTTTCAAACATATTTAAAACATTATAAAATTTAGCCCCAAAATATGAATTTAATATAACGTATAGAATAAATATATTGTTTACATATATTACAAAAAATTGACAGTAGAATATTATTTCCTCAACCTTAACATGTATTGCTGATATTAAAAAGCCGGAATGCATATAAAAAAAGTCAGTTATTTCAATTGATTCACTCTAATGCTCTAATTGATTCATTTTTTTATTTTTATCTATATCTATTTATTTTTAATTATGTGTTTGCATGTCTGTTGTAGGTAGAAAAGAAACTGAACAATATGACAATTCACATCCCCCACCAGCTTTTCATAAATGGGGAATTTGTGGATGCGGAAGGGGGAAAGACCTATAAGAGCATTAACCCTACTGACGGACAAGTACATACTGGGCACACATCTCTTTTTCTATTCATATTTTTTCCTCAACTTCCATATGCTCAATATCAACTTCTGTTTGTGTGTAGGTAATCTGCGACGTGTCTTTAGCTCAGATCTCTGATGTGGAAAAAGCAGTCGCTGCAGCTAAAGAAGCTTTTGAGGAAGGAGAGTGGGGAAAGATGAACCCCAGAGACAGAGGCAAGCTGCTTTACAAGTATGTTAATGATTTATTTTACCTAACATTTAAAGTATATATGAAATCAAAACTAAACATATTTATTTTGTAACTATGAAAACACTATGAAAACAAACAGATCTGATGTTAGGTTGTAATTTGGGGATAACACACAGTTTGAACCCAAAGAATGACCAGTCTGTCAAATGAAGAAGAGCCGGAGACAGTTTGCAGTTTTATCAGCAGAAGCCAGCTTTAACACTCGCAATGAGTTCCCAGGCCTCTCTTCTTACAATCACAAATCAATAACAATTATACTCTCTACACAAGACCAGAAAGAGTGTGATTCAGGTAACAGGTTTTCATTGGTTAAAACAAAGATAGACAGCCCTAAATAGGTACGTCGATGCGGGGTCGTATCTGAATCCAGATAGGGATAGCGGCTGGAGACTTGGGTCAGGTCGCCCATAGACAATTAAGAGCTGGTCTTAGACCTGTAGAACTGACCCATCGGATGCATATACACACACGAGAGACAATCTGTTGTAAAAACCCAAGGTTGTTTCTTCGTACTCTCAGCTGTCTTATCAAACAAGTTCAAAACTGGTATAAACACCATTCAGGCTGCTATATTCTTACTGCACACGAAATCTATTTCGCATAAAAAGAAAATCACTTTAAAAAGAATTAATCATAAAAAGAGCAAAATAATTTTAGACACTTTAATATTTTTAGACACAGTATTACTCATAGAAATAACAATAGAAACAGTTCCTAGTCATCAGGCTCAGAAGTTCCACTCAAAAGGTCTCCATGACCAACCTGGTTTCATGGCTCCTGAAAATAAAAAGTACTGAGAAAAGGATAAACGTTGATCCATGCTAGGACAGATAGGAAGGCAGAAATCCGAATTAATCAGTAATAACTCTCCTAAACCTTTTTTTCCTGATCTTCCTGAATGTAATTCCTACTTTACTTTACTACATCCAATCAGCTTGCAGTAGAAAAAATTCTCATTTATTCCATTTCTCTAGGAATTGCGTCACAATATTTCAAATACTGTAGCTAGAAATTTCACGATTTATTGAGTTTCACTAATGAATGCTAGATAATTCCAAATACTGTTAATTACTTATTATAAATGTCAAAATAATAAACACACAGTAAACATTTAAAATGAGCACATCAAGTTTTTTCTCATAAACAGACAAAGTTCTGTTGCACTTACTGTAATGTATAGGTAAAGCAAAAAACTATTATGACACCTTTAACATTTGTCACTTTATTCATTATAGTTTAGAAAATCTGTCAGAACAAATCAACCATATAAAAATTATATGTATTATTACAAATTATATGTTATTTATCTTAAAACAAGCTAAATAATATGGCAGTGGGGTATGCAAAATAATGTTGTTTACCTTTTTGACATTTCCTTATCTGATTGGCATATTATTTAGCTTGTTTAAGATAAAACTCACTTTTTTCACTATTTTTACTCATTTTTTATTAAACAAGACAATATTTTTGCTTGTCTAGAAAATGCATCTTGATTTAAGAAATGTTTTACATTTTTACTTTGAAACAAGACAAAAAATCAAAGTAAGAAAAGCACATTTGCAGTGTATTGTCACAGACTCAGTGAAGCAGCTTCTTCAGTTTCTGTTGGTCTGCAGTCTACCGTATGAATATTTTTTGTGCATATTACGTCACATTTTTTTATCTGGTTTGCTATTCTTACTGATATAAGCTGTAGATGTGACATTAAACTATATATATGGCAGATTATGTCTACATCAGCCTCTGCTGTTCTTATGAAAGATTTCACTGAATTTGCAATTGTGTGTGTTTCTCAGACTGGCAGATCTGATGAAGCAGCATCAAGAAGAGTTGGCTACCATTGAAAGCATAGACTCGGGAGCAGTCTATACTCTTGCCCTCAAAACACACATTGGCATGTCTATCCAGACATTCAGATACTTTGCTGGCTGGTGTGACAAGATTCAGGTTTGGTTGTGTGTTTATATATTTGCTAGAATTAATGAATGGCACACTATTCTACCATTTCTATCCACCTATTTTTATGGCCATTTATGGATATGAGCAGGATAAACTTTAGCGTCTGTGCTTCGCATCTGATGCCTTCAACATGTTCATTGCATGTTGGCATATTGTCTTCTGAGGCGCAAATTAATGATTAAATAATGAAAAGATTCCCACAGCTTCTACTACCGCAGTAAATTCTGTTTTTACTGTTGATATTTGCTGCCAGTTAATCAGGAAGTGACGATTTTGTTCTCTTTGACTCATTTGATGGAAACACTGCTTTATTCACATGTCTTATATGCAATATTCCAGTTATGCGCATACATTTAATTTGCATCTTTGGATGGAAACAAACTAGTGTTTATTTATTTGCTATATTCGATACTTGTATATAGATCCGTGCTCTCTGGGATCTCCACTTCAGTCCATCATTTCCTCCAGTTTTTATCAGTTTAGTCACTTTATTAAATACAACAGCACAATATTGGAAAAATGTAACGTTGCAATATTTTGTTTTTGTGCGATTATATTTTGCAACACGAATACAATTTCACTAGATGACTTGAATATTTCTATTTGGAACGATTTATCATTTTAGATTGGTTGTGTTGATTCTGTAGAGGTATAAACAATACAGTGTAGATAAAATACAATAAGGAAAAAAATCCTTTTTTTTTGAGATGTCTAACAGTATTCAGAGAAAGTAGTTGAATTATCAAATGTAAAATATTATAACTTTTAAATTAATATTTATATAACTTCATAGTCTTTGTTGTATAAATAATTCAACAAAATAAATCATTATTAAAGTTACAAATGGTACACTTACTCATGCCTGAATGCTTTTAAAATCCTCATACCATCGCATGAAAATGATGAATCATTATCCCATAATTATAATGCCATGTCATGCCATGTGACTATTGCGAATGATCACATTGTGCTAACGATTCTGTAACGATTTCTTGTGCAGCTCCAAGAAGTAATTAAAAGCTCAAAGTTGACAAAGATGGGAAGCTGTTTTCTCTCTCTCTCTCTCTCTCTCTCTCTCTCTCTCTCTCTCTCTCTCTCTCTCAAATTTAACGAGGATTTCACAACTTTATATAGGACTTATAGAACTAAACATGAAAAATGCTTTTCTTTTTATCCGATGCAAGGGGAGGGGGACATTTCAACAGTGGTGTTGTTGCAAGAAAACACGAATATATCGATGTTTCTTTAAAAAGAATGAAATAAAACATGAAAAGAGAAAAACACAGTTTGATTTAAGACACATTTAGTTTTTAGTTTCATTTCTCTTTTTTTTTTTTTAGAATTTTTTTGAAATTGCACTTTAGCTTGAGAAAATTTGGTGGGAGTTGTCTGATATGCACTAGATCTGAAATGAACAATATACTCTTATCAGTCCACAGTACTCTTTGGGCCAGTTAATATGTTTCTTGGCAAATCTGAACCGATTCCAATTATGCCATTATTTCCATTAATCCTCTTCCGACTGTAACTGTACGTGTGGGTCATTTTTAGACAGTATTTTATCTATCTGGAAGGGACTGACTCGATCTTTCGTGGATCCATTTTAACTAAATTTATTCCTCATCTTCTCCGTGTTTCAGTTTTTTGTTGCCACGTTTTGAGATAATTTTAGATGAGCTTCCTATAATTTGTTGCTCATCATTAGGCTATATATTTTCCCTTCTTCAATTAACTTTTTACTTAAATTACATAATTTTTTGAACAATGTTTAATGCGACTCATTTTACATCACAATTCAGAAAGAAATAGCTGTTATTAAAAGTCCTTTCGGAAAGTACAATATTTTTTTTGTCACAATGAATGAACTTTCCCATTAAACTTAACAGTGTTATTTTGAACACACCCCTTTCAATGTTTTAGCCAGTCACATGACATAACAAATGGGTCTGTCGTTTTTCTATTAAACTACTACATCCACAAGTTAATCATTTGCTATGCAGAAATATTTTTATTGCTAAAATCAGTGGTTTCAGACTTTTTAATGATGTTGATGTTTTACTACTGTATACATAAGCTGTCGTTTTAATGCATTTTGTTGACTATGATTAGCCTGTGCAACAATGTGACTTCATGTATTTTCAGCTAAATCTCATTAGAGCGTTTGTAGAGATTTAGAGGACTGTTGGGTTAGGGGGGGATTAGAATAAATTGATGTGCAACTGCATCATCAAAATCAACTGTTACCTTCTTTAACATATTTTGGAAAAGGAGAATAATATATACGAGTTAAACTGTGACAACATTGTGGACTTATAATCCAAAGGTTGCAGGTGTGTGTGTGTGTGTGTGTGTGTGTGTGTGTGTTTACTCCTCACTCAAATTGTTGATGGGTTAAATGCAGAGGAACAATTTTGAGTATGGATAAAACCATAGCCTTCACTTGAGCATTTGTGGCAAAGTTGATTGAGACCAAAATAATTATATTTTTTTTACATTGAAATACTTAGAAGGGAATCAATCCAATCTCTAAACATATAGTTTAAAAATGTAATGTAAATGATTTTAACATAATATAGTGTGGAAAATAGTGGCTTGCCAACATTTTCAGGATGAAGTTATGTCTAATTGTTTTACATTTTAAATTTAACATAGTAAAGTCCTCAAATTATTATTTTTTTCAATTCATGCTCCTAATGACCCTAAATATTATTCAGCCCAGAATATTCTTTTAAAGGTTATTTTACTACATTATATTCCAAAACAATACTGTCACTCTTAATAGTAGAGTGACTAATGATTTTGTTATATATGACTGGAAACTGTGGTTTTACTAAAATCTGTCTTTGTGTTTCTAATATTATTTTCCACAGGGCTGCACTATTCCCATAAACCAGGCTCGACCTAATCGAAACCTTACCTTTACCAAGAAAGAGCCCATTGGGTAAAATTAAGCCTCTCTTTAATAAAACGTTTTCTTCCAGTCTTGTCATAATGAAACAAAATAATCTTGATGAACTCAAATCAAGTATTTGGTGCATGTGGAACGAGCAATGATAACATTTGGCTCTTTTTGTTTGGGTAAAGTGTGTGCGGCATTGTAATTCCATGGAATTATCCACTGATGATGCTGGCTTGGAAAACTGCGGCCTGCCTGGCTGCTGGAAATACTGTAGTTCTTAAACCTGCCCAGGTAAACACCTGCAGTTACAGCTCAATCTAACATGCGACATATAAAAACATACAACATAAGGACTGAGTAAGTGTTTCTTTGTTGATTTTTAGGTCACACCTTTGACTGCTCTCAAATTTGCTGAATTAACTGCTCTGGCAAAATTTCCAAAAGGAGTGGTGAACATACTACCTGGATCAGGTATAAATAAAACATTCACAGAACAAATGTATATTCTGACATGTATGATGTACTCTCTCTTTGTTTTGGAGATCATTTAATATTAACATTAGTCTGTTTAACACAAATTGGATCATTTTTGAGGTTAACTGCTTGTAGATGAATTGCATTTTTATCAAATGTGTACATTTCAGGGTCTTTGGTTGGTCAGCGACTTTCTGACCACCCGGATGTCCGCAAACTGGGCTTCACTGGCTCTACTGAGATTGGCAAACATATCATGAAAAGGTAAATATATGCATGTTTTTAAAATGTAATGTTTTCTTGTCAAAGTTTTTAGACTAGGGGGTGGCATTCAATAGTTTCACGCAGGTTTTCTTTTGGGTAGCATATTTGGGTAAAGCATTGCAATTGGTGACATTTTACATTTATTTATTTCAAATAAAACCATATTGCATATTTATGTTGTTGTATCTGTCCAAATACATGATCAGTCACATCTTGTGCCTGAGGGTATAGATCAGGGGTGTCCAAACTTTTTCTTATGATGGGCAAAAACCACACTTGATTGAGGGTGTTGGGCCGAAGCTAAATATACCAAACTGTGCTACGTTGAAGTTGCCATGGTAACTTCCTAACTTAGTATTATTTTAAAAGGATATAGAAAACATATTTTTATTGTATCAGTGTATGTATGTGTGTGTGTGTGTGTGTGTGTGTGTGTGTGTGTGTGTGTGTGTGTGTGTGTGTATATTACATTCTATAATGTACTTCTTACAATAAAACCATATATCAATATATGTGTGTATATATATAGTTGAAGTCAGAATTATTAGCCCCCTTTTGAATTTTATTTTCTTTTTTTAACATTTCCCAAATTATGTTTAACATGGCAAGGAAATTTTCACAATATTTCTGATATTTTTTTCTTCTGGAGTTAGTCTTATTTGTTTTATTTCGGCTAGAATTAAAACAGTTATTAATTTTTTAAACACCATTTTAAAGACAAAATTATTAGCCCCTTTAGGCTAGATTTTTTTCGATTGTCTACAGAACAAACCATCATTATACTATAACTTGCCTAATTACCCTAAACTGCCTAGTTAACCTAATTAACCTAGTTAAGCCTTTAAATGTCACTTTAAGCTGTATAGAATTGTCTTGAAAAATATCTTTTCAAATATTATTTCCTTTCATCATGGCAAAGATAAAATAAATCTGTTATTAGAGGTAAATTATTAAAACTATTATGTTTAGAAATGTGTTGAAAAAATCTGCTCTCTGTTAAACATAAATTGAGGGAAAAAATAAACAGGGGTTTAATAATTCAGGGGGGCTAATAATTCTTACTTCAACTTTATATATATCACTTTAAAATTTCTGATTATTTGAAACGTTTAATTTCAGTTTTTTTTTTTGTTGGTCAGCAATTAAACATACAAACAAAAGGTAATGTAAAAAATTACGATTACGATTCACCTCAACCTTCCCCATCATTTATCCATTTCTTCTCTCATTGGTTCGTGGGCCAAATCAAAGGTTAGTATGGGCCAACTTTGGCCAAAAGGCCCTCTGGTATAGATGCTTCTATTGTTACAAATCTATTAGAATACTAGGTTGCATTTCTTGATGTTTATAGTAGGCTTGAATACTAAAAGGAACTTGTCAAAAAACGATTGTAAATGAATACAATTACTCAAATTTGGCCATTAAGCACACAGAAAGAAAGGTCTAAAGACTTCTCTAAGCTTCTAAGCTTCTATTGTGCTTTTCCAAAATGAAGGAAAATGATTAACAATATAAACCTTTAAATGTATTTTAGTTGAGGGCAAAATTATTAGCCCTCCTGTGAAATACTTATTCAAATATTCCTCTTTTAAAACAGTAGAATTTAAATGTGTTACTGATTTTCTTTTGATTGGCTGCCATTATTATGCATTATCACAGATGAATCAACTGTAATGCAGAAAACATTTTACACTCATAATATTATAGCATAATATCAGCATAATGTCAGTTTGTTTAAATAAAGGTAACTAAAAAAAGGTCAAATAGGAAAAAAGTTGGGTTTTCATTCATATTTGCATCATAAAATGCTTGTCTGTCTTGTAGTTGCGCAGTCAGCAATGTGAAAAAGGTTTCTCTTGAGCTCGGAGGGAAATCTCCTCTCATCATCTTTAATGACTGTGATCTGGACAAGGCAGTCAGAATGGTTTGTTCACACTCAGTATTATCACAATCGTATTGAAAAATACAATGTTTTCCATTTTCAACAGTGTGTTCTGTGGAATTGCTGACATGTTTTGGTCCCTCCACTTGTGTTCTACAGGGCATGAGCTCTGTGTTCTTCAATAAGGGGGAGAACTGCATTGCAGCAGGGAGACTATTCATTGAGGAGTCCATCCATGACATTTTTTTGGAAAGAGTGGTAAATAAATGAGAATTATAAATATATATAATTTTTTTCAAAATGTTTAGCCACTAAAAGTGATACTTGAGAGCCACTTTACTGATTACGTAGGTTTTTTCTTTAAACAAGCAAAATGATCTTGTTTTTCTTTATTTTTTTAGCCCACTAGCAGATCATTTGGCTTGTTTTAAGAGAAAACTCACCTAATTTTGACATCATTTCCTAAAACCAGCAAAACGATTTGCTAGTGGGGTAAAAACAAGGTTATTTTGCTTGTTTAAAGAAAAAAGCTACTTAATTTTGACATTTTCTTTCTTAAAACAAGCCAGTATTTTTGCTTGTATATAGAAATTGCTTCTTAATTTAAGAATTTTGATAAATCAGGACTAGAAACGAGACAAGAAATCTAAGTAAAAATAGCACTTTTTGCATTACTTTGGCATGTAAATGCCTAATTATTCTATGTCTGTGTGAGGGCTTACAATGTAAAATGCCATTTTTAGAAGAGTTCAAATAATTTTTAAAGAAGTATTTGGTTTGGCAAGATGTTTGTGATGTTTTGCTTGTTGCGTGTGTGTGTTTTTTGGTTTTCTGTGTAAGAAAACCAAAAACTCCAATACCATCATGTTTATTTTTTTTTATCTATTACTTTTAATATATTAATGCTGAAATATTTGTTTGCAGCATTTTGATTTTCTAATACCCATTAACGCCATCTTTAAAGTAGACCCTAATCATTTAAGACTATTTAAATGGCATGTGTTGACTGAATTCATTGTCATTATTAATTCACCTTCGTGTTATTCCAAATACTTAAAAAAATCCCAAAGTTCAGTCAAAAATAAAATTCTGCCATTGTTTACTTATCCTTCACTTGTTTCATTCTCCCCTAAATTATTTGAAGAAAGCTAGAAACCTATAACCATTGACATCAATAGTATTTGTTTTCTTAAAGAATGAGGACAATGGATACAGGTTTACCACTATCTTCAAAACACCAGGCCCTGTAATACACCTGGTGCAATATGGCGCAAGTGTTTTTTTTTTGTTTGTTTTGTTTTTTAAGTATTTTCTGATTATTTCGGTGCATTTTCAGCTTTTGTGCCATGTTATTCATTCATTCACACATTCATTCTTTAATTTTCCTTCGGCTTAGTCCAGGGGTGTCCAAACCTAGTCCTAGAGGGCCAGTGTCCTGCAAAGTTTAGTTCCAACTCCAATCAGACACACCTGGGCTAATTAGGCTCTTACTAGGCTTTCTATAAAACATCCTTGCAGGTGTGTTAGGGCAGATGGAGCTAAAATCTGCAGTACACTGGCCCTCCAGGACCGAGTTTGGACACCCCTGGCTTAGTCCCTTTATTCATCAGGGTTGTAACAGCAGAATGAACCACCAACTTATCTAGCATATATTTTACACAGCTCTTTACAAAATTTACAAATGCCCTTTCAGTTGCAACCCAGTACTGGGAAATACCCATACACTCTCACATTCACACACATACACTACGAACAAATTAAGCTTACCCAATTCATCTATAGTGTAAGTTTTTGGTCTGTGGGGGAAACCGGAGCACCCAGAGAAAACCTAAGCCAACACGGGTAGAATATGCAAACTCCACAAAGAAACACCAACTGACCCAGCCAGGACTTGAGTCATCGATCTTCTTGCTTTGGCAGTGACTGCTAATCACTGAGCCAACATGTCGCCCCTTGTGCCACGTTGTTTAAATAGAAAATGCATTTGCCACACTCTGAGCTCATGGGTGTGCTGGTCTGTGAAGATTTTGACCGATAGTTCAAATCAGCCCATCTTTCTTAGTGTTCAGTAGATTAAAGAAACCCTTTAAGGTTTGGAACCACTTGAGGGTGAGTAAATGATGACAGAATTTTAATTTGTGGGTGACCTTTAAGTCTGTTCCAAGTTAGCAAAATTCATGTTGCTTAAATTTAACCCACACCAGACACTTACATCCAGCCCACATACCACAGGGAATGAGGGCTCTTGGCCGGTCCGCTCCTATTTGCCAGATCTGGGCCATAACAGTACCACATATCATCCAGAATTCAGCCAAATGAACCAAAACTGATCCTACTTTGGGCCATAATTTGCTTTTATTCTGGCTCAGATCCAGCCCACACCAGACACTTACATCCAGACCACATACTGAATGGAGTGATGGCTCTAGGTTGGTCTGTTCCTATTTGTCAGATCTGGGCCACAAATATGCCATAGCAATACAACATATCAGCTAGAATTCATCCAACTGAACCAGAACTGACTGTATTCCGGGCCACAGTTTACTTTTATTCTCGCCCAGATCTGACCTACACTTACATCCGGACCACATACTGAATGGAATGACATAGCTCTAGGGTGGTCTGCTCCTGTTTGCCAGATCTGGGCCAAAAATTAGTTATACTACCCATATCTGCCATGTCAAAGAGCTATGGTTTAACCAACTTAATAATTCAGGCCCATTTGTTTTAGGATAACAGGGCCACATTTGCCATATTTTCTCTGGGCCACTATAGACTCAAATGTACATTAGCAAGAGTTTACTGTGCCGAATATTTGCCGAAAGAGACCCACATGTGTTTAAAATAACTGGGCCATATTTGCCATATTTTCTCTGGGCCACTTTAGGCTCACAGCCGCATTAGCCAGAGTTTACGGTGCCAAATATTTGTCAAAAATGGCACACATATGTCCTAAGATAACTTTTCCAGATGAGCCACATTAGGCTCACATTTAGATTACATTTTGCCATAAGTGCAAAATATTTGTCTTAAATGGCCCAAATATGAATTGGAATCTTTGGCCCCTTTTGCTTTTGTACAGATGGGCCACTTCAGGCTCACATTTATTTGATCTGGGCCGGAGGAAGACCACCAGTGACACATAACTGCCTAAAGTGGCCCACATCCGTATGCTATCTAGGTTGTATTCTAAGTGTTCTTCTGTTGACAGTCTATTTACCAAAAACGAAGCTGCTTCAAAACTGACATCAAAAATAAAATATTTTACAACAATGTCTTATCCATGAATAAAAGAAGAAAGTAAATCAAATTCAATCTCTTAATCTTATAAATTGACCATATCTCTTTAGAAAACTTGCATTAAACTGCTAAATTTATCAATGAAAGTTGAACCTGCTCTTCATATTTGTTTATTTTTTAATAACATTTTAAAGTGTCATAGTGTAAAGAAACAAAAGTAAAAAACTTTTTGTCTTCGCAAGATGAACAAATGAAATGAGGATGGGTGCATTATGACAAAGATAAATTCAAAAGTCATGAAATATAATTCAATTCATGTAGGTTAGCGAAATAAGGAAGATGAAGATTGGTGATCCTCTGGACCGTTCCACAGACCACGGTCCCCAAAACCACAAAGCTCATCTGGACAAACTGGTGGAATACTGCGAAAAGGGGGTCAAAGAAGGAGCAAAATTAGTGTGTGGAGGAAAACAAGTGGAGCGTCCAGGTGAGAGGACTTCGTCAGTATTAGAATTACTCTTTGCAGGGCAACAACGGTTCAACGCTGTTTACTTTTTCTATATCTATAGGTTTCTTCTTTGAACCAACTGTTTTCACTGATGTGCAGGATCACATGTATATCGCTGTCGAGGAGTCTTTTGGGCCTGTCATGATCATCTCCAAATTCAGCAATGGGTTGGTTGAAAATATTTACCATTATCTTAAAACTGCTAATCATATATACAGTATACAGTTAAATATACAATATACAGTTGAAGTCTCCTGAATTATAGCCCCCCTTGTATATATTGCCCCAATTTCTGATTCTAAATGACAACTAATTTCTATTAACTGATTTCATTTATCTTTGCCATGATGACTGTACATAATATTTTACTAGTTTTTTTTTTTTCAAGATACTAGTATTCAGCTTAAAGTGCAATTTACAGTTTTTCTCCATTGGTTTGACTCATTTCTTGAAACAGAAATTACATTCTCAAAATTCTAAGATCATTTGGCAAAACAGTGTTACAGTTTAGCACAACACTATAGCTCACTTACAAAAGCTCATACCTTTCCCAAAATAGTTCACTCATGTGTCGAAACTAAATTTCCTTCTCATTTAAACAGTCAGTGCCCCCAAAATGCTTCATCCCTTTAGCATTGTGTAAGCCCCGAAAGTCAAAATGTTTAGATGTTTTGTCATTATGGCACAGGACCTCTAAAATATCCCTCATGTCCACCTTACAGTCTTAGCCCAATCCTTTATTGGCAATGGTTACTGTACTGTTTTTGTCTAACAGAATACACTTGTGCATAAGACTGAAAAAAGAAATAGGATTTTAGTGTAAGAGTAGCCTACAAGGTTTGACATCACACATTGCACACAAACTTTCATTGATTTGCCGTTTCCCAAATTCATCGTTCCAATGAACATTCACAAACTTGTATGCTGCAACTACACCTCTGAAACTGTAGTTAGAAACATAGTTCCTGGCTGTCAAGGAAATGGTAACTCCTTTTTTTATTGTAATGATCAACCACACAAAGTAACTTCCATATATCAGAGCAAAAAAGAATAAATAGCTGTAATAAATTGTTATCAAATGTTCCAAGGATTCACCTACTATATGGTATTCGTGGTATTATGGTCTTGACTAATTTTGACAATTGAACAGACTATTGTGCATGTGATGACTTGTACAATGAAATGAGGCTGACACATTTTGGAGAGTACAACCATTAGACTGAGAATTAACAATCAGTTTTGGATCAACAAGATCTATTCTATTGGAAATTGTTCAAAATGTATCTTTACTTAATCAATAGCAAAGATGTACTTAGACTGTTGCCATTTGATGAAATAAATGAGAAATTCAAGTCTATTATGAACAATTGGCAAGTGGTGTGGAGGCTTGTCCATGCTGTTTTGAGAATGTAATTTCTGTTTCCCGAAATGAGCCACACCAATGGAGAAAAACTGTAAATTAGGCAAGTCATTGTATTATAATGGTTTGTTCTGTAGACAATCAAAAAACAAAGGTAAAGTTGGTTTAAAATTCAAAACTACTTTCATTCTAGCCAAAATAAAACAAATAAGACTTTCTCCGGAAGAAAATATATTGTAAGATATACTGTGAAAAATTCTATGCTTTGTTAAACATCATTTGGGAAATATTTAAAAAAGAAAACTTCAGAGAACTTCAGCTGTATATAAAGCCAGCAATTTAAATGTGTACATTGCAATGATTTTTTTGAATTGTTACAATTTAGTAAGAATCTAAATCGGATATTTCTCATTTTTCTTGATTCAGAGAAGTTGACAAGGTGCTGCAGAGGGCTAATGCTACAGAATTTGGCTTAGCATCAGGTGTGTTTACACGTGACATTAGTAAGGCTCTCTATGTGAGTGAAAAGCTTCAGGCTGGCACTGTGTTCATCAACACGTACAACAAGACGGATGTAGCAGCTCCTTTTGGTGGCTTCAAACAATCTGGCTTTGGCAAAGATTTGGGTAAGACATAATACCTGGTGAATTCATTTAAATGCACATACATCTAACAGTTCAATGTGTGGTTACTAAACTAGATTTCAGTCATTTGTTAACTTGTAAGAAAGGAGTTTTTGTATAACACGGGGTGTCTTTTCCATACAGGTCAAGAAGCTCTGAATGAGTATCTGAAGACTAAATGTGTCACAGTGGAATACTAACTGACAAAACACTGGACGTATAGTAAAGATTACGGTATTTTAATGCTCTGAAGTGGCACTTCAGCTTGACCTTCAATAAATTGTCAAGTAAACTTAATCATTACATATATCTATGAATGAATGAACGAATTCCATTTCTTGAGACAATTAAAAAAATGAAATCTTGTGTTTTTCTAGTTTTGCATCATACCTGTAAATGTCTTGCTGTTTATAATATTGGAGAAATTCAAGGACCATGCATGAGACTTTATCAGTTATAATGGATGTTGTTTCACTTTATATCGTTTGCAGATCACTTGCTTAAGTTAAGAGACTGTGAAAAAGTTTTGGGTAAACCTGATTGACCCGTTGTCCTTCACTGCACTGATATTTTTGGATTGAACTGTAATAACTGAACTGTATTTTATACAGTTTTTAGAAACCAGAACTTTTTTAATTTCTTCCTTGTAAACAGATGAACATATTCCAAGGAAGTGCAAAAAAAATTTAATAAATAAATAAAAATCAATCCAGTATTGTCTTACAATTTTCTTTAGAATATTTCTTTAGTCTCTTTAGTCTTAGAGTCTATTTAAAGTGTTTTGTTTTTTGTGCATTTGTGTTGTACAATTATACAATAATTTATATATACTTTATTTGCTACACAGGTCCACCTGCTTGTTAATGCAAATTTTTAATTAGCCAACTCAATGCATTTAGGCATGTAGACATTGTCAAGACAATCTGCTGCAGTTTAAACCGAGCATCAGCATAGAGAAGAATGGGAAGTTAAGTGACTTTGAACATGGCACGGTTGTTGGTTCCAGAAAGGCTAGTCTGAGTATTTTAGAAACTGCTGATCAAATTGGATTATCACACACAACCATCTCTAGGGTTTACAGAGAATGGTCCGAAAAAGAAAAAAATTCAGTGAGAGCAGTTCTGAGGTTGCAAATGCCTTGTTAATTTCAGAGATGAATGGCCAGACTGGTTTGAGCTGATAGAAAGGCAACAGTAACTCAAATAACCACTCATTACAACCAAGGTATGCAGTAGAGCATCTATGAAAGCACAGCACATCGTACCTTGAGGCAAATGGGCTACAGCAGCAGAAAACCACACCGGGTGACAACTCCTGTCAGCTAAGTACAGTAAACTGAGGCTACACTTTGCACAGTCTCACCAAAATTGTACAATAGACAATTGAAAAAATGTTGCCTGGTCTAATGAGTCTCTATTTCTGCTACAACATTCAGATGGTAGAGTCAGAATTTGGCATCAACAACATGAAATCAGGCACCCATCCTGCCTTGTATCAATGGTTCAGCCTGCTGGTGGTGGTGTAATGGTGTAGGGAATATTTTCTTGGCACACCTTGGGACAATTAGTACCAATTGAGCATCGTGTTAATGCCACAGCCTACCTGAGTATTGTTGCAGACATGTCCATCCCTTAATGACCACAGTGTACCCATCTTCTGATGGCTACTTTCAGCAGGATAATGTGCCATGTCATAAAGCGTGAATTATCTCAGACTTGTTTTTTGAAAATGACAATGAGTTCACTGTACTCAAATGGCCTCTCAGACCCTTTATCACACCACAACTTCATAAGAATTCGGACCCCAGCTTCCCCCGCAGAAGTGGATTTCACTTTTAACAAAATGAGATTGAAGACAACATTTTAAATCAAACCTAAAATCAAACAAGTTACTCAAAAAATCTCTTTTTATAAACAAATGAAGATTTGCATGTACTCTTTCATTTAAAAATAGTGGCAACCACTGCTTTTCAATTGTGATCCAAAAAGAGATTCAGCATGTACTGTGTGTAGCAAGAGCAGTTTTTATGATTTTATTTTTTAAGCAAACACAGTCTGGCTTTAGTGAGTGACATGTAAATTCATTTTTATAAGCAAAAATGGCTTAAACCTCCTTTTGTCTCCGTTTCTTGCTGAATTTTTCCCATGTATTCTCTTTTAGACGAACAAATAAGTGATATTTTTGATGCATTGTGACAACTTTTTTTAATGATAAACTACAATCATTTTTTGCTTTTCTTTTGTTGTATCCATTGATTTCATGCAAACCCACATTTTCTCAATATTTTATAAGTAAACTTGCAAGAGAAATAACTATTTTACATCTCCTTGTTCCTGTATAAGTTTGAGTAAGAATTTCATTGTACCCGTCCCTACTGTGCATATGACAATAAACAACTTTGAGTCTTTTCATTTTGGCGATGAAAATTCAATATATGCCAGCAGGTAGCGCAATGATAGCGTTTCCAAGGCTGCAACCTCCGAAAGTGTTTTCGACGCTGCTTTTCATTCATAAGCAAGTGGTGCTCATCATGCCTGAATCCATTCAAAGGGTTTTGGGGGATGACGGGTGTAGGGTTCAAAAAACTTCTATTTGAATGCACTTCTGAATCTTCTTAACAAGACCACGGAGGTGTGGTTTCGTCGCAGTGCTTGTACATTAGTTTGTACCTTTACACCCACTAAACACCCTTTGGATCGTCTCTTGTCAACACGTCTCTTGCAAGATGTGTCGGATGGAGTAAGATGTATCATCAAACAATTATTTGGTGTCCTAATAAATATAATGAATTTTTCCCCTTTTGGAAAAAATATGTGTATGGTTTTTATACAATATATTTGTCCGTTTCATATACATTGCAATGGCTTCGTTATTGCATCAAAAAGGTTACTTGATGTAACGTTGAATGGGCGAATATAAGCTCTTCTTCTATGCATTAAATGGTGGGTTGCGAACCAAGTTTACGAGGCACACCGCCGCCTACTGTAATGGAGTTTGAAGACAACTGATCCTGTTTTTTTACATAATGGCTATATTCTGTCTATCAAACTTCTATTTCAAAAGTCTGTCTATTTATTTCTGATCAATTCCACGAGTGCGCTGGTTTGTTTGCCTGCATCTGTGCATGGTTCATCGTTTAAGATACTATTTAATGTAAATTGTGTTACTCAGGGAGGCGACTTCCGGTTTTACGGCCCTACGCGAATTCTTTACCAGACTACGCCTTTTTAGTTGCGTTATTCATGCACTCTCGATAGAGGCTTACGTGCTAAAAGTAACGAAATTAAACGGGGCGGACCCATACTTGCCTGGCAATAGACGACATTTTACTTGCGACATTTTAAGTACATGGCCGCACTGAGATGTTGTTGTTGTTGTTGTTTTGGTATAACGCTGATGTATTTTTGCGCGTTTGATTGTAAAAGCTTAGTTTTCATGCGGCCGTAAAGAGTTTAATGGACAATCCGCATACTATATTTGTGTAATTAAACATATCACGACCGATAATTAGAAAAAAACAAACATTTTTTTTACAAACTAGATAACGATAACTTTTCTTTGTGCAGTAACTTACTCGGGTAAAAAAGCTTTTTTTTTATTCAGCTTTACCTGACGACAAGGTAAAAGAAATGAGAGGAAGTTCCTCATATGGAGACAGAGACAGAGATCGAGGACGTGATAGAGGGTGGGCCTTTGTTTATTGGAACTTGTTTGTCCATGTGTATTTACAATGTATTAATGCCATTTTTAATGGATATGTTATGTACAATGTCCAAGTTAACAAATTTAGCTACTGGTTTTACACTATTCTGGAACGCTGCTCATAACTGGAAGGAAAATGACTCGAGGTAAAAGACGTGAATCTTCCACAGGCCTCGCTTTGGTTCTAGTCGTGCTGTCCCACCCCCACCGAAGAAGTTTGGGAATCCGGGAGATCGGCTAAGGAAAAAGAAATGGGACCTGGACCAACTACCCAAGTTTGAGAAGAACTTCTACAATGAAAACCCAGAAGTACATCACATGAGTCAGGTAAGTTTCATCAACTTAACGTTACTAAAGTTTCATTTCTGTAATTTTGAAACGGACTGTTTTTACTTGCTTACATTTCTGGGGTAAAAACGTCCTAAATTCTTTTAATCTGTTTTATTAAACTTCATTATAAAATGATCAAATATGGTTAATGGAAGCTGGCGTGTATGGAATTCCCATTTCTGTCCTCTGAGAAAAAACGATGACTTAAAAAGTTGAAGTTGTGATTTATTAAAAGCTTGAAATAATGACTTTGCTCTTATGAACTGTGAATACATGAACATTAAGGTGTATTTTAACTGGGGTTATTAACCGCATAGCATGGAAAAACTTAGAGCTAAATCTGTAAAATAAATATAATATTAAGTATTGGTAATCTAGATATTTCGTATAGATTCCTCTTTGCAGAATATGATGAAAATATAGCTGGAATTACTGTAGTCAACTGTACCACTGCAGCACATGCATTAGATTCATGCACATCCCGTCTGTAATGCAATGATCATAAATTTGGCATGAATGAGTAGGGCAAGAGGGAACATGCGGACGTTTTTTGCTATTTCTGTGGAGAATTTTGTTAAAAATCTGCGGATTTTAGTGGAATTATTTTAGGAGTATCATAACTAAAACCTTAATATATGAAATAAAAAAATAATGTCTTTTTTTATTTAATGTTTACAATGCAAATCCAATTAGATTCACTTTATTTGGTAAATAAAGCAAGTGTATCATATAATATATCTACTTAAAGACAGAAAATTTTACTGTACAAACTGCATTGCACATAAATCAGATGATCATTTTCATAATAGTCAATAATATTATTGCAATTAATTTAAAAAACGAATAAATATAGATTTACACACATTTACTCAAGTAAATAAACAGAATTAATGATGGGCTAAAAATCTGCAGAATGCTGTGCGCGCAGATTCCGTGTGGGCCTAAATGAGTAAGAACTACTGGAGTAAGCATGCAGTGCCTAGGCATGATTATAAATTTAGAATATTACATTTATTTTGCTGCAGGTTTAGCTGTTAGGTATTTTAGTTCATAGATTTGTTCAGAGTTGTGCCTGGGTCTCTTTCCAATTAGTTCCTTCCTAACATTTTTGTTTTGTCTTTATCCATTAGCGAAAAAGATCACTTTTTCATTATAGATTCTGTCACTCAGAACTGTTTTTATTTAGTTATCATCTCGTTTCCACCAGAAAATAAATGCTGTAGAGTACGACAATTGACCAATAATGCTAAGATCCTCTTTCTTACTGAAACCTTATGGTTTAAACCCAGGCTTATTTTAACAACTGGAATGGCGTTAAGAATGAAACAAAAAAACAAATACATGCAAAGAGCATTTAAAAACATTTTAGCTGTCATGATCATGTAACGAATGGAAAAATTAAACCATGGTTGAGTCTGAAATAAGTTTTCTTTACGCATTTATTTATTATACATTTAAAGTGTTAAATGATTGCCCTTTAATTGGTTTAGGGAACTTCTGTGTTCTGCTATTGCTTTTATTTTTGCATTTATATTTGTCTTTGTATGTTTTATAGTATGATGTAGAGGAATATCGCAGAAAGCGAGAGATCACCGTCAGAGGCTCTGGCTGTCCAAAACCTGTCACCAACTTCCATCAAGCTCAGTTTCCTCGTGAGTTTAATTCAGATTTAAATAACCAGTTTTCACATTTTATCCTGTTTGCTGAAATAATAAAAGAAACACTGGTATTATCAAGACTTTCAGAAAACGGAAAAAAAAGTAGTGAAACTGAAAAAAGCAGCCAAAAGAGAAAACAACAGCAAATTTAATGTCCGGCCTATACACTCTGTATTACAAACGGTTATTTGTTTTGTTGTAATTTGATGTAAAGATGATATAATACATTTAAATGTTAATACATCTTTTTAAAATCAAAATATTAAAAACTTTCAAGTCTTGTGAAAAGGGTCCATAAGAATACATGTTTTTGATTATTCACATAAGTGACAAATGTTTGTCAGCTGACAAACCTAATTTTCGTTTCTATTCAATGAGTGTATTTATTTTCTTTATTTAATGGTCAAAGCACAAAACAATACAAGTGATACAAATGTATTTTTTTTTTTCAGAGTATGTAATGGATGTGCTTCTGCAGCAGAACTTTAAAGAGCCCACTGCTATCCAGGCTCAAGGTTTTCCTCTAGCTCTCAGTGGCAGGGACATGGTGGGCATCGCTCAAACTGGCTCTGGAAAAACACTGGCTGTAAGAGTCCCATACCTAAAACCAACAGACTGCTAAAAAGTGTCAAATAACATTCTAAATACACTCAAGCTTGCTCATTTCAATGTCCTTCACAGTATCTGTTGCCTGCCATAGTCCACATTAACCATCAGCCATATCTGGAAAGAGGGGATGGGCCCATCGTAAGTTGCCATTCAACATTTACCATAAAAATAAAAATTAGATTCTGATTTTGAATTCTAATGATATTCTGTTGTAATTTATTGTACTCTCGAACCACACATAAGTGCTTTGTTAATGTGTTCGTCAATAACACTGTCTTTTTTGTTTAGTGTCTTGTGTTGGCACCTACACGTGAATTAGCTCAGCAGGTGCAGCAAGTGGCTTTCGACTATGGCAAATCATCCCGGATCAAGAGTACCTGTGTGTATGGAGGAGCCCCTAAAGGGCCACAGATCAGAGATTTAGAAAGAGGTATGGGAACAGAAAACATCTAATTGTTCAACTAATTTCTATATATTCCAACTTTTAGAGTTCTACCTTTTATTTGAGGGCTTGAGGAGGGAGTGAACTTCACAGTACATAAAATAAGTAAATTAATGACAGCATGATGTTGGTTCCTTTTTTAATATTTTGTGTGTGTATACTTTAAGTTGTGATTATTAGTGTGCTGCATTATATTTTCTCATCCACTCTTGATAATTTTTAATTGGTCTATCTCTAACCCCTCCTTTAGTGTAAACAGTAGCACTTGTGTTGCACTGATGTATACAAAAATCACTAAATTCTTGGTTAAGCACTACTAGTGTTTCACCACTACACACAACAAACTCTTTTACAAGCATCTTTCACATGCAAAATTGTATTGTGTGGATGCTAATCTGCAAAATAATTTCACGTCCTTTTTTTGTAGCTTGTGTAATAATAATGGGAAAGAGGAAAACTATTATAACTATATCAACACCTTAGAATTAGAAGGTTCTATCTGACATTTTTGTCAAAATATAGTTATTAACATATTTTTAATAAATAACAACTTTTTTACATTATGGCATTTTCTTTTATAAGTTGTTTACATTTTAAGAATTAAAAAAACAAATGTTGCACACATACTGTTTGCTATGGAATCCAAAAACATTAAAGCTCAAAATCGTTCAGAATGCTTATAGAACCTTATAATTCCAAGTTGACAATATATCAATGTTGTTTTGAAAAAATATATATACATAGTTATTCTGAGAATGGTATTAATTATTATTTTTAAACTTGCCCGATTGGATGTGTATATGCTTGAATGTCTATAAATGTAGTTTTCAGTTACAAACATGGTTGCAATGTAGAGTCCTGTTCCATTCAGTCAATTATGCTGAACATTTTTGGTCATGATCATTTTTGTAATTCTTGGTCTACTCCCATAATTTACAGAATCATGTCTCATGACTTATTCAACGGTATGCACTTTGAAATGATTATTTTATTGGTAGAGGGATGTTTTAACCATTTCAAAAAAAATTTTTAACCACTTCAACCATTTTTGGTAATGGTGATACTATAAGTTGCTGGGATTTTAATAGTAGCTGTGAATGTTTTTTTGTTTATTTCATTCAGCAGTAGTGCTTCACATGTTTTGTTTTTTAATAAGCATTGTTTGATTATCAAAAGGTGTTGAGATATGCATTGCCACTCCTGGCCGTCTGATTGACTTCCTGGAGGTAGGAAAAACCAACCTGCGTCGTTGCACCTATCTGGTGCTGGATGAAGCTGATCGTATGTTGGACATGGGATTTGAACCCCAAATACGCAAAATTGTAGACCAAATTAGAGTAAGTATTTTTCTCATTTGAAACCACTAGTGTTGATTGTTTATTGTTAATGCTGCAGTCCTTAGCCAATCTTTTTACTCAAGCACAACAATCGTGTTTTATAACTGGAGTGGTACTGGTGGATTTTGTGGGCCACTGTTTGTTTCATAGGCCTCACATGTTACATAGTGACGATCATTATGGCTGCCACAGCGAAAGAAGTTTGAACATCCAGTTATCAAGCTTTATAGCCCACCGGTTCTTTCGGAAGGATAATTGCTTTGAGTTTTGTCTCTGTTTTTCCAGTTATTGTTACCACACCATGTTTTAAAAACATAATTCGAGTTTAAGCAACAAAAGTAATGGGACTGGTCACATCAGATTTTGTTGCTGATTTGAAGTATTTTTGCCTTTTGGTTTAAAAGAACACTGCAAAAGCTGCTTAACTTTTTTTGGATTTTTTTTGTCTTGTTTCTAGTCCAAATATCTTAAAATTCGTATACCAAGAAGCATTTTCTAGGCTAGCAAAACATATTGCCTTGCTTTCAAAAATAATTTGCTAATATTAAGTGAGTAAATGATCTTTTTCTTAAATAGACAATAAAATAGTTATTTTTCCTTTTATAATTTGCAGATTATTTAGCTTGTTTTAAGGAAATACTTCATTTAGGCATATTTATTCTTAAAACAAGACACTGTGTTTTGCTTGTCTTGAAAATTCTTCTTGATTCAAGATTTTAAAAAATATATAATTTCTTAATTTTTTTGAGATTTTTTTTTTTTTTAAATTTAGACTAGAAACAAGACAAATGAAATAAAAGAAGAATTTTTTTTTCAGTGAACACATCACATTTTATCACAATTAGTGTGCATATTGAAATCTTAATGTAATGCTAATGTTTCTCACTAATTTCAGACGAAAGTTTGACAAGAAAAATGAGCATGGTTTGATGTGATGAAAAGTTAATTGCGATCCTAATCTCCACTGGTATATAGCACGGTTTTATTGCATTTCTTTTTTTTTTTTCTTTAAGTTGGTTATATCAAAGATTCCGACATGTTACTTGTTCAGATAGCATTCCCTCCTGAAGTTATTTGAGTCAAATTGACAGACAAAAGTACTTTTTCCACAGTGGTGCTCTAATTGTCAGAGCAAAACATCAGATTCATCCGTAGCGATCTGTTCCAATGCTCCACCTGTGTACAGAATATACTTAATGCAAATTAGTGCAAACAAAGCGGCAAAATTTATGGACTGCAGCTTTAAAATAACATTGGAAATTTAATAAGTGCTCAGCATATATAAGTACACCTCTCACAAATCTATCTTTTTAAATTCATATTTTTAATAGGAAGCAATACAATAATGTATTTGTGCATATACATTAGATTAGTCAGTACTGAAACCAAATCTGGAGCTTATCTAACTAAATATCTTAAAATAACGGTCCAAAAACTAGTACACCCAAATGTATATGTTAAATTAAAAATATAAAATACAAATTTAAAAAAAAAAGAGGAAAAATCAAGAGAAGAAAAAAATTTGTTGTAATTTTGTAGTCTATTTATTTATTTATTTGCTATATTTTGCTTGAATTTAATTGTATTATGTTTCAATTTCTAGATATGTTTGGTGACTAAAATATTAACAAAATATTAATTTAATAAATATGTGTGTAATCTGTTTAGTTTAAATGCACCAAAATACATTGCCTATATTAACTGAGAAATGGATACTAATATTCATTTTCAGAATAGAATGTACTCAATCATGCTGAGCACTGTATATAATTCATGAAGCAAAATGTTTCCCTCAGCCTGACCGACAGACTCTAATGTGGAGTGCTACCTGGCCTAAAGAAGTGCGTCAGCTGGCTGAAGATTTCCTCCAAGACTATGTCCAAATCAATATAGGAGCTCTAGAACTGAGTGCGAACCACAACATCCTGCAGATAGTAGATGTCTGCATGGAAAATGAAAAAGACAACAAGTGAGTTGATTTTTACCTGTTATCTCTATAACAAAGTGAGGTTATTCAGACAAATCAATTAACTTTTTGTACAAATGAAATGAAAAAGCTTCAAATATTCAGTAACACTTTATTTTGATGGTACATTTGAGTATTAGTAGACTGTTTGCTTAATATCTATTGATTAGCTCCTTCAACAGACATTTAACTGACTATGAGAGTCTTTGCAAGTACATGTTACCTTACACTAACCCTAATCCCAACCTAACATTCTACAGATAATCTAATAAGAATTAGTTGGCATGTGGATGCAGTGAAACTTAAATTCAACAAATGAACCATCAAAATAAAGTGTGACCAAATGTTCTTTTTTGCTCTGAAAGGCTGATTCAACTGATGGAGGAAATCATGGCTGAAAAGGAGAACAAAACCATCATCTTTGTCGAGACGAAGAAACGTTGTGATGAACTGACTCGCAGGATGCGGAGAGATGGGTGAGACAGACCTTTATAATCATTCTTTTTTATTTTATTGATAAAAAAATATAAGATGCGTATTTAATGTGTCGTGTCTTTATCCAGGTGGCCTGCAATGTGCATTCATGGTGACAAGAGCCAGCCAGAGAGGGACTGGGTACTAACAGGTAAGCATTTTTTAAGCTTCATGTCCTCCATATTAAAGGAGACTGTAATAATGTTGGATTTCTGTCATTGCGGTATGTTTTGTGTGTGCAGAGTTTCGCAGTGGAAAAGCTCCAATTTTGATTGCCACTGATGTCGCTTCACGGGGTCTGGGTATGTACTGATTTTTGATACTTATTAATAACCATAACTAGGGCACAAAATAATAGATATAATATTTAGACGAGTACAACAGTGACAACATGCAGTCACATATTTGTTTGATGTTTTCATTAGAATGCACTAGTAAAGCGGATGGCACTCTTATACACACAGACTTGCAGGGATGCAAACTGCCGATTTTAGATTTCATGATTTGTGGCAATTTTTTTACATGATTTTTAAAAAAATGTTAGTTAAGCACCTTTATTTGGTGATTAGAGCTTTAAAATGAAATCATAAGCATGAAGCTTATTAATATATTTTTACATCAATGTCACTTTTGCACTCCTTATGCATTTACGCATGTAAACCACTTATCCAACACCATTTTTTAAATATCAAGTAAATATTATGTTTATTTTTGTCACAGGCAAATAAAGGATCAAGACACAATAAGTTCCTATCATGGTATCACTAACAAATGGCCATGGTCTGTGTCAAGTTAAATGTATTTGTATCTTTCTAAATACACAAAACTTCAGACAGTCATGAATTCATTAGGACATGTAGATTAAATTGATCATTTGTAAAATAGTCATTAAATGATCATGCCTCGCTTTTGGGAAGCATGGGGAGTTTACAATCTGCCTCTTAAGAAGTGAAGAGATGTTCACACTAGGGATGCACTGATCTCGATACTTGGATTGGATATCGGTTTGATACCGCATATTTTTGCTGCAAACTTTATAAGCCAGCAAAAGCAATGAAGGTCGCATATTATATGGCACTAGAAAGTTGTCATGTAGGCCTACTATATCTCAAATGTTCTGATGCCATGCTATAGTTTAATGTGAAGCACAGTGGAATATTCAAGTGGTCAAAGGTGCAGTAGGTGATTGTCTTCAGAAGCATTTGTTGTTGTGCTGGTTGAAAGTCTCTTCACAGTCCAATAGTAATGATTACAGTAAATGATCTAAATGTGTTTATATGTATTTTTATATTCTGGGTAAAGCATAAAACTAAAAAAATTCATCCAATTAAATAGAGTCGGACCGACATCTCTCACAATTCCGATAAGCAGGTCAGACTGTCTGTCAACATATGTAAATTCAGACTTCTGCGCATCTGTTCATGCAGATCCGTCAGTAGCGCATGCCTGTCTGCATCACAAACGCATGCACGCGAGCAAGCTGTGGGCCGCTTGCCTATGCCAAGTCGGAGCCAGAGGCGCCGAAGGACAGACGAGCTCGGGCTGATTACTGTAAAGCCAGACGCGGATATAATTCGAAAGATAGGGTTATTATGTGCTCTTTACAATCAATGTAGGCCTACCTGAAACTTTAAATTAGAAAAGACTCAATAATACATTGGACAGATCCTCAACGCATTTATTTCTTTCCTTAGTGCTTCTAAGTTTTGAAAGTGTCCGCAGACACCGGAGGGCTGCACGCTGTGTCTCAGTGATGCATCGATCGCTTCGTGTGATGTGTGCTGCTCTGTAAAATTATTCTCACAATAAGTTTTTGTTCTTTCATCCTTCTGACTGAGTTTATTCTTCCGAGGGGAATACTTTCAGTGCTGCAAATAGTTTGTAAAGCCTGGCTCATTGTGGTCAAAGTAGTTGATTTAAATTAATAAAAGTGTAACTGACGGATTATCATTAACAGAAAAGGGAATGTTTATTATGTACAACTGGGCTCAGACTGTTTAGTTTAGTCTACCTCAAACCTGCTGTAAAATCAGGCTTTGCTTAAAAGGCTGGTTATTTTATCAACGATTAGGGTCAATAGTCGTTGCCTATTACAGAAAAATCCTAATGTTAAAAAAGGAATCATAAGCTGGACCATACCCGCTCAAAGTCATGACGAATGCTCAAATAATGTAGCCTAGTTTACAGCTAGCATCATGTTTTTAGATTTTGTGTCTATCATATACAGTGGGCCTATGGTTCTGTTATTTTTACTAAAGAAGATATATATTACGTTTATCAGCCGAACTATAGAAACTATTATGCTTTTTATAAAATGTTTTTATAAAAAAAAAAAAAAAAAAAAAACTGCACAATATTGGGATCGGATCTGTATCGGTCGATACGCCAAATTTTGGTATTGGTATTGGAATTGGATCGGTTCTAAAAAAAAATGGTATCGGTGCATCCCTAGTTTACACTGACAACTGAGTTTGCAGTAACATGAGCTTTTCTCATAAAAATGAGCTGTGATCTTCACTAAAAATGATAATGAGTCAAATAGATATTCTACTATTTAGCTGAATTTTACTGTCAGTCACTTGCACATGGTGTTTTCAAGTCAGACTGCTTGTGTACACTAGTGGGCTGTGCTGAGGAAGCATACATCATTTATCCTGTTTAATGACCTCATGTAACAAATTGTATATTTAGATATTTGGAAAAATTCATGGTCATTTAAAGAAAAAAGCCAAGCTAACGTTTTTGCCTTTTCAGTCTAGTGAACACTAAAGCTGAAAATACTCAGCTGTGAGCACTTCTCCAACTATCAGAGCATATGCCGTGCACGCAGTGCTTTGTGTAAAATGGATGCTCAGTGCCTCCCCATGCTGCTGCTGTTTAAAAAAAATGTGGTGCTTCCATTGAAAACAACTGAAAGAATACACTCAGTTGAAGAACCACTTCAGCCAACTTGCATCTTTAATCTTTATTTTTTGACATTTTAATGGTTTCTGTCTATTGGATGTTTTTACACATCAGCAACTGTACTTTCTTCTCTCCACCATCACCTTTTGTCTCTTAGTTTTTCCTCCCAACTGTATATAACATTCATTGATGAGTTGTCAAGCTCACAATTACAAAAAGGACTCTGGGGTGATGCCGAGCTACTGGTGGGCTGCTTTGTCAGTTACCACTTCCACAAGGTGTTTGTTCCAAAAATGTAAAAGTTGTGCTGTCTGTTTCTTGTTACTAATGTAAAAATCCTCGCACATTTGGGGCTCACCGGCTCGCTGTTGACCCTAGCACAGATCTAGGGGAGCTGCTATCCTTTCCTCCTATTACCTGGGTCCTAACGCTAGTCTCCTTCCCGAGTAAACTGTGTGCTATTGTCCCAACCTCACAAGAAGTGAATCAATAGTCATGATCAGAATAGAAGTTGGACAGAACTACAATATTTGTAAATCATTTTATATTGTGCAAAACGTTTTTCTGGAATCATTCATATCTGTAATATCAAAGACCTCACGAAGACACTTGGAATTGCTATTTTGTTTTCTCTGGGTATGTTTGGGTTATGCTAGGGCTCTTACACTATTACTGTTCTTTTTCCCCTTCAGGATTTTTGACTTCCTAACTGTGCCTGCCCAGGCATGCTGTGCCATTTTGACACAGCGGCCTCCCTCTACCATGTAACCAGACAGTAGCACAGGGCTTGATATGGATAGACTCCTTCAGCTGCACCCTAATTTATCTCGACTATAAAGCGGGCCAGTGGAATCAGCTGGCTTTTTACCTCAAATAATGAATTGACCATTTAAAAAAAATCTCAAGCCTGTGGCCCCTCAGGGCTCTGTTAGATTCCAGGAAGGTCTGCCCTTAAGATAGATCTGGGGTTGATTGGCTCACGGAGGGATAGAGAGAGAGGGAGAGAGACAGTTAAGAGTGCTGGATACAGTCCGGTCCAGTTTGTGGAGGTCCTGCAACCCAGCGAGAGAGAGAGAACTGGGGCAGAGCCGGTTCTGCTCCCGCCTGGCGTTGCTGGGGCAGGGCCGAGGGTGAAGGGGGGGCAGCTCAGCGCGTCAGCCCACATTAACCTCTTCCTCTTGGGCCGCTCCACGGGACCCTGGACTGATCCCAGCCAAGAGTAACCTAACCTAGGGTAAGTACCTGATCATGCCCAAGTCACTGCCCTGTTGATGAGAACTGTTTCCATAGTGTGGCAAATGTCCTTCAAGTATGTTTGAGCATGTGTGGTAAGTGGCATTGTATATTAGGCCATAATGGTATATCACTCTATTTTTAGCACATCATTTTTGTATTTTTTAGAAAACTCCCATTATCATTTTCCTGAAGGAGACGTTTATTTTCCTTTAGGGTCAATAGCAGTGTTGTTAGAGCCCCTTTTTAAGTGTAATGAGAAACAGACTTTTAGGAAGTGTCAAGGAATAAAGTTAATGTTGTCCTGACATTTCTCCTCTTTAACACCACCTCAAGTGTCTTAATATAAACTGAAGCATAGATTTCATTTCCATTGATAGCTCATGTTGTACTTAAGATTAGATGTAATGTCTATCATTGGAAAAAGGTAAGTGCTTAGTCTAAAGAAGCTCCGCTTTTTTCTTTCTAACATGTTTGTTTGTCTGCTTAGGACAGTGTCTCGCTAGCTGAATGAAAACGTATTTTGGCCTTTTTTTTTTTGCTCCATTATAGTACTTTTTACCTTTGCAAGAGATTAGCTAAATAGATTATTTTTGTTTCTGCAGTAAAATTCAGGCAATGATTTCCTAGCAACCCAAGAATGAATCTATCTAGATCTGTTTAATTTGAGTGGTGACAGATTGAACATCGTTTTAGTTTTCTTTTGCTCATATTTGAGTCCCAGACAAAGAAAAATTGGATTAGATCCAAGCAGGATCGTTCCTTTTTAGGTTCGAAAGCTTATCGTGTCAAACAAGACAAAATCACTTAGTAGCTTTAGCCTAGCAAAGAGTTAATGCTTCATCACCGAGATACTCCAGTGGAAATTGAAAGCAAAATGAACCCTGCCTCTGGGTTGACTTTATCATAATGATTACAATTATAGTGATGCACTGAAAACAACAAAATAATTCAGCCAAAATTGGTCTAACAGTCTGAAATGATTGAACATCAGAACAACTGCTTGGGTTAAATCATGAATTTAACAATTATTTATAAGAACTGACCAAAATCTTTAGACGATATGAGTTTATACATAAAACATTCATAGCTCAACTACCGTTTAATAAATGCAGTGACCTTTTGTTATTTATAACATGAAACAAAGTCTAAGTTTTAAAATGGTCAATATTGGAGAAATTCTAATGTTTTGACATTTTATTGTTTGTCACGTCAACTGAGGCAGCTACTTCAGTTTGTGAATGTAGAATGCATGTGAACTGATCAGTATTTTTTTGTTTTGTCCTCTGGTGCTGAACCGATTATTACACAAACCTCTTCAGACCCCTTTAAAGCTTATTGTGATCATAAGATGACTTTCTTTTGATGGCGTCTTTAGGGGATTTTAATATCGGCTTTCTTAAAATAATATCAGGCTAGGCTTTATTTCTGATAGCCGACCCTTACTCCACAGCCAAGTCTGTGCTATTCGTGAAGAGGAAGATCTAAAACAAATAATGCAGGTTGTTTTGTTGCAGTTTTTAGGCCAGTGTTTCCCAACCCTGCTTTTTAAGGTGCAACAGCATTACACTTTTTCAAATTCATTCTAATCAAACACACCTGATCTAAAGACACCAAAATCTGGAATTCTATTGATCTGATATGCAAAACATCTCTAATCAGCACTGTTGGTTTGTCTCCAGGAACAGGGTTGGGGAACACAGATTCAGGCAATGGTCCATTGCCTCTGTCTAATTTAGTTTCTAATTGAGTTTTTCTTTTCTTCCTTGTAAAATTCTTTACTTTGGCCCCGTGAAGATGTGGAGGATGTCAAATTTGTCATCAATTATGACTATCCAAACTCTTCTGAGGATTATGTTCACCGAATTGGGCGCACAGCCCGTAGCACCAACAAAGGTACAGCCTACACCTTCTTCACGCCTGGAAACCTTCGCCAGGCTCGCGATCTGGTTCGGGTTCTTGAGGAGGCTAGACAGGCTATCAATCCCAAACTACTGCAGCTTGTGGACACGGGCCGTGGAGGAGGAGGTAAGAGCTTCAAGATGGGCAACTGTTAAGCATTTCAATTTCAGTTTGTATGTTCATAAGAAACTGACATAAAAATAGATTTTAGGCTACATTTGGATGCAAGTTTCTGTGGTCTTTGGTAATTTATCATTACTGACCTAATCCCTCTGTGACTGGCTCTTTTTGTAGGTGGAAGGATGCGTTACCGTGGCAACAATTCAAGCTCAAATAATCCCAACCTGATGTACCAGGATGAATGTGATCGGCGCATGCGCTCCGGAACTGGGGTGAACAAAGGCGGCCGCAGCAGCAACAACAACAACAACAACTTCAGCCGTGATGGAAGATCAGGTGGGAGCAATCGTGACGAGCGCATGTCCTCCTCCTACAGGGACCGCAGCAGAGACGGCCGAAACAACTACAACTCAGGTCCCTCTTATAATAACGGAGGAGGAGAGCAATTCCAGAGCTACGGGGGTGGGGGTGGAGGAGGAGAGCAGTATGGCTCAAGAGGGGCACCCTCACATCCAGGTGGGGGTGCAGGAGGGCAAGATCAGCCCGGACCTCCACAAGGTTTGTTTGGAGCACCACCTCCAAATCCACCTCAGCCTGGGCCAGGTTCAGGTCCAGGTCCAGGTCCACAACCACTTATGTCCCAGCAGTTCCCTCCTCCACCGCAACCTATGATGGGCTTTATGGGTCCTGGCCCATACCCGTTTGGCTCACCACCACCCCTTCCTCCTCCCAGAAAGTAGCATCTATAAGCATCAGATTTGTTTTCCTGTTGTAATAGTTCCAGTAATATGTGATATTTGTTCTACATGCTGTGCTTTACATTGTGATGTTGTAGAAAAGGATGGCTTTACATTTAATCAGTCCAGAGTGCCCGGGGCTTGCATTTAATGTCATTATACTTTTTTTTTTTATATCTGAAGCCAAACTTAAGAAGCAGCTGTAGTTTATTGAAGATCTATTATTGGTAGTTATTTCACCTTTTCATGTCTATATTCTTAATCTTTTATACATTTACTTAAAATTCAATAACATTTATTGGTGTTTTTAAAAGTTGTGTCAATCTGCCAACATATGCTTTATTAATGTACTTTATTGATTAGTTTTGCTAACCTGTAACCATTTTGATCTCACTCACACAAGAAAACCACCTACTGTCCATCAACTTTTTCAGTTTCAGAAATGCTGTGGATTTATTTTTATCAAGGTAGCTCTGTAGTGTAATTAGTTATTGTATAATTGGGCTTTACAAACAGCTCTCCACAGGGATCATGGACCGATTAAGTGGCATTTGATTGATCACACCACCAGTTCTTTGACTGGCTGGCACCTGGGAAGGAAAAAAAAACACCCTTTTGTAGTTTTTTCTTTTTTTCACAGATTTTAATAAAGTGTTCACTCTGTTTAAGAATGATCTTGTTTGACTCTTGCTTAAAGATTTTTCATTTAAATAAAATGAAAACGGCATAAATTTGAAACCCCAGAGAAAAAGAATAAGTTTATTTCCCTTAAATACATATTTGCACTACATTCACTGCTCCATGTTTAGTCTCTGTATTAGTTTTTGGCAAATGTACATAATAGCAATACCAGCATTATTTACATTTTGTCAGGGTGGATGGACATCAATCATCTGGCTTTAACTGGGTGAAGTGAGCATCTACAGCAAATTCATTTAGGACCACAGTGATTTAAGTTCCTGTCTATCGTAAATTCCAATTTCTCTTTTTACATGACCCAAGTACCATTATATAAACCATCTGCTAGCATCATCAAAGTGCAGAATTCATTTGACAAACATGTATATTCTAAGAATGGCAAGGGTGTAATAGCAATAATTACACTGTACTGCATTGAGAGAAAGAAAGATCATAATTAATGTGAAACTGGAAATCTGAAATTAGGGAACAAAATAAAGACATTCTCAAACAAAAAAGGACAAATACCATACTGTTAATTTAAATCAAGCATCACACATAAATGTCTATATTAGCATGAAAAGGAATCCTCTGATTAGGCACGTACGGTAATTATAAACAAGACATCAGCATGTAATTCAAGAGCAGTACAGTGCACGGAACAAGGGCAATTTAGGACCAATGGCAACCATGAGATGCACAAACGTCTTGACAAGAGGGGCTGTTTGATTTGTAATGTCACTCATTTCAATTTGTAGTATTTCCTGCTAAGTAGTAGTTTTGGATCCTGTTGCGCTTCCAGGGAGAACACGTGCAGCCTAACAATATAATCGAACCAAAAAACAAGAATGTGTGCTAGAGATCAAAACGTATAAATCAGCACATATGAGCCAATCGGTGCAGAAAATAAAGCTGCTCTACGTCATTACAGCCGAGCGAGACTCCAGAGTCTGGATGCACACATGGAAACATCACACAAACACAAAACTCTCATCTCTAGCTTTCAAACATTTAAAGCTCCATACATAAAGGGTCTGACATGACAGAAAGCAAAACGAGAAGTGAAAAAGACAGAACTGGAATTAAAAAATCAAATGAGCCGATTTCAAGGCGTCCTTCAGCACTCGTTATGTAGAGGAAAGAGAGGTGGAGCTGGAAAGGCAGAGCCAGTGACATACAGTAATAGTCTGAATACAAACTGCCATCATCATCATCATCAGGAAATCATTAGTCTGTTGCTTTAAATGTTTCCCCATGACTCTGGCGGAGGGAACTGCTCTACATCTCCACTTTCGTCATGTGATTCTTCTCCTATATCAAAAGTCAGTTTGTATCTCAACCGGACCTTCTCCTTTAAAGAAGATGAAGAAAAAAAAAGCATGAAGAAATGCAATGTCATCACAAAAGATCTGCAACAACAAAAAAGTCACGTCTGAAATAAACCACAAACCATACCAGATTGCGAGCTGTACTGACAAATTTATATCCACACACAGAAACTACTTTTTTTTTCTTTGGGTACTTCTTACAATGGCAAAGCTGACTTTTCATTAGAAAATGATTCCAAGTCAGTCTAATATGCTGATTTATTAATGCATGGTTATTTTTCAATGTATTTGCTGCTTAATATTTTTTGTGAAAATCCTAATTTTCAAGATTCATTGCCGAATTTCCTTTACAGCTTACCTGCTGCAATTTTTGAACGTCAGTGTATCTTATATCTTATATAACAGCCATATATATTTATATACATTTAATGCCATATTTACATACAGTCCATACAGAAATTATTCATAGTGCTCCACTTTTTCCATTTTTTGTTACAGCCTTATTCCAAAATGGATTAAATCATTTATTCCCTCAAAATTCTACACACAATACCCCATAATGACAAGGTGTATTTTTTTTTTTTAAATTGTTGAAAATTTATTTAAAATTAAAAACCTGAAACATCACATGCACATAAGTATTCACAGCCTTAGCTGAAAAGGTCTAAATTGAGCTCAGGTACATTCTGTTTCCACTGATCATTCTCGAGATGTTTCAGCACCTTAATTGGAGTTCACCTGTGGTAAATTCAGGCACAAGGCTGGGAAAGGTTACAGAAAAAAATCTGCTGCCCTAAAAGTTCCATTGAGCACAGTGGCCTCCATCATCCATAAGTGGAAGATGTTTGGAACCACCAGGACTCTTCCCAGAGCTGGTCCTTAGTCAGGCAGTCAAAAACCTGATGGTCACTCTGTCTGAACTCCAGTGTTCTTCAGTGGAGAGAGGAGAAACTTACTGAAGGACAACCATCTGTGCAGTAATTCACCAATCAGGCCTATATGGTAGATTGGCCCGACATAAGCCATTCCCTGTCTGGAATTTGCCAAAAGGTATCTGAAGGACTCTCAGAGCACAAAAAACTAAATTCTCTGGTCTGATGAGACTAAAACTGAACTCTTTGGAGTGAATGCCAGGCGTTATGTTTGGAGAAAACCAGGCACCGCTCATCACCAGGCTAATACCATCCCGACAAGTCAGGACAGAGGGAAAGATGAATGCAGCAATGTACAGAAATATCCTGAACAAAAACCTGCTTTAGAGTGCATTTGACCTCAGACTGGGGTGATGGTTCATCCTCCAGCAGGACAATGCTGGAAAGCACACCGGCAAAATATCAATGGAGTGGCTTCACAACAACTCTGTGAATGTCCTCAAGTTGGGCCAGAGCCCATGCCTATACTATTAAACATCTCCGGAGAGATCTGAAAATGACTGTACACTGAGGAATGGGGAAAAAATTTCCAAAGACAGGTGTGGCATCATTTTCAAAAAGACTCGAGGCTGTAATTGCTGCCAAAGGTGCATAAACAAAGTACTGAGCAAAAGCTGTAAATGCTTATGTACATGTGACTTTTCAGCTTTTTTATTTTTAATAAATTTGAGACTTTTTCACATTGTCATTATGGGGTATTGTGTGTACAATTTTGAGGAAATAAGTAAATTTAATACATTTTAGAATAAGGCTGTAACACCAAAAAAAGCGGAGCACTATGAAAACTTTCCATGTGTGTGTGTGTGTGTGTGTGTGTGTATATATATATATATATATATCTGATACAAATTTAGACTTGACTAATATTAGCTTGAACAGTAATAGCAAAGAAATGTAATGTTTCAGAGCACACTTCAGTATAGGGTACAAATATAAGTGCAAAAAAAAATAAAAAATTTTAATAAATAAATAATAATAATAATATTAATAATAATCTGTCCTGAAATTATTACCCACGTTACAAAGACTGTAACATAAGCTTCCATCAAAGGTAATATCTCAGGGTTCAGACATAAAACTGTGTAAGTATAAATTTTAAAGTGTTTAAAAATCGAAGGTTTACAAGAGAACTCTTTGCTTAATTTTATGAAACAAAAGTATCCATCTAGGGCTCCTCCACGAGACTCAACACTTGTTAAACCTGACTTGCACTGCCCGCACTACCAAGCTGACCAATCACAAAGTTCGCACTATGCATTGTCACATTGGTAGTTACATGTTTTGTATTGTGTTATATCATTCTATTTCTTTACCTTGTGAGGGTTAGCTAAAAGCAGGACCTGTGTAATGGCAGCAGGGGGCAATACAGGGTTGAAGGCAGGTAAATCTGATCCCGATGGTGGCTGCAACTTCACTCTCATATTCTGCACATCCAAATAATGCAGCCTTAGTAAAGAATTCAACAGAAATTGACTGAAGATGGATGTATAAGCAGTAGTTTAAATTACCTTGGGAACAGCAGCCTGGAATCGTACATTTGTGATGGGCAAAGGGGCAGAGGACAACATGGAGATAATCACCACTAAAACATCTGGCCGAGCTGGCGGAGGGTCTTTTGCAAAATGGAACAAAACTCGTAGGCTGTGTTTATCAAAAATTGTCACAGGTAACATGCTACCTGTAAGGTCATAACAAAAATAAAATAAGTTTAAATTCATTTGATTCCCTGTTAGGGCTGGGTGATTTGGCCTAAAATCAAAATCCAGATTAATTGAACATTTTAACTTTAATTACGATTAATCAACAATTATTTTATTGTTTTTATTTTAAAAATTGCTTCATTAGTTTACTGCCAAGTTTTATATGTCATCTAAAGGAATCTCTGGCACAGCGTCCAATCATGTAGTGCAAAGTAAGGCTCAAGAATCGTTCTACTTGACCAGAGATCAGATGTGGCTGCAAAGTAGTCGCAGAAGTAGAAATCAGTTATGACCTTTAACAGAGCAAGGTCATGTGAGACGTAGGAAAAGTAATTGAAAAAATCGTCCTCGAAAAATTTGCTCCATTATATATTCTGAATGTCGATTTCGATTAATCGCCCAGCCCTATTCTTGGTACAGCATTAAAACACAGGAATAAAACACGTCCTAACCTAATATTTTTTCACATCTAAATAAATGCATAAAACTGCAATAAATAAAACACAAGCATCATAAAAGTTGATTCAGATAAGCCCGAAAAGATCCATATCCCTAGTCAATTCTGAGTAGGGTGGGCCGATAGAAGATGCCATCGTCCATTGTCGATGACCGACAAACTTTACAATGCTGAGTTGGCATCGCGATCCATCGCCCCGCCCCACATTTATATTGATATATAACTTATTTGCATGTCATCTTAATAGCAATAACGGTCTTTTCATGAGCTGTGTTAAATGTTACATATAGCTGCCGATTGCACAGCTGACAGCATCGTGAGGATTAAATGAAGGATTACAGTACCTCTCGCGCTTAAAATATGTAGATTCAGTAGCAAACGCCGTTACCTGCAAACCCCGTCCCACAGACTTTATAGTGAATGGCTTTAGTTATTTTCATAGCGGACTTGAAGCCACTGGAAGTCTTTTATCCACTCTTCGAAAAGTGTAAATGGTGGATTAACATTCAGCACATGATCACTAATAAGATGTGCCTTTACTAGTAACTTTAGGTGTTTTCTATAACAAATCTGTCAGTGTTATTTTCATTCTTTCATCTTCAGCGCTTCACATTTTCGCGGTTGTAGCTCCTGCCGTCTAATGGCAGTAGACATTGACTGAGTAATTGGCAGCTGATATTAATCAATCATTCACGTTCAGTTCTAGAGCAGTGGGCCAATAAAAAGGCGGGGCAAGCATTGCATGGTTTTTTTGCTTAAACAAGTTCACATAACAACTGTTTTAATCTGTTCCTGAGCGCTGCGTTTGGCGTTTTTAGGTGCAAAGTTGCATTCTGCATAAATGTCAAAAAAAAATCTGCGAACGCGGTGAGGATTTTGCAGTGAAAACTGTGAAAATATATGCACTCGCCCAAATGCTTTTAAATATATTTTAAGGTTGCATAGATAAAATTTTGGGCGCATATGTGACTAAAACGGTCGAGCCTTAGCATCTTTACTTGTTATTATTTCCTCATAATAACAATAAAATAAAGAAGTTATCATCAATCACAATACAAATTACAGTGAACTCCAAACGAACTCTCGTCTCCTCCACCAGCTGTGGGAAAAGCCATTAGAACCACACAGATCACTGCCTATTCATGCCAGAGTCCCACGGAAAAAAAGTGATTGCCAGGTGGTAATTTGTGTGTAACTTTATTTTTTTATGGTTTGGTTATGGGTAAAGCAAGGACCACATGGGTCAGGTAGTGAAAACGGTAGGCTACAATAAATTAATTCATTATGAATTAATTGATATTTAACAACGACTCCCAATCCCCGCCTACGAAGACGATGCCATCGTCCATCGCGATGATTCACATTAGACATTGTACAATGCCAAATTGGTCAACATTGCCCAACCCTAATTCTGACCTAAGGTTTTTCCACAATGATGCCTCTTGTACATCAACTTATTATCTTTTGGGACAAGCCGGCGTCATCAAAACAAACTTGCTGGTTGAATAAAAATAACCAAGTCAGAAATTGCCAGGGCTATGAATCATTTCGGCATTAATGGTTGTCTCATGCTATATTTCAAATCTCATGTAATCATGTGTGATGAGGAAAGCCTTTTGTCTTTCAAACTGCTGCAATTAGACTTAGTGAATGATTGGCTCACAGCTACTTTTCTCCTGAATGCACTATAAAGAACTAGCGTAGATGTAAAAACTTTAGATAGACAATGTCTATTCCTATTAATATTTATTTATTTTCTTATTAACACCATTTCAGCATCTATGGAATGGCATTAGACAAAAGTTTCTTAGACAAAAGTTCACCTACATTCCATGCCTGAGCTGTGGGAGGTAATTGCAGTAAACCTAAGCTGACCAAGGGAGTACATGCAATCTGTAACTGTAAATACAATTGAAGTCATAGTTAATAGCCCCCCGGTATATTTTTCTCCAATTTATGTTTAACAGAAATATTTTTTTAACTAATTTCTAAACAAAAATAGTTTTAATAACAAAATTATAATAACTGATGCTTCTATCTTTGCCATGATGACTAGATAGTATTTTACTAGATATTTTTTCAGGATACTAGTATTCAGCTTAATGTGCCCTTTAAAGGCTTAACTGGGTTAATTATGTTAATTAGGCAAGTTAGGATTATTAGGCAAATTATTGTGTAAATGGTTTGTTCTGTAGACAATCGAAAAAAAAATACCGTTTATAAGAATATTGACCTTAAAAAAGGCTTTCATTCTAGCTGAAATAAAACTAATTTTCCAACTTAGGAAAAAATATAATAGAAAATACAGAGAAAATGTCTTTGCTCTGTTAAACATTTTTTGGGAAATGGTTTAAAAAAAAAAAATTACAGGAGGGCTAATCATTTTGACTTCAACTGTATTTTCAAATCAGACAACCATGTCACTCCGCAACTACCATGTACGTCACTCCGCTACTGCTGCTTCCATCAAATTCAAAGCTCTGATGTTTGCTTACAAAGCGACTTCTGGCTTTGCTCCTTATCTGCTCTCACTTCTGCAGATTTATGTGCCCTCCAGAAACTTGCATTCTTTGATTCTCCTTGCATTCTCCTCATTTGTAAGTTGCTTTGGATAAAAGCGTCTGCTAAATGACTAAATGTAAATGTAAATAGTATCTCTCTTTAAATTAAAAAGTTCTTCACGTTGTCATCTACAAAAACAAACACACAAAGTAATTACATTATATTTAAAGGATTAAAAAACTGCTGTTACTACACAATCCATATCCTGCTCAGTGGTATGTATACATGTCAATTCCTCTCCCTCATGTATGTTTTTGAAATTCATTTTAAACCTATAGTTGTGAAATATATAAGTGAAATATAGATTTTTTTCATGTAAAGACCTGTTAATGCATGAAAAACAGCAATGTCCATAATGCATATAAGATTTCTGATTCTGTGTCTAAGCTTGAAAGGACATGAGGACAATCCCTATTTTTTGGTGATTTTTGACTATTCTTAAAAATATTGTATGTCTTAAGTCTTACTAGGCTTGATAGACTCCAAGGGCACAGTCACTTTCACCAATGATACATCATCCTGAGGTGTGAGCTGAGAATTGAGGAGAGATCCTGGCTCTGAAGAAAAGCTCAACACAGGACTTGGGCTTGTAGCGGCGTTATTTCCAGACTTGATCTGAAGGTCTCGTAGTGTAGGTTTGGACTGAGACTGAAGCTTGTCCCTGTTGAAAAGTATCAATGTATATTTTTTGCACAGACGAAACCTGTAATATTTTTGAAGCATGAGCATTGGCATGCTTTCACACTGAGAGTTTAGTTTGAAACAGGGTGGTTCAGATAATATGATCGCACCTTGGTATAACATCAGAGTCAGGAACTGTGACTTGAACATTCAAGCAACGCAGGTATACACGTTCAAGAAATAAAGTAATCTGCATGTGCGTTTAAGCTGATGACAATTTCATTAGTTACTAATTATCAGTAGGAGTGCCCTGGAAATCAATCAATTTGGAACCCTTTATGTGACAAAGTAATGCAAACGTTGTTCCCTTCACTTCAAAAAGGCACCCATTTAACTTGAGAACACTCAAAATATACACTGTTTATCATTTCTTTTTCATCCGATTTAAGGTTAACAAAATGCTTCAGAGTGCAACAAAATCAAGTGTCTGTGAAACAAGAACATCACTACTGAGGGAACATGAATCTGAATGGCCCCAGTGTGAAAACCCCCTTAAGCAGACCATTAAAAAAAAGTTGTATATTTTTTAAAAAACAATAGGGTATATGCCGAAGCATGCTGATAGGACTTTTAATTTGCCAGTAACCTGGGTTAAGCGCTTCCGGTGAACTGTGTGCCAATGCAAAAATCAGCACGTTTAAGGTCATTTTTCTTTAAAAGTCTGCAATCTCCACTGGCTGAGTGATATCCAATATAAAGTGGGTCTCATATTGTACAAAAAGCACTGCATTACAATACATTTTCCCCGTCATGTCTTAATAATATGAGCATTTATTTTACCCCAGTATACTCAATGGAGCTTCTGCGCTAGCCTGCTGATTCTGACGAGCGAGTGCGAGTATAAGGCCTTTTGTCTCATTTTACACTTGAACAACTAAATGAATGCCAAAGTTTATTTATCTGAATGTATTTTAATTACATTAAAACATCGATGCTGTAAAAGCAATCATAAAAAAATGGAAAAAAATTCACAATAACAGGTCATCTGAAGTGTATCAGCATGGGAACACTAGATCGGCATATACCCTATTTTTAAATGTACAAATTAAAACATTTTACAATTACACAGACTATTAGTGAGTTTTGTTAAAATAAAATCCATAATATGCATTTACCATTTGACCTGAAGACCTTCTGGAGGTAGAGACTGCTGCAGCAGAGTCTTACCCAACAGGTCTAGCTCATCTAGGGATTTAGTGGATGTCACAGGCACAGGAACAGGTGTCTTAGTAGCACTTGTCACTGGCAACAGCACTGCAGGTTCCGGCATTACAGGTGTATCCTCAGTTTCTGATGACTAACAAAAGCAATTGTGTTAAGCTTGGTTTGACAGCAAAGACTCCTCGATGGCCAATATCAACAACTCACAACGACAACGAACCGCTGACATCACTGCCATACCGCCATGAAAGTTTATCCTACCAATTTACACATTAAAGTGATTTTTAAACTATTCAAGATTGATTTTGTACATGTTTGTCTTTTTGAGCAGAAAGAAATAAAATACAAATTTCTTCAGTGCTTCCACACTTTGCACATGATTTAGGCGTCCAAATAGACATCAGGCTACTGGATAACAGAGATGTGAAGGTGATGTAATTTTCCCACTGATTAACTGACTTGTGACAAGCCCGGTTGTTACAATCTTGCCTCCTTTTCTTTTTGTATTAAATCATGTTTTTAAAAAAGTGAACAGGTGAATTAAAAACAAAAGGAAGGCAATAACTGTACAGTGTGTGAGCACGATGAACAAAACATTGCTTAGGCTGGACCTCTATTTTTGTATGATGCAGTAACAGCTTTTCAACTGCATGTTTTTGTGAACATCAGCACATCAAAAATGATTAAAAAAATCTGTTTATAATTTACTTTACAGACATAAAAAGATATATTTAAAAGAAATGGAGCCTCTGCACTTTCATCTTTTAAAACTACAATAAGCAAAGCACTGGTTCATCACAGTGCATTAACATACACAATCTTTAGGCTGGTGTGCTGTGATCAGCTTTATGTGCACTTTTGAGCCACTTAAATATTTCAATGTTTCTTAGCAGTAGAAATCGTCATAGTTGGGTAAATTAAGAGCACAGTGAACTTTTGCATCAAACGCATAGGTATGTTTCAGCGCAGCCTTTGTACGGTTGCATAGCTCTCATCATGGCTGATGTTGATGCTGATTCACACCTCTCACAAAAATGTAACTACACATGGTGAACCAGTTATTCAAAAGTAATGGACAACTTTTTAATTATTGTTTATTTCCTAATTATAACAAGATCCACATAATAATAATAAATCCACATAAATTGCAATAGTATTTGATGCAATTCCTTGTGGACTTGTTCAGCTCTTAACAGGTAATATGTCCTCTGAATCCAATATTTGACTTACTAATCAGTTAAATATCATTGGGGTAAAAATTATAGACAATAAATTTAATTACTTTGACATTCAAAAGTTATGCAGAACCACATTGCAAACCTTTTTGGAATTCTTATTTGAGCAGAATGAGTGGAAAAAAATCTGAACTTGCCTAGTAAATACTGTCTCACCAAAAAAGTTAAAGAAGTGACATAAACTAATTCATTTAATTTATCCAGTGAAATAAGTTGTTAAAAAGTTTTTAGAGTCATGGTGTGTGCATTTTTTAGGGGAGGAATCGATAAAACACCTGTTTATTGAATGCATGTATGTTTGATGTTAAACATCTCATATTTAAACTTACAAAATTAAACATTTGGTTTTCTTGTAAAGATATTTTTGACATGCAATAATAATAAAACTTTGGAGCAAAATTAGTTTATTAATTTAATGATTTAACTATTGTTCTTATGTAATTTTTAAAAATGTGCTTGCTGTTTGTGTTGTTCTGCAATAACACTTTCGAAACACTCTTCATGCATGTTTTTAATGTTATATACTGTACGTGTAGCTCAAGCTCAGGGTAAACACAAAACAAATATTTCCATTTGTAGCTCCTCCGTGGGATATGACACTTGTAAAAACTCGCTCTATCAGGCTCACTGCTCTCCCGGCCCCGCCCACACTCATCACTGCTACCAAGCCGGCCAATTATTGCTTGTGTTATGCATTTTTGCGATGTATAGTTACATAAAACAATAAATTTTTTTTTTTTTTTTTTTGCGTAAGGAAACCTACTTATCCACCCTGCTTGGTTTCATAGATCCACGTTAATATGTAAATAAATTGCTTCACAAACAAAAAAAATATTTTGTATGATTGTAAATATTTGCAAAACACTGCAATATGCACATTTATGATATTTAGATAATTTTCAAATAATAAACAGCCACATTATGTAGAAAATATAGTTTTTTCTGTGGGTACTCGATCATGTGGCACATGCTGTTATAACAGTATGTGTAGGAACATCTTTTTTCTATGTCTCTATTTCATTTACAAACTTTGTTTCATTTACAAACTTTGTAGCATAAAACATTGTCTTTATCAAATTAAATGTAACAATACTTTTGAACGTCATGGTTATGGTACTCATCCTTACTATTAATATACCACTGAATACACGTTTCATTCTGATATACCCTTTACTGTTTGACTAAACTATTGTTGCTGGTTAAACAAAACCTATACATCACATACTGTTCTATTGCATGTTTAGGCATGGTTAAGTTGATTGGGGCTTTCAGAAAATAACTGGCCGAAGACCTTAAGGCAACAAAAAGTAGCAAAACATTTGGATAAATTAGTCAAGTAGCTGGTTGCAGGATCTCTACAACTTGCTAATTGTCACACAATCAGAACAAATAGATGAAAATTATTTATCTGCCCACCTGAAAAGTATTCCACCCCATAGCATCTCCAGATTGGGAAGAAGTCAGATTAGAATTAACTTCAGTCAATCCTGAAAAAGAAAGGGAAGCAAGTGAAATATATGACTATATATGTATTTTTCATTTTAATACAGTCTAAAAAAAAAAAAGTCTAAAAAGTCCTGTTACAATCAACAAAGTGGACTAATTTTGAATTAAATAGTTCACTCAAACACTCGCCAATAATCTTATATAAACACAAGCATATTGACAACAAAAAAACAACAATAGAATTTTTATAATAGGTTATTATAGTTGGAGTTGGTCAATTTCAATATTAATCCCACTTAATGAGACAGGTGGTCAATGTTTGGAGCATAGCAACTCCATTCTAGTTTCAACTTTTGGGACCACCAATCAATCGTAGATCATCCTCCACTTTCAAATCATGACCTGTATTTATTAAGGTTAATTAAAATATTAAATAATTAAGGTTAATAAAAAATATTTAAGTTGTTTTAGCACAAAATGGCATCTGTACATCCATAGTGGTTTGGTCATTTAACTGTTTACCTAGTGCAACCTCTAGGGCAGATGTCACATGATTTGCCCCAGTTACAGTGAATAGAGACCTTATCTAGTAGTAGTGTTCGAGAGAAGTGTCCTTCCGGGAAATACCTGGTAAAATGTTCCAGATGTGTTTGAGGCAATAAATATCAATAACTTATCAATGGTACCATTCTCATTTTGCTCATTGCAGCTTGTGAGTTTCTTTCTCTGACACTGAATGTACAGCAGAACCCAACATCCTCCTTATAACTGCTAAGGGAACACTGTAAAAAGTTGCTGAGCAGTGGAACAGAATGCTGAACTTGTCATTGTTCCTTATTTGATGTTTGATGCATTAAAGCAGCATGTCTTCTTTGAACAGGTGAAATTACAGGTTCACAGCCCCAAAACAGAAAAGTCAGAAGTTGGGACAATATGGAAAACGCACTAAAAAAAGAAAGTAGCTATTTCTAAATTTACTTTGACTTGTATTTCAAAGCAGACAATAAAACACCATATTATTTAATGCATTCTTCATCCTTTTTTTTTAAATGACATGCATTCCAATTTTGGTTTTTGTAACATTTGAAAAAAAAGTTGGAACAGTATAACATTTACCAGTTTATAATGTTGTCATTCTAACACAGACGTTTAGGAACTGAAGACAACAAAGCGATGGAAGCGTTTCATGTGTAATTTTGTCCCATTTTTACTGCTAACAAGACTCAATGGGCAACAGTATGGGGTCTTCAATGTTGCATTTTGCGCTTCATAACAGGCCACACATTCTCTGTTGGAGACAGTTTAGGACTGCAGGCAGGCCAACCAAGTACCTGTATGCTTTTCCTCCACAGCCAGGACTTTGTATTATGTGCAGTATGTGGTTTTGCATTGTCTCGCTGAAATGTGCATGGGCGTTCCTCGAAAAGAAGGCAGCATACTGTGCTCCAAAATCTCTATGTACATCTCAGCATTAATAGTGCCATCGCAGAAGTTACCTTTGTCAAGGGGCCCATACCATGACAGACCCTGGCTTTTAGACTTGCTGCTGGTAACAGTCTGGATGATCCTTTTCTTCTTTTGTCCCAAGGCACACAACGTCCATTTCTCCCAAAAAAATGCCTGAAATACAGATTCATCTGACCACAGTAGACGTTTCCACTGTTTACTAGTCCGTCCTAGATGTCTCTGAGCACAGAGAAGTCAACCGTGCCTCTGGACACTGTTAAAATAGGGTTTACTTTTGGCACAGTACAGTTTTCACTGGCATTTGTGGATGTAACTACATATTACATGGTACTACTAAATTTGCCAAAGTAGTCCTGAGCCCTTGTGGTAATGTTGCTTATAGATGAATGAGAACTGTTGATGCAGTGCCACCCGAGGGATCTGAGATCACAGTTGTTCAGCTTAGACCTGCACTGAAACTCCTCCAGATTCCTTGAATCCTTTAACGATGTTATGCACTGTTGAAAGTGAAATATCCAAATGTCTTCCTATCTTTTTTGAGGAACATTATTTTTAAACATTCTAATAATTTTCCCTTGTAGTTGTTGACAAACTAGCAATCCTCTGCCCATCTTTGTTCCTAAAGGACTAGACCTTCTTAGATGCTGTTATTGTATTAAATCATAATTACAATTACCTGTTGATATCACCCGTTTCAAATCACATAATTGAGCAATTTACCTGATTACTAGCCCTAAATTGCTCCTGTCCCAACTGCTTTTGGAATGTGTTGCAGTCTGAATGACAGGAGAGGATGCATTTTTACAAATGAAATAAAGTTTAATAAACATAACATGAAAATATTTTGTGTTCATATTGTCTTCAGTGAAATGGAAGTGAAAGTACATTTGGAAATCACTACTTTATTTTTTTATTTGCGTTTTCCACACAGTCTCAACCTTTTCTGATTTAGGGTTGTACTTGCCGGCTTGCATTTAAGGACAACATTGTATACACAAAGTAAAATTGAAAATTGAGGATGCAGTGCTGAGTGTGATATCAAACTGAACTGATTCAATGACATGAGAATCAAAATTGAACTAAAAAGTCACACCACTGTAGGTTTACATCTCTATTAATTAAATGAGGATAAAAGGGTTAATTCACCATGAAAAGCATATAAAATCAATGGAACGATTGTGTATAAAACAAGCATATTAGATAGCTAATGATAACACATGTTAGCTATCTTTTCTCAAATATTTTTTAGCATATTGCCAAGGTGGTTGATGCCCATAAAGAACAGTGTCTGTGTCTTCAAGTTTAGACAGAGAAATAAAAGCTCTTACAACTGTTACTGAGATCCTACGGTTCTTACAAATGCTTAGGGTAGCACAATTAATTAGCACTATGATCTATAGCACATTTATTTAGAACTGTACATTGTAAAGAGTTATCACCTACCTAAAGACATAAGCTCATCATCTAGAAGACTGATGCCTAGCTCCTGTGTCTGAGAGGGAAATTCAGAGAACGACTGAGCAGAAGGGGAAGTGTCTAGTCCTGTCAGATCCAAAAGTGCATTACTGCTACCTGTAAGCACAAAGTTTGAAAAAGTGTAAGAAATAACCATTAGTGTGACCTCTGTTGTGTTTCTAAAAACCATTGACAGCACAACAAGACACTCTACACTATAGGTAAACATCTCCAGACATCACTGAGTTCATGTACCTGGGTGTGTGGCTGAGCTGCTCGCTTCTCCATTAACCTCCTCCCCTCTCACCAGCTGCCTGTACAGATTGATCACCTGCGTTAGGCTGTCATTCGCCTGTAAGATCTCAGCTGCAGACAAAAACATACACAAGAGACTCAGAAACTGACCTAATTCATGAACTCCTGGAAACTATGTGAAATTAAAGTTTTTGCCCCTCAACCTGTATGCCTCACCAAGAGCTTCATCATTGTCCTCAGTATCACTGGCCAATCTGAACAGAGTTGGTCTCATCTTTTCACAGCGCTGGTACAGATCCTACAATGACAGAATAAAAACCAAACACAAATCATAAAAACTTATGTGCGTAAATTGTCAAGAGAAAACTGCTGACGTGTTTTACAGACCTTAATGAGCTCCTCATTGCTTTGTGAGGAGCTGTCTTTGCTGTAATCTCCCAGTAACTGTGTGAGAAGCCCAACACTCTCCTTCACTTCCTGAATAGCATTCACTCTCTTTGACACCTTCTCCATACGTTTCTGATCCTGGAAACACACTAAGAATTAGACACAGCAAATCCATACAGTTAACACACAGGTCCAAAAGAAGGTACAATGTTTTCGGTGCTTGAAAGTTTTGCCAATGTGGAATCTAGTCTTGAAATGTAGTTTATTGTATGCCTGGAAAGTCATGTAATCTGACAAATATTAGTTGAATAGAGTGAGACTGGCAATCAAATTGTGATACATGTGATTGTCTTTGCAAATTAAACCACAGAAAAGAGTATTATTGGAATATTTATTCTTTATGGAATTAAACAAAAAAGCATATATGACACCAGTCATACAATGATTTCATCATTTACCTAGTAAGACATCAACATGAGATTCACTGAGTCAAGTCACAAACATTTTACCATTAGGATGTCTACAGAGTTTAACAAGGTCATTTATTTACATTTTCTTTCTTTGCTTTCCAACATGCCATTAATTGACATTATTGCATATAAATATTACCAACACTTTTTTGGTGGCCTTGAACTCCACCGCTGTTGTTAATGTTGTTTTAAAACTCAGGCTAACATACGCTCCTCTACTAACCTCCTGAACCATTTCTTTGATGAGTTTGTTTGCTGCCCGCAGGTCCTCAGGATGAGAGCTATTCAGAAGACGGGACAACATCTATTGATTGAGGTAAAATGCAAAAAAAATAAATAAAATAAAATAAAAAAAGAGAAAAACAGATTAAGAGAAATATTTACTTTTTTGGATATATTTGCTTCTTTGGATTTAAGTTTACAAACACCTTACATCAGTTTTCTGTATTCCACATAAACTCTGATAACCACTCAAAATGTTATTTTTCAATTCAAATGACAAATTACGTGAATTTTTTTTTAAAGGCAGGGGTGTGTGACATTGGCAAAAAATATAAAAATGTTTAATAATAATGACAATAAATATTTAGCTGCATGAGTTTGTGTTGGTACTTTAGGCCTGTCATGGAAAAACGCAAATTAGTTTACATGGACCAATATTAGGATTTCAATATGATTAAAGCCACATTCACACTACGAGCGACTCACAGCAGCAAAGTGTTAAGCGACCGTTCATTTAGACAGAAAGCGAGTGACTTCCAGCAGCCTCTATCGGCGAGAATAACAATGACATTTGGCAACCATGTAGGTGTGTCTAGCGATGCGACAAAGTTGAGAATCCTTCAACTTTATGAATATGAAGTGTGATTTTCTTGAGCCAATAGAGCACCAGTAAAGCTCACGTGATCCTCTCTCAGCTTGCTTAGAGGCCGGATGTATTCTCTGTGCTGTAGACCTACACAGACTTGTTTGCAGCAGATCGCTACCCAGAGCGACAGACAGCTACAAAGTCGCTTCTAGTGTGAATGAGGCATAAGACAATACTCAGATTAAGAGTCTACCATTTAAACAGAGATTTTTAATGACATTAATCCAAATAAAGTCATAACCATATTAAACTAAATTTTTCGCTTTTCATGACAGGATATTCCATACAGACTCAATTGTTTGACACTGTTCTCTGCACCCATCAAGTTAGTAAAAGACTACAGACACCCGCATCTCTAAGTGCGCGCACACACAGGGAACTCCTGGAAACTCATCACACCGGCCATCATCACCCACGAACACACTTTTATGCTGCCTGGGAATTGCTGAATTTCGTTCAATTCAGCATGCAGTATCCAATTCCAATTAAACAACACTCTTCCACCAGTCCTTACTTCATTCTCGCATTCAGTACCTCAGAGTTCGTCTCAGAGGCATGAATGAAAGTGAAACTGCTGAACTGCATTTTAAGTTTACATGAAACAACAAAGGAAAGATCGGATAGAGTGGTGACGTAATGACATTAATCAATCAATGTACTATAACATGTAAAACAGGAACATGAAAGTAACATTCTAAAAGCAACTCATATAAACACCTTAATCATATTATTGCCTTATTTAGATTAAGGTAAATAATTTGATATCGTTCAATCATTTAAACACAGTCACTGACTGAATCAGTCAAACAAACAACTTGCCTATTGTATGACTGTAAATTTTAAAATCATTACAACGATTACGTTATTATTGCAGGCAATAAATATCGGACACCCCTAATAAAAGAAAGTGAAAATGAACCACAAACTTCAGCACTAAAACTACCTTTGATTTCTCTTCATCCTCAAAGATTGCATTCTTGGGCCTGGGCGGAGGAGGAGGGCAGGGCTTATCATCAGGGAGATCAGGGTCTTGCTTAATAATACCTTTAAAACAAAGTGATCAGTAATTATAATGTAATCTATGTACTAACTAAACAGTTCATAGCACAACCACAGACACACATGAACACATTAGCTGTGTGATGGAAATATAAAAAAAATAGACAAGACAAAGTTAAATCAGGACCTTCCTCAGATTACCTTGTTTCTTAAGCATCTGATAGGCATCAGAAATCTTTGTCTCTTCTGGTAAACTCACAGTCCAGCTGTACATCATTTCTAAAACTTTTTTCTTCACCGGTTCTGGAGCTCGAGAACCAAGATACTGTAATAGAAATAGTACAGGGAGTATTATTGACAAATTTCTTTAGGAACTAATGCATATTAAAGGTGCCATAGAAAAAAAATAGCATTCCTGGTTAGTGACAACTTTACATTAGAAAAAAAGTCTACATTCAAAACATTTCCAAGACATTCTGTATATTCAAACCCAACATCACCATTCACCGTCTTTTCTAATTCTAGTGACATCACTTTCTTTTCTTTTTCACAATACTGACAACTATCAGTTTAATTTTAAAAGTACTTAAAGGACCACTCCACCTTTTTCTTTTGAAAAAGGCCCATTTTACAAGTCAAGTTTGCAACAGTTGACTTGAACTTTTTTTTTAATCCAATTGTTCTTGTTCTGCCTGGTCACTTTCAGCTTAGCTTAGTATTACTTATCTTTAAGCATAAATAATAGCTATATTTATATTGTGCCAAACATGTGTGTTGAATCATAACTAGGTTGTATATCCACATTTGAACCCTACTATCTTTATTCCTACCTCCCCATGAGATGCTAATATGCTACTGGTAAACCTGTCCAAAGCTGACCTAAGGCTTTGAACAGAAATGTTGGGAGTAGACATATGACAACACTGAAGAAATTCTGTAGTTTTTAAATCATACATGATGTTTGCATCTTAACAGTAAGTTTTTATTGTTTTAGAAAAATATCCATTAACTATTTTGTTTGATAATTACATTAAATTAATTTATTCATTCATTTTCTTGTCAGCTTAGTCCCTTTATTAATCCAGGGTCGCCACAGCGGAATGAACCGCCAACTTATCCAGCACATCTTTTACGCAGCGGATGCCATTTCAGCCGCAACCCATCTCTGGGAAACATCCACACACATATTCACACACTACGGACAACTTAGCCTACCCAATTCACCTGTACCACATGTCTTTGGACTGTGGGGGAAAACGCAGCACCCAAAGAAAACCCACGCGAACGCAGGGAGAACATGCAAACTTCACACAGAAACGCCAACTAAGCCGAGGATCAAACCAGCGACCTTCTTGCTGTGAGGCGACAGCACTACCTACTGTGCCACTGCGTCACACATAAATTAATTTTGGATATTAATTTATCTAATAAATAATTAGATATTAAAATCAGCTAAAAATTCTTTAGTGAATTTTTATATAGCAAAAAAATGTTAATGCATATTCTTCCATTATAGTGCAACCCTAATAAAAAGAACAACATTTTGTTATGGGACATACTTGTAAATATGTAAATAAGTACAAAAAATCCTCTAAAGTATAACCTTTTTTTTTTTTTTTGGAAAATTATAAAAAATAAAATGATTTTTTTTGTATTGAAGTAATAGTTACAGTCCTCCACTGCCTTGGTTTATATTCAAATAAAGCATCAGTGTTTATATTTTATTTTATTATTACATTATTTTATTTTATTTATTATATACATACCTTAGGTGATACCACTTTGATGAGCTCATTAAGGAAACGGAACTTTCCCACCTCATTATGGAACCTTTTCCCACAGTTCTTCACACAAGTTTCTAGAACCTTAATACACATAGTAACAGCGCATTGAATCATTTGTAAATAACAATAATGAAACAATAATGTATATTCCAATAGAGCTGTCAAATAGAAAATCCAATAACAGCGGAATTCTGACTTTTGTAAATGAACCAATGGTGTGATGTCTCGACCATGGTTGCAAGTAGTCCTCTATTAATTGATTCAACAAGATATTAGGGAGAGTAACGAGGAGCCTCAAATCTATACCAAAGTGTTTTTATGTGTGAATCACATAATCAGGAAACAACATAAGAGTTTATAATATCATCATCTTGTGGATCGATATAACTAATTTAAATACACAGCATTGTGCAGTTATTTTGATATTGACATTGATATTATATTTTGATAATCTTCAGTTACACACAATGCAAGTTATTAACTACTGAAATGTAATTGATTGGTTGGCTGTTTATAGACAACATTAGACCAATGGTCCAGGTTCAGAACAAATGACACACTTACCATGAGAGCTTGAATGGCCTCCCACTCTTGAGGAGATTGAATCTTGTGAGCGAGTAGCCTGGTGGCCAGCTGTGGACTAAAAACATAATACATTTTTTAAAAAAAGAATACATTTACCATTAAAGGCCTATATTATTTTACATAATGTATTTTTTAGGAAATTAAAGATTTGATATCTTCTTTCTCTTTTGTCGTTTCATTTCTTAATAAGCCATTATATTTTTTATTATTTCTATACATTTAATAATGTGCTTCATTAATGTATATACAGCCATCGTGCTTTACCATTTGTATTAATCAAAGTTACATTTTATGCCTAGGTATATGGCTAGGAACTAGTATACTCTCATTCTGGCAAAATAATCAAGGAACTTTTCTGCCATACCATTGCAGCAGCAGATACAATTATATTATGCAGTGCTTGAAATTCGTCACATACACCTATTTAATCAAACTGCTTTACCAGGACCATCTGGTTGGTCACGTTGGAAGTTGGAAACCATGTTTTAAAATGAGTATTTTCATAAAAAGAAGACTTTTCCTTTAAGCAACTGTACCAACTTTAAGCAACTCATGTTAGGCCAAAAGTGTCTGACCTCTAGGATTGGGTATCATTTAAATTTTTGCGATTTAGGTTCAGATTCCATTTATCAATTACGGTTCTAATATTTTAGGGAGAGAAAAAAAAAGAAGCAAATATAGCAAATATTTGACTTGACTTTTTATTCTTGCCATATTTAGGCTTTAATCAGTAGGATGTAACTGTTAAAAGGTTCGTGCAAAAATTTTATTTTTGATAAGAAAGCACAAACCTGAAGCAATTAGAAATATATTTATATCTGTCTGAATGTATTTAATCGTGATCACTATTTTTTTTAAATAATCAATTGCCAGTTTATCCCGAATTATACGGCTTTAATTCTCTAAGCTAACAGTCTTTTCATCTACGTTGTTATTCCCAATGTAAGACTTTTGTTTTATTTTAAAGCTCCTACTAACCCATCTACTAGACATTTGCAGATCCTCAATAATTCAATTTATTGTGATAATGAACATGAACAATAATGATATTGTGGGCACATACAAATACTGTGAATTATTTATTATTTAAACTTTTACAGTGCTTTTTAAGAGGAATGACAACTTACCAGGGGTAAATATTAGTTCTTTCTTTCAAAAAGATATTTTAAAGAAACCTGAAATCCTGTAACCACTGCCTTCCATTGTAGAATGTGTGTTTAAAAGAAGAAAGTAAGTCAAATAGGTTTGGATCAAGTAAAGGATGAGTAAATTATTACAAAATTATGACAGAATTTACTGCGAAAAAATATATGCGCCCTAAAATGCTCAGCTGCAAGAGCTTCCCCAACTCTCAAAGCTTTTAAAACACAGAGTGCTCAGTGTAGATGCACACTCACACTAATTGTGTATTTTATTCCTGCAACTAAGCCACCAACACAACTGGTCGAGAAACAACTAGTAGAAAACTATTAGGGCATTAGGGGGCAGCCATAAAACCCTCTACTATCGGTTCAAGCCTACATCACAAGAGCAGAGGCAGGAGAGGGCGTGGCCAGCACTGCAGAAGAGGAGGAGGGGAGCAAACAACTGTTGTCAGTTGGCTCACAAAATGAGACACAAACCGTGAGGAGATGCATGATTTTTTATAGTTTTCAAAGTTAAAATGCAAAGAAATGAACAGTAATGCCCTGCAACATTACTCGTAATTTCATATACACACAACCACAATTTATATCATTATAAAAATAATTGTGTTTATACAAACACTGTAAATGAGGACTCCCTCAATTCCCGAATCTGAAGTGCAGCAGGTCTCTTGCCCTGTCAATTTCAACCATTAGCCATGCTGGTAATCTGGAGGATTTAGGCGAACACAGCAGCTTGGCACTGGCAGGTCTGTCTTGCCTTCAGAAAGCACGCGCAGTCATGAATAATAAAGAAGCAGGCTCTTCTCATAGGATAAGAAAACTCCACTATAAATAATATTGAGAAACTGACGAATTTTCACCGATTTTGATCCTGCCTCAAAAATCATTTTAAATTTAGATGAAATTAGCTGACAAAAGCTCTAAATTATCTAGTTTTCCTCACAATTAAAGCTAACATTGTCTTAACTGATGCTCAACACATACAAATCTGTTAAAATCTCAAAAAATACTCAAGGTTTTCTTAAACCTTTAATAGTGGGACTAGCTGTTAAAATGCGCTGGCCAGATGGATTTAAACTTTGTTGTTGATCATTTTAAATTTTGTTTTGCAGGAAAAAAATTATAAAGCAGATATCACTCTGCAGCCCAAGACCAGTTACTCACTGAAGCTAAGCAGGGCTGAGCCTGGTCAGTACCTGGCTGGGAGACCACATGGGAAAACTAGGTTGTTGTTGGAAGTGGTGATAGGGAGGCTAGGAGGGGGCGCTCAACCAGTGATTTGTGTGAGTCCTAATGCCCCAGTAAAAGTGAAGGGGACCCTATACTTTCAGTGTGCGACGTCTTTCAAATGAGACAATAAACCGAGGTTCTGATTCTCATGGGTCATTAAAAATCCCATGGTACTTCTCGTAAAGAGTAGGGGTGTAACCCCAGAGTCCTGGCCAAAGTCCCTCAATCGGCACTTAGGATCATGGCCTCCCAATCATCCCCATCCACTCAATTGGCTCTATCACTGTCTCTCTACTCCACCAATATCTGGTGTGTGGTGAACGCACTGGCACCATTGTCCTGTGGCTGCCGTCGCATCATCCAAGTGGATGCCACACACTGGTGGTGGTGTGGAGAGACCCCCCCCTCATGATTGTGAAGCGCTTTGGGTGTATGGCCATACACGATAAAATGTGCTATATAAAAACATTACAATTACATTACAGAATATTCTCCTACCAATCCCAACACAGGGCTCGAAATTAACTTTTTTACTTGGTAGCACTGGTGCTCCCAAAAATAATAAGTTAGGAGCATCCCAAAAAATTTAGGAGCACCCATTTTCTTTTTAGTTATGCGCCGATCTTGATTCTTAATGGCCGATTTTGATTAGCACACGTACATCTCGGAGATGTCTATTTGACGTCTGCATTCACATCTGCAAGACATCTACAAGACGTTTCCTATCAGATGTGAAATAGCCTTCTATTAGACATCTTTAAGATGTTTGCGATTCAGAATGTGTGTAAAACTGACATCATACAGACGTCTTCAGCACTGTATACAGCAGGTGCTTTCCAGATCAAGAGATCTTTAACAGACATCTTGCAGACGTATACAGACACAAAATATCTAATACAATGGTATTTCAACCTTTATAACATTAAAAGGGATAAATCAAGTATATAATTTCTTATATTAGTTTTACTTAATTGTTTAGATTTTTAAAAGGCACATTAACTTCTTTCACATTTACACATGGATCGATAATTGCAATAATTTGACCATAAACAGCTGAAAAAATTTATTGGAAATAAAAATTCATTCTGTCACAAGGGGGCGCTTTAGGAGCGCTGAAATATTACGGTTTCCCTAGTAATGACTGTACACAAATCAGCATTATATGCGACCAAAATGGTCGCAATTTCGAGCCCTGCAACATATTCACTTTTTTTTCATTTGTTGAAATAAATATGCATTTGTAACAATCTATGAACAATCTACAAATACAAATTGTGGAAATAGATCTCAGCAAAACTCTTTGCCTTATAGTTAGAGATGCTAGTTTTGTGAATTTTCTATTTCATGCCCAGTTAAATTGTTAAAAAAGACTGGAATACAGACTTACCCTTCAGGTTCATTGCTGAGTTGGTCACAGAAGAGCTGAATACTTTCCCAGTCAGTTTCTCGATTTAAAGGGTTGGTTGCTTTGTCTAGAGGTAACAGAGAACGGTAAAACAAAAGCATCAGAAAAATCGGACCTAAAACCTTGGGGTGCAACGATATTTAAACAAAAGGAAAAAAAACACAATGCCCGGGCGCGGTTTGGTTGGCTGCAGATCAGGAGCAGTGGAGACTGAAGAACACTTCCTGCTCCACTGTGATAAATATACAGAATTACGAGACTCACTGTATAAACAAATAGTCCTGAATACTCCTCAGTACCTGACTAAATATTGTAGTGATATTACTGTAAACTTGACCAACTCTTTCATGTGTACAATCACACCAGTGTTATGACATTAGAGCGCACGTCATTAGCTGCTCAAACTCAAATCTGCTGGCTCGTGCTGAGGATAGAAAGAGGAGCGGAGTGCCTGTCTTAAATCACAATTAATGAGAGTTTTCAATCAAATAAAGTTTATTTTAGGTTTCAGACATTCAAATACACAAAACTACAAGCAAAACATAACATTGTAAAATACATGCGAATCTCTTCTTTCACGGACAATCTCTGCCTCACATTCAGTCTGTCTCGTGCATCTGTTGCACTCTTTCTGCACCCTAGTCCTCCAAGGCATGAGAGAATTTGACAATAAATGCTTCTAAAGGCTGGTTTATACTTGACGTGTTGGCTAGTTCACTTGGGTGCATGTGGCGAATGTGACACCACTGTGTTGGCAGATATTTGCTTTGAGTGCGTGAGACATAATTTTAAGTTTGCAGCGTACACATTATTTTTTTAACTCTGCGCACAGCGCCATATCGAAAGATGCACAACTTGAAGCTAGGGGCTGAACGACTTCAGACTTTTGGAAGTTGGCTCTGATGTTATTAATGTTGAGTCGACAAGAGGCTGATGACATCATCAATAAAACAAGACGCAAATATTTTGCAACATGCCACAACTTGTCACATTTAAATGCATCCAAATACAATCACAAAAGCTAAAGTATGAAAAACTAATCTGAGTTTCTTGCAAATCCTACATATATAGTTTGGTTTATAATCTGTGCTCAACAATAATATATGAATAAAAGAATTAAATTAGATATTCTACATTGTGCATGTCAATTAAACTTTCAAAACAGCATGGCTGTCTTTGTTCATGTTCACAAATTCAAAACACAAAAAGTTACTTCACATTCTGTCACAAAATTTTAATATCCAGCAAACGAATAAATGAACAATATTAAGAAAGTGTAGTCAAAACACTGAGTTTATCCAAACACACAACCTGTTTTTATGCATCATATGGTGATGCAGACGTCTCCAAAACCCAACAGATGGACAAATCTAAACTAGTATATATAAATATAAATCTGAGGGTGACGCGGTGGCGCAGTAGGTAGTGCTATCGCCTCACAGCAAGAAGGTCGCTGATTCGAGCCTCAGCTGTTTCTGTATGGAGTTTGCATGTTCTCCCCATGTTCACGTGGATTTCCTCCGGGTGCTCTGGTTAAACCCAGTCCAAAGACATGCGGTGCAGGTGAATTGGGTAAGCTGAATTGTCCATAGTGTTTGAGTGTAAATGAGTGTGTGTGGGTGTGTCCCAGAGATGGGTTGCAGCTGAAAGGGCATCCGCTGCGTAAAACAAATGCTGGATCAGTTGGCAGTTCATTCCACTGTGGCGACCCCAGATTAAAAAGAGACTAAGCCGGAAAAAAATATATACATTTGTCAATAATCTACCCAGGTAGATCACATAGCCCGCTTTTTGGAATACCCCTGAATCTGCTCCAAGTTTACAAATTAGGGAAAGCATGAATTGCAGTGCATTAGAGTTAGCTCATCAAACAATTGGATTCTCACTAGAATGTGTATTGTGTGGCCTTTGTATTCTAGAACAGTGGATTATCTGAATGTGATTAGCTAAACTGTACAATTAATTATGATCTAATGCTTGCTGAATTCAGCAACTTTTTAGTGGATAAAATAATAAGTGTAACGTTAAATCTATTATGTAAATATGCTTGATGTTGTGTCCAATACCGTTATTAAGAGAGCTGGAGTATTTTAAACACGTTTTATTAGTATGCAGAGTGAAAAACAACATACCGACAATTATATTAGTGTTTTGGAAGCTAATTAATGAAATAAAAATCATAGCATGATAGGTAGCAGTGTGAAAATATAACGCGAATAACGACTTTACTTGCAGAGAAATATTGTCTTTAAATATCTTTACATTTAACGTTTTATTAATCGTCTATATCTGCTTTCTTATAGACAACTCCCTTTTGACTTACAAAGTAATTGTTAGCTCTTTCAACAACTCTCCTTTGCCTATTTCGAACACACGTGCACACATACACAACAATATGTTAGACTAAAAACAACCGTTTCAGAAAGTCAACTAACGTCAACGCTATATCGGCGTTAGCATGCTAATAACTCCCTATCAACAACACCACGACACTCCGCATCCGCATTCAGCAAAGTGCTTCAACCGAGACATCATCTTAGGTTAAAGGATCTCACTGATATTCCCACTGTCACACTAGAAAGTACTAAAAATCTACTTTAGATGTGTTTGACTTACTGATGCGGGACTCTAAGCTCTGCTCGTCAGGCGGAGCCGCCATCTTCACCCGAGATCACAAGACCAAGATCTCGCGATGAAACACGTGATGACTGACTACATACTTCATTTTTCATTTTCATGCAGTGAACATGAACCAGGAGACCTGTTTATATGTATGAATTATATATTAAATTAAAGTTATATAAAACTTAGCCATGTTGTGTAACTAGTACTAAAGTCTAAATGTGTCTGAGAGTCTGTTAACATTTCTTGCAATAAGAGTTAACTTACATGTCAATTTTGGACAGAAACACTTTTCATTTATGAAAGCAGACAGAAAATCTTGTTTTTGTTGTTGTTGTTGTTGTTTTTACATTCAAATATTGTTTAAAACAAACCTGTTGCACAGTACATGCCATTTCCATCACAAAGCGTAATGTCTCTTTAAAATGTGAACAATATTGTTCAGGTGATTTATATGGAAATGTATAGTGACATCTGACTACAAGCTGAACATGGATGAAAACTCAAGGTTATATTGCTTGATTAGTTTATATATCTATTTATTTTACATAATTTTCGAACAAGCACTACCTTCAAGTTTAAAGTATTTTGCATACATGAAATGTTGAAAGCAATCATTGAAGTTTGAAAGTAATCTTCTATTTTCTCACAATAAACTGTAGAAATGTAACAATCACCACGCTGCCATCTGTGGAAATAACATTTATTGTTACACAAGCCTCTGTGTAATATTATTTAATATATTACAATGCTATTGTAACCCCGCCGGTCCTACACCACCCAACCCGCCCGAGTTGGGATCGAACCGGCGACCTTCCGCATGGGAGTCGATTGCTCTAACAAGAAGGCTAAAGACCATGGACTCTATTGTCTGTCGCTAGAGCACCTTTAGAAATCAGAGGAGTGAGGTTTACCTGCACAGCACCTACTAGCTGGCCTCCATTACATTCACCCCCCTAAAATTCACTCCCATCCGGGTCATGGCACCAATGTGACCCCGCCGGTCCTACACCACCCAACCCACCCCGAGCTGGGATCGAACTGGCAACCTTCCGCTTGGGAGTGGGTTGCTCTAATAAGGAGGCTAAAGACCATGGCTTCTTGCATATGTCGCTAGAGTACCTTTAGAGGTCAGAGGAGTGAGGTTTATCTGCACAGCACCTACTAGCTGGCCTCCATTACACTCTTCATTCATTCATTTTCTTTTTGGCTTAGTCCCTTTATTAATCTGGGGTCACCACATCTCTGGGAAACATCCACACACACTCATTTACACACATACACTAAAGACAATTTAGCCTACCCGATTTAACTGTATCACATGTCTTTGGACTGTGGGGGAAACCAAAGCACCCGGAGGAAACCTACACGAACGCAGGGAGAACATGCAAACTCCACACAGAAACGGTAACTGAACCAGCCAAGGTTCGAACCAGCGACCTTTTTGCTGGAAGGTGTCAGCACTACCTACTGCGCCACCGATTTGTCCAATGCTATTCATATTTTTATTAGAATATGTTTTCATATTTATATTGCAATTCCATATATTGTAATTCCAAAAAAGGTTGGGACATCTTATGAAATGAAATCAAGAGTTTGTAATTTGTTAATTCTTTAACTGCTGAAAAAAAACAGCATATGCTGGTAAGGTATTTTTGATGATCGTCTGCTGGTCCATCTGGTCTCGACGCTGGTCTTGCTGGTTTTTAATGCGGGTTATGCGGGTTATGCTGGATTGCGAAAGAAAGCCATGCGAGAGTCAATGGCGGTCCTAGTATCTGTGGGCCCGGGCAGGGACCACTTGTACTTTTAGGGGGCACACTTTAACATACATCACAAACTACTTAAACAATAATTCAAAGTCTTTTTCATGCATCACTCTGCAGTCTTCATAAACAAGCTAAATAAATTCCTTAAACTAAAAATAATTGTCCATGTTTATTTGACAAGGAACTTTGTATTGTAGTAGGATAACACATTCACAATGAAATATATGAAGGCACATTTTTGCGCCTGTAAACTTTAACAGATACAGTTGAAGCCATTTTTTGCCCTCCTGTTAGTTTAATATAATGTTTTCCAAGTGCTCTTTAACAAACAAATACATTTTCACAGTATTTCCTATAAAACTAAAATAATTCTTTTAGAGTCATAAGTCTTATTTCTTATAGTTTGTCTTGAATAAAAGCAGTTTTAGATTTTTAAAAAACAATTTGAGGTTAGTGTTATTGTCCTCCTAAAGAAATATTTCTATTTTTTGATTGTCTACACAACAAACCAGTTATACAATAACTTGACTAATTATTCTAACTTTCCTAGATAACATATCCTAATTAAGTCTTTAAATTACACTTTAATCTGAATAAATAATCTTGCAAAATAACTAGCAAAATATTTTGCACTCACGGTCACAATGGGTAAGAAAAAAAAGTAGTTATTAGAAATTTGTTTATTAAACTATCAAGGCACCGGCCCCCTCTGGCCACTGGAGAGAATTGTCAAACAAATCAAAAGACACATTTATCAATAAAAAATAAATGTAGGCCTTTTATAAACTAACATGGATACCACAAGAGCAGTAGCCGGTGCAACTCATTCCCCTTTTGCCTGGAGAAAAGCAGGTTACAAAACCTCCTGGTCTGTGTCGACTTGAAATGAGCCATTCTCCAGTGTGTCAACTTGAGCCGCGAGCAAAATAACCGGAGGACAAAATTGAATTTCAGAGACAATGGCATAGTGTAGATAGAAGTTTCAGTCAATCATACTAGGCTGCAATTTACCCAGTTAACTCAAGGTTAAATACATATTTGAATTCATCACCTATGGAGAGAGTGCTGGGTTTGGAATGTCTAAAATTGCACATTAAGATTGTACTGAAGGACAGACCACTTAAGAAGAATTCTCTCGAATGTCAATTCTATTTATGATCCCCTGGCAATACTGAGCCTTGTGGTTTAAACAGCAACATACATATTTAGAGTTTTGTGTTGGAGGGAAAATGACTGGGATGACACTGTCCCTAAGTCAGTAAAATGTCTGCAGCACCTGCATCTGAATACAATTAAGTTGGACAAACGTGTGAAAACTATCAGGTGTCAGAATTCAGAACAGACACAAGTGCAGGTCTCAAAATGTTTATTAGATCACAAAAAAGCAACAAATTCTCCAAAAGACTTTGAGCACAGGGATGAATAAAATAAAATAAATCTTAAGAAATACTGCTCCAAAGAGGACAAAAATGAGCTCAACAAAACTGTAATAATACATGCTTATTTAAAAACACATTAAATAATGTGCTGTGGTATTGTCTGCAATGAAATACAAGTCAAAGTGAATTTAGAGATCAGTCTCTATGTTTTTCCATATTGTCCCAACTGTTTCCGATTTGTGGTTGTATTATAATTTACTTGCAATTCAGAAGACAAAATGCAATGAACATGGTGAAATTTAGCTGTGTGAAATGTTCTTTTGGAGCAAAGATGCTCCAGATAGTTCTGGATCTATTGGAATCATAATACTTAACCATCGGGGTGACTGGTTAGCCCGCTGGTTTGCCCATTAATGCTATTTTTATCATCACATGATCTTATAACGATTATAACGAAATCATATTTTTTAATGCACATACTGGAATTTCTTCTTTAAAAGCATTTTCATAGAAGATTATGCATATTTTATCTTATCAGATAAAACGTTTATCCTACTCATAAGATTTTATGTACATTTTCAAAAATTGTGCATCATAGCGTTTGCATCCAGGCTTTTTTTATGCGATATTCCAAAATGCGTCTAAAAATAGGTGGATGGAAACATAGCTACTAAAAGGCCACTCTAAAATGTGTAAAGATGAGACCAGCTGCCTGAACAGCTGCTGCAACAACTGATTTGTATAAACAAAAAAATCTGTAGAAGCAGTCAGACACTTGTCTTAAACTTGTTTTAAAATAGTCTTAACGAAGCTCATCTACATGATCATCATCCTCGTTGGGGTCTAGACCTGACTACAATTCATTGTCTAATTGGCCCAGGAAAAACAAAAACACATTTAGGACCTTGACCACGTTCCAGACATTTACATATATAAATTTATATATATAAACAACTTTGGCATTATTTGCCATATGAACAAAAAAATTTAATCTCTGAAACTCTGACCTAAATTTATTAATAAAGCTTTCTGGACATTGGTTCATGTTTTACACGTAGAATTCTGCCATCTGGAGAGAATAAACATTTTTAAAAAAGAAAGAAAATGCAATTTCCCCGTACACTTACTGCCCACTTTATTAGGCACACCTGTCCAACTGCTCGTTAATGCAATGGTTTGAGCTGATAGAAAGGCAACAATAACTCAAATAAACACTCATTACAACTGATGTATGCAAAAGAGCATCTCTGAATGCGCAACATGTCGAACCTTAAGGTGGATGGGCTACAGCAGCAGAAGACCACACCGGGTGCCACTCCAGGCTACAGTTCGCACAGGCTCACCAAAAATGGACAATTGAAAATTGGAAAAACAGATTGCCTGGTCTGATGAGTCTTGATTTCTGCTTCGACATTTGGATGTTAGGGTCAGAATATACCTTGTATTAACAGTTCAGGCAGGTGGTGGTGGTTTAATGGTGTGGGGGATATTTTCTTGGCACACTTTGGGCCCATTAGTACCAATTAAGCATTGTGTCAACGCCACAACCTACCTGAGCATTGTTGCTATCCCTTTATGAACACAGTGTATCCATCATCTGCTTGCTACATCTAGCAGGATAACACGCCACGTTATAAAGCGCAAATCATTTCAGACTGGTTTCATGAACATGACAATGAGTTCACTGTACTCAAATGGCCTCCACAGTCAACCTTTGGGATGTGGTGGAACGGGAGATTTGCATCATGGATGTGCAGCTGTCAAATCTGCAGCAACTGCATAATGCTATCATGCCAATAGACCAAAATCTCTGTGGAAAATTTCAAGTACCTTGTTGAATCTATGCCATGAAGGATTTAGGCAGTTCTGAAGTCAAAAGAGAGTCCAACCCGGTACTAGTAAGGTGCACCTAAAAAAGTGGTCGGCGAGTGTATATAACAGGGGTCTGTAAGAGGGAAGACAATTTTAACATAAAAATGACTGGGGTATCAAATAAAGAAGAGCCAGAGTCAGAGATTCAATCAATTAAAGAGAGATTATTGAAGATAGTAAGAGTTGACCTTATTGGTTAAAACATATATAAAATTAATTGTTTTTGTTAAGAGGATTGATGAAATGTTATGTGGTGTTCTTGTATTTTAAAATTGTTGTTGGGCTGTTACCTTGGAATAATTAAATAAATAAAATAAATTCACATCTAGTTGCATGTACAGCTATTCAAGTAGTATCAAATGTACAGTTCCACATGAGAGGTCTCCATGACCTTTTTGATGGGCCTGAATATCCAGAGAAATCAAATAACTTGGCATACAGAAAAAGCAGTTACACACATTGTTGTGATCGCAAGCTGTGTTTTCTTCGCTGGAGATTACTTCCAGTATTCTTACTGAACTACAACTCCCAGAACTCTTTGCACTCATCAACTCCTGTCACAGCTGACAATAATCTGGTTACACAAACACACACACACACGCACACACGCACACACACACACACACACACACACACACACACGCACAAAAACACACAGCTGAAACTCACAATTACTGATTACATGGACTATATATACCTGTACCACACACTTTCACAGACACTTTGCTGAGTCTTGTTTATTTGCAAACAATACAATGCATTTTTTCCTTGTCCTCCAGTGTTTTGACCTTTTTCCTTGTTTATTGTTTTTGACTTTTTGTTACCTACCCTGACCATTAACCTGTTTTGGACCTCTCTTTTGGATCACTTTTATGCTCCTGTTTGTTCCTGTTTTTGACTATTGACTGCACAACTGTCCTTTAACAAACTGCATGTCCGTTGTCAGCGTTAATTGTTATACACATATCATTTAGGTTTTACTTTAAGTGGGGGTGACACTCAGTTCATCATATAATCTAGGTCAGGGATGTCCAAGCCCAGTCCTGGAGGGCCGGTGTCCTGCATGGTTTAGCTCCAACTTCCTTCAACACACCTGCCAGGACGTTTCTAGTATACCTAGAAAGAGCTTGATTAGTTTTTTCAGGTGTATTTAATTGGGGTTGGAACTAAACTATGTAGGACACCGCCCCTCCAGGACTGAATTTGGACACCCCTGATCTAGGCCCTTAAACACAAATTCAACTTTATTAATAATCTTATGATCTAAAAAGGATATTTGCCAGTCTTATAGTGGTCATCATTGCTTCAGGTTCAACAAGAGTCATTAAATGTCAAGTTATTTTTCTTGATGCTTTAGAAAACATATGCTAGGATTCTCTTTTCCCCTGTCATGTGTTCTATGTGCTTTTGATTGTATCATGTGATTCCATTGTTCTGTTTATCTGCCAAATCGGACAGACTGTTGAAGAGAAGATGAAACGACAGAAAGAGCAGAAGGAGAGGAGCGACGAGAGGAAAGAGCTGGAGAAGAAATCAGCGCTGGATCGCTTTAAGAAGTGAAGATGTCTGATGTACATCGAGAACAGTGTTGCTCATCTGCCGCACACACTGGCAGATTACAGGACACGACTGTTTTATAATAAAATATCCTGATGTCATTTCTGTGCTTCCTTCAGTGTGTGTGTGTGTGTGTGTGTGCACGTGTGCTCCATCCCAAAGTATTTATTCTTTAAGCAAAAAATGACCAATAAAAAGGTGTGAAGCAGCAATTTTATTTATCTTTTTAAAAGATACACATTTGTACCCACATAGTCCACAGTGCATATTCGTACCCTAATGTTACTAAAAAGTACATTTGAGGTACCACTGTGGACCCTTCAGGTACAAATATGCACCTTTTGAAAAGATACTGCCCCAATGACAGCTCCTGCACCTTTATTTCTGAGAGTGAAGACGGTGTTTACAGCAATATTTTACAAGATTTTACGCTCATACTTTCACTGATTTTTAAATATCGCTCATATTGAATATTAAATATTGTGGGCTAAAAGATGGAACCATTTTGAAAGATGTAAAAAAGCTACGTAGCCAGTTTAGAGGAAAACGCGACACAGCGGGGTTAGTTGTAACAGGGTGTTACAAATAAGCCACACACTGTTGGACACCAATTAAACCAACACAATCATTGCTAAATTCTGAGTGTATTGTTGGGAACTTTTCAAATGAAAAAAGTTTTTTTTTATATAGTTTTTTTATTTAATATAATTTTTTATTGCTAATAATGCAAATAAATGCATTGCAAAATGATGGATAATAATGCAAATAAATCAAAATGTGTTTATTCCATAGATAAATAAATAAATAAACATTGTGCTATGTAGAATAAAAAATTAATTTATAAAAATAAAAAGCAGTGCTCATTTGTAGGAGAGGCTTGTGTGTTGTTGGTAAAAAAACAAATGGTTGGTCTAAGCCCAGTAGGGATTATTATTAGGGGTTATATTCTATTCGTTCATTATTTGGCCAACACCAAAAAGTATTACTCTGTGCCCCGCTCTCCCCTATGTCTTGCTGGATGCATCACATTGAAGCTGAATACTTCAAATGAATTTATATTATTTCAATCAATATATGTCAGTTTTGTGGTTTGAGTTTAGCAGAACCCTCTCCATTACATTTGTTGTGCTTCTTTGTCTACAGTTGCATCAATTTCTAACTGATTATGTATTTATGACGGCTTTTAATCAATTAATTTAGCAGAGTTTTATGTATTCTATGTGCTTTGCACATGTCCTCAGTCATTTGTTTTTAAAAGAAAACATTGGTTAGTGCAGGGTCTGGTTACCATAGTGAAGCGTGTTCTGAGAATAGAACGCATTCCAAAAGTGAACTGTAAGCCTTGCAGCACAGGAAAAACTCTTGTTGGTTTGTGGTAGTGGCGTTGAGCGGGTGTGTCTTTCGTTGCGAGTCTCCTGTAGTGATTCTCAGCGATTAAACATCGGCCCGTTTGAGTGATTCACGGTGCAAGACCGAAATCATCATCCAGATCAGCTACCAAACAAACCCCGAGTTCTTGACAGAAAGTCTGAAAACCAAACTGACGTCATGATTGAGCATCTTCCACTGGGCGTTGACCCCGAGACATCGGCTGCCAAAATGGAGAGTAAGAGCAACATCACATATTATTATAGTTGATAACAATAAATAACACTAAAATACAAAATAAAAGTAAAATTTCATGGTTAAAGTGTGTTTAAATCATGGTAAATGAGTGGTTTAGTTATTTATATTTGGGTGTTTGTTTTTGGTGAATGTTAATTTAATTTCCTCAATTACTCTGGAGAAGTGTGTCAAGATGTGCAACTGTTTATCTTTTAACAGACGACAAGAAGAAGAAAGTGAAAGAGACAAAGAAGAAAAAGAAGAGCAAGGTTGCTTTGTTCACCAGAGCGGCCTTGAGATGGTTCTGCTTCTCTCCCAGTGATGAGCCGTTCAGATTCCCATCCTCTGATGGTAAATGATGCTTTTGGCATCTACAGTAGATGTTTCAGACTGTAATGTTATGAATAAACTGTATATTTACTGCCCTGATCTGGAGTTTAACATGAAACTGACGGTGTGTGTGTGCAAACTGCAATCATCTGTCTTCTAACAGATAATGAGGTCTATGAGAAGAGGATGGTGGAGGAAGAGGAACTGAAGGAGATGAAGCAGGAGGAAAAGGAGGAGGTGGAGAAGGAGGTGAAAGTGAAAGAGAGGAAGAAGAAGAAAAAGAAGAGCAAGGTTGCTTCGTTCACCAGAGCGGCCTTGAGATGGTTCTGCTTCTCTCCCAGTGATGAGCCGTTCAGATTTCCTTCCTCTGATGGTAAATGATGCTTTTGGCATCTACAGTAGATGTTTCAGACTGTAATGCTGTGAATCTGGAGTTTACCATGAAACTGACGGTGTGTATGTGCAAACTGCAATCATCTGTCCTCTAACAGATTATGAGGTCTATGAGAAGAGGATGGTGGAGGAGGAGGAACTGAAGGAGATGAAGCAGGAGGAGGAGGAGGTGGTGATGACGGAGGAGGAGGAGGTTGTGATGACTGAGAAAGTGAACGATAACACGAAGGAAGAGAAGACAGAGGAGGAGGTCAAGAAAAGAAAGGAGGAGGAGATAAGCAGCCAGCTGTCAGAGGAGTTCTGGAGAATGAAATTGAGGGAGGAGGAGAAGGAAAGTGTGGTGGAGGAAAATGAGGAATTAAAACCCATTGAAAAAGCGGAAGTGGAGGACATGGAGAAAGACAAAGTGAAGAAGAAGACAAAGAGGAGAAGGAGGCCGAGGAGAAACCGCAGGGTGGAGGAGGAGGTGAAAGGACAGGAAAGTGAGGAGGTGGAAAAGAGCATGGAGGAGAAAGAGACAATAACTGACATCGTAAGAAAGGAGGAGGTGGAGGAGAGGGTGGCGAACAGGAGGAGGATGACCACATGGACAGTTGACAGCTTGAAAGAGGAGTTGAACAGAAAGTTCCCGATACACAAGCAGCACATGTGGCCCAACAACAGACCTGCCTCCAAGGCCCAGGCTGCACGGCGGGGGAAAAACCGCCATATTCTGTTATGGGGACAGAGAAACGTGTAGAACTCAATAAAGTTGTGTTGAACAAAACAGAGGAGAGTGTGTCGAGTTTATCTGCTCAATTTCTGCTTCAGAAGTGTTGAATGTGTTCTTACAGGTTTTGAACATTCTTACAAACATCTTCATTTCTGTTCAACCCGAAGAAAGAAAGTCAAACTGGTTTATAACAGCTGAAGGCTGAGGAAATGAGGACAGAATGATTGTTTTGGTTGAACTATATTTTCAGGCCTAACATTTAGCTTTTGAGATTTAAGACTTTTTTAAGACTCCACTGATAGCCTGAATTTCATAACAATGATATTACCCCAGACATGCTCAATAATGTTCATGTCTGGTGACTGGGCTGGCCAATCCTGAACCAGCTTGACCTTCTTTGCTTTCAGGAGTTTGATGTGGAGGCTAAAGTATGAGCAGCGCTATCCTAAAAATGTGCCCTCTCCTGTGGTTTGTAATGTAATGGGCAGCACGAATGTCCAGTCCAGGGGTCACCAACCCTGTTCCTGAAGAGCTGCCTTCCTGCACATTTCAGTTGCAACCCTGACCAAACACACCTGTTTGTAATTATCAAGTGCTGCTTTAGGTACTATTAATTGGCTCATGTGTGTTTGATCAGGGTTGGGACTGAATTGTGCAGGAAGGTAGCTCTCCAGGAACAGGGTTGGTGACCCCTGGACTAGTCTTTGGTTGAACGCAGTGAATGAAAGCACAGGAGGGAAGCAGCAGTCTGGATGCAGCTATCACACATTACTATGAGCTATTACATATTTCTTTATCACACACTGACGGATTCAAAGATGGCCAGATCTAACGTGTAGAAACTGACAAGAATTCTAACTCATTTTTAGCCATTCTGACAAATAATACACCAACAAACAACAGACCATTTCACAAAGAGGATAATGACGCATTTCAACAGTTCTCTTAAATAACTGAGTGTTTAATAAACTAACATTTGTACATTTATACAGCTTTAGAGCTACATATTTGCTTCGAAAGAGGTATTCCTAATGTAGTGTATGAGCAGGTCAGTGCATTTGACTATAGAAATATATAAATATTCTGCAGTTTTCAGTCTCACATGATTTTTAATGTCGAGGTTTTCTTTTTTATGTGCGCAAACTGAAATGCTCTCTATTGACAACCGCTGCTGAGAAACCTAGAAATGTGAAAGGAGGTCTATATTATTTTATATTTATTCTGCAGGCGCTGTAGAGAAGAGAAAGAGGAAAGTCGCCCATGAAGATCAGAGGGTATGTCATCTCTCTCTGTCGCTCTGCCGTTTGTTTTAGTGGTATTTGGTAAAGGCTAGTTTCTGATTCTTCTAATAAGCTTAAGATTAAGTCATCCTGGTGTGTTTGGGATCATCTTATGCCTTCTTGACAACGGCTAGAATGTCTGACAGCATTGCAGGAGATCAAGAACTATATATAGATCATGAGAATCTAAAGAAATCATATCTAGAACCTAGAATATCATAGACTTGAGGAATTTTAACAGCAAGTCTTGTTTCTCTTTGAACTCTAAAAACTGTATTAGAATGTTTTCTAGTATTTATTGCATACTTTAATTGATTTTTTTATTTATTTAACATACCTTTCAACATTGGGATGAGAAAATAAGGAAAAATCAATGCACTAATATAGAAATTAAAGTTATGAAATCTCATTCACATTTCTTAATCGCTCTATAATTTAAAGGGCCATGAAACCCCCTCGTTTCAGCAGGGTGTTTTCACACCTCTACTTTGGGAAAAGTCAGAAAAGTGGGCGTGTCCAGCTCTGTTTAGGGGGGAGTGTCGGATGAACTAAAGAGGCTTGGTGTGGGAGTGTCTATTTGGGCGCGCTGACTTTCAGAGTCAAAACACACACACACACCGGGGAGAAAGTGACTGTGTTTACATGGACATCTGTAGTCGAATTATTTGGCAAATTATTAAATGGTGGACTTTAACTGCAGTTTGGCTCTTTCATTCAGGGAATTCAGTCGTGTCACTCGCGACAAACGAGATATTTGATTCGAGGAACTGCTGTAAGCGTGTATTTTTCATGCAATGTTTGATACCGCACGGCGAATGAGAAAAAAAAAACCCTCAGCATTTCCTGAAAACTTAGATGCACTCAGCAGGTAGCGTCAGAAAGCCGCGTGTGTTATTCCGGTCACTAAATACGGTAAAAACCCTACACGAGGTTAAAGTTTGGTTGTGGAGCTAACATGTTTACAATAAGTGCAATAGTTCGATACTAGACACGTAAGTTATTGTTGTCGCGCGTCATGTTGCGTACACTGTAATCCACACGTGAGTCTGAGCTCTCACAGAGAGAAAATGAAAACGAAACTGAACTGCAGCAAACTATAAAAGCAACACTTCACGCTTGTTTTGCCAACACAACGTGGCGTCTCTGCCGTCTAAACACTGTGACAGTAATGAATATTAATGAAGGTGCACAATAGAGCGCGCTGATTGGTTTGAACCAAGCCTTACTCTTGCATTAATGCAGCACACTCGGAGACGTAATACGGGACACCCAGGTACAGACATCCAGTCTAGATCTCATGGCCGGGACGCAGCTTTAAAAATTCGTTTCAATCCTTAAAAACGAATTTGCTCTAAATAAGGCAAAAACAACCAATTTACACTTTTTAGTGAGATATAGGTGTCCTAATAGTGTTTTTAGCAGTGTGGGACACATATACCACTGTCAACAGCTCAACACATGTGTTCTGGTGTTTTGTGACCCTTTAAATTTACAGTTGAAGAGAGCGATCCAGTTACATTTGAATTATTTTATGTTTTTTACCAAATGTCTGTATTTTTTATTCAGCATATTTATAATCATATTAGTTTTACTAATTCATCTCTAATAACTGATGTATTTTCTTTCTGTCATGATGATAGTAAATAATATTAGACTAGATATTCTTCAAGACACTAGTATTCAGCTTAAAGTGACATGTAAAGGCTTCACTAGGGTAATTAGGGTAAAGTTAGGGTAATTAGGCAAGTCATTGTATAACAGTGGTTTGTTCTGGAGACAATCCAACACTAATATTGCTGAAGGAGGCTAATAATATTGACCTTAAAATGGGTTTAAAACAATTAAAAACTGCTTTTATTCTAACTGAAATAAAACAAGTAAGACTTTCTCCAGAAGAAACAAATATTATAGGAAATACTGTGAAAATTTCCTGAATCTGTTCAACATCATTCGGGAAATATTCGACAAAGAACCAAAAAATCTCTTATTTATATTTTTGAGTTGTCATGATTTCTCCTCTATTGTGATTCTGCAGGATGAAATCCGACAGACTGTTGAAGAGAAGATGAAACGACAGAAAGAGCAGAAGGAGAGGAGCGACGAGAGGAAAGAGCTGGAGAAGAAATCAGCGCTGGATCGCTTTAAGAAGTGAAGATGTCTGATGTACATCGAGAACAGTGTTGCTCATCTGCCGCACACACTGGCAGATTACAGGACACGACTGTTTTATAATAAAATATCCTGATGTCATTTCTGTGCTTCCTTCAGTGTGTGTGTGTGTGTGTGTGTGTGCACGTGTGCTCCATCCCAAAGTATTTATTCTTTAAGCAAAAAATGACCAATAAAAAGGTGTGAAGCAGCAATTTTATTTATCTTTTTAAAAGATACACATTTGTACCCACATAGTCCACAGTGCATATTCGTACCCTAATGTTACTAAAAAGTACATTTGAGGTACCACTGTGGACCCTTCAGGTACAAATATGCACCTTTTGAAAAGATACTGCCCCAATGACAGCTCCTGCACCTTTATTTCTGAGAGTGAAGACGGTGTTTACAGCAATATTTTACAAGATTTTACGCTCATACTTTCACTGATTTTTAAATATCGCTCATATTGAATATTAAATATTGTGGGCTAAAAGATGGAACCATTTTGAAAGATGTAAAAAAGCTACGTAGCCAGTTTAGAGGAAAACGCGACACAGCGGGGTTAGTTGTAACAGGGTGTTACAAATAAGCCACACACTGTTGGACACCAATTAAACCAACACAATCATTGCTAAATTCTGAGTGTATTGTTGGGAACTTTTCAAATGAAAAAAGTTTTTTTTTATATAGTTTTTTTATTTAATATAATTTTTTATTGCTAATAATGCAAATAAATGCATTGCAAAATGATGGATAATAATGCAAATAAATCAAAATGTGTTTATTCCATAGATAAATAAATAAATAAACATTGTGCTATGTAGAATAAAAAATTAATTTATAAAAATAAAAAGCAGTGCTCATTTGTAGGAGAGGCTTGTGTGTTGTTGGTAAAAAAACAAATGGTTGGTCTAAGCCCAGTAGGGATTATTATTAGGGGTTATATTCTATTCGTTCATTATTTGGCCAACACCAAAAAGTATTACTCTGTGCCCCGCTCTCCCCTATGTCTTGCTGGATGCATCACATTGAAGCTGAATACTTCAAATGAATTTATATTATTTCAATCAATATATGTCAGTTTTGTGGTTTGAGTTTAGCAGAACCCTCTCCATTACATTTGTTGTGCTTCTTTGTCTACAGTTGCATCAATTTCTAACTGATTATGTATTTATGACGGCTTTTAATCAATTAATTTAGCAGAGTTTTATGTATTCTATGTGCTTTGCACATGTCCTCAGTCATTTGTTTTTAAAAGAAAACATTGGTTAGTGCAGGGTCTGGTTACCATAGTGAAGCGTGTTCTGAGAATAGAACGCATTCCAAAAGTGAACTGTAAGCCTTGCAGCACAGGAAAAACTCTTGTTGGTTTGTGGTAGTGGCGTTGAGCGGGTGTGTCTTTCGTTGCGAGTCTCCTGTAGTGATTCTCAGCGATTAAACATCGGCCCGTTTGAGTGATTCACGGTGCAAGACCGAAATCATCATCCAGATCAGCTACCAAACAAACCCCGAGTTCTTGACAGAAAGTCTGAAAACCAAACTGACGTCATGATTGAGCATCTTCCACTGGGCGTTGACCCCGAGACATCGGCTGCCAAAATGGAGAGTAAGAGCAACATCACATATTATTATAGTTGATAACAATAAATAACACTAAAATACAAAATAAAAGTAAAATTTCATGGTTAAAGTGTGTTTAAATCATGGTAAATGAGTGGTTTAGTTATTTATATTTGGGTGTTTGTTTTTGGTGAATGTTAATTTAATTTCCTCAATTACTCTGGAGAAGTGTGTCAAGATGTGCAACTGTTTATCTTTTAACAGACGACAAGAAGAAGAAAGTGAAAGAGACAAAGAAGAAAAAGAAGAGCAAGGTTGCTTTGTTCACCAGAGCGGCCTTGAGATGGTTCTGCTTCTCTCCCAGTGATGAGCCGTTCAGATTCCCATCCTCTGATGGTAAATGATGCTTTTGGCATCTACAGTAGATGTTTCAGACTGTAATGTTATGAATAAACTGTATATTTACTGCCCTGATCTGGAGTTTAACATGAAACTGACGGTGTGTGTGTGCAAACTGCAATCATCTGTCTTCTAACAGATAATGAGGTCTATGAGAAGAGGATGGTGGAGGAAGAGGAACTGAAGGAGATGAAGCAGGAGGAAAAGGAGGAGGTGGAGAAGGAGGTGAAAGTGAAAGAGAGGAAGAAGAAGAAGAAGAAGAGCAAGGTTGCTTCGTTCACCAGAGCGGCCTTGAGATGGTTCTGCTTCTCTCCCAGTGATGAGCCGTTCAGATTTCCTTCCTCTGATGGTAAATGATGCTTTTGGCATCTACAGTAGATGTTTCAGACTGTAATGCTGTGAATCTGGAGTTTACCATGAAACTGACGGTGTGTATGTGCAAACTGCAATCATCTGTCCTCTAACAGATTATGAGGTCTATGAGAAGAGGATGGTGGAGGAGGAGGAACTGAAGGAGATGAAGCAGGAGGAGGAGGAGGTGGTGATGACGGAGGAGGAGGAGGTTGTGATGACTGAGAAAGTGAACGATAACACGAAGGAAGAGAAGACAGAGGAGGAGGTCAAGAAAAGAAAGGAGGAGGAGATAAGCAGCCAGCTGTCAGAGGAGTTCTGGAGAATGAAATTGAGGGAGGAGGAGAAGGAAAGTGTGGTGGAGGAAAATGAGGAAATAAAACACATTGAAAAAGCGGAAGTGGAGGACATGGAGAAAGACAAAGTGAAGAAGAAGACAAAGAGGAGAAGGAGGCCGAGGAGAAACCGCAGGGTGGAGGAGGAGGTGAAAGGACAGGAAAGTGAGGAGGTGGAAAAGAGCATGGAGGAGAAAGAGACAATAACTGACATCGTAAGAAAGGAGGAGGTGGAGGAGAGGGTGGCGAACAGGAGGAGGATGACCACATGGACAGTTGACAGCTTGAAAGAGGAGTTGAACAGAAAGTTCCCGATACACAAGCAGCACATGTGGCCCAACAACAGACCTGCCTCCAAGGCCCAGGCTGCACGGCGGGGGAAAAACCGCCATATTCTGTTATGGGGACAGAGAAACGTGTAGAACTCAATAAAGTTGTGTTGAACAAAACAGAGGAGAGTGTGTCGAGTTTATCTGCTCAATTTCTGCTTCAGAAGTGTTGAATGTGTTCTTACAGGTTTTGAACATTCTTACAAACATCTTCATTTCTGTTCAACCCGAAGAAAGAAAGTCAAACTGGTTTATAACGGATGAAGGCTGAGGAAATGAGGACAGAACGATTGTTTTGGTTGAACTATATTTTCAGGCCTAACATTTAGCTTTTAAGATTTAAGACTTTTTTAAGACTCCACTGATAGCCTGAATTTCATAACAATGATATTACCCCAGACATGCTCAATAATGTTCATTTCTGGTGACTGGGCTGGCCAATCCTGAACCAGCTTGACCTTCTTTGCTTTCAGGAGTTTGATGTGGAGGCTGAAGTATGAGCAGCGCTATCCTAAAAATGTGCCCTCACCTGTGGTTTGTAATGTAATGGGCAGCACGAATGTCCAGTCCAGGGGTCACCAACCCTGTTCCTGAAGAGCTGCCTTCCTGCACATTTCAGTTGCAACCCTGACCAAACACACCTGTTTGTAATTATCAAGTGCTGCTTTAGGTACTATTAATTGGCTCATGTGTGTTTGATCAGGGTTGGGACTGAATTGTGCAGGAAGGTAGCTCTCCAGGAACAGGGTTGGTGACCCCTGGACTAGTCTTTGGTTGAACGCAGTGAATGAAAGCACAGGAGGGAAGCAGCAGTCTGGATGCAGCTATCACACATTACTATGAGCTATTACATATTTCTTTATCACACACTGACGGATTCAAAGATGGCCAGATCTAACGTGTAGAAACTGACAAGAATTCTAACTCATTTTTAGCCATTCTGACAAATAATACACCAACAAACAACAGACCATTTCACAAAGAGGATAATGACGCATTTCAACAGTTCTCTTAAATAACTGAGTGTTTAATAAACTAACATTTGTACATTTATACAGCTTTAGAGCTACATATTTGCTTCGAAAGAGGTATTCCTAATGTAGTGTATGAGCAGGTCAGTGCATTTGACTATAGAAATATATAAATATTCTGCAGTTTTCAGTCTCACATGATTTTTAATGTCGAGGTTTTCTTTTTTATGTGCGCAAACTGAAATGCTCTCTATTGACAACCGCTGCTGAGAAACCTAGAAATGTGAAAGGAGGTCTATATTATTTTATATTTATTCTGCAGGCGCTGTAGAGAAGAGAAAGAGGAAAGTCGCCCATGAAGATCAGAGGGTATGTCATCTCTCTCTGTCGCTCTGCCGTTTGTTTTAGTGGTATTTGGTAAAGGCTAGTTTCTGATTCTTCTAATAAGCTTAAGATTAAGTCATCCTGGTGTGTTTGGGATCATCTTATGCCTTCTTGACAACGGCTAGAATGTCTGACAGCATTGCAGGAGATCAAGAACTATATATAGATCATGAGAATCTAAAGAAATCATATCTAGAACCTAGAATATCATAGACTTGAGGAATTTTAACAGCAAGTCTTGTTTCTCTTTGAACTCTAAAAACTGTATTAGAATGTTTTCTAGTATTTATTGCATACTTTAATTGATTTTTTTATTTATTTAACATACCTTTCAACATTGGGATGAGAAAATAAGGAAAAATCAATGCACTAATATAGAAATTAAAGTTATGAAATCTCATTCACATTTCTTAATCGCTCTATAATTTAAAGGGCCATGAAACCCCCTCGTTTCAGCAGGGTGTTTTCACACCTCTACTTTGGGAAAAGTCAGAAAAGTGGGCGTGTCCAGCTCTGTTTAGGGGGGAGTGTCGGATGAACTAAAGAGGCTTGGTGTGGGAGTGTCTATTTGGGCGCGCTGACTTTCAGAGTCAAAACACACACACACACCGGGGAGAAAGTGACTGTGTTTACATGGACATCTGTAGTCGAATTATTTGGCAAATTATTAAATGGTGGACTTTAACTGCAGTTTGGCTCTTTCATTCAGGGAATTCAGTCGTGTCACTCGCGACAAACGAGATATTTGATTCGAGGAACTGCTGTAAGCGTGTATTTTTCATGCAATGTTTGATACCGCACGGCGAATGAGAGAAAAAAAACCCTCAGCATTTCCTGAAAACTTAGATGCACTCAGCAGGTAGCGTCAGAAAGCCGCGTGTGTTATTCCGGTCACTAAATACGGTAAAAACCCTACACGAGGTTAAAGTTTGGTTGTGGAGCTAACATGTTTACAATAAGTGCAATAGTTCGATACTAGACACGTAAGTTATTGTTGTCGCGCGTCATGTTGCGTACACTGTAATCCACACGTGAGTCTGAGCTCTCACAGAGAGAAAATGAAAACGAAACTGAACTGCAGCAAACTATAAAAGCAACACTTCACGCTTGTTTTGCCAACACAACGTGGCGTCTCTGCCGTCTAAACACTGTGACAGTAATGAATATTAATGAAGGTGCACAATAGAGCGCGCTGATTGGTTTGAACCAAGCCTTACTCTTGCATTAATGCAGCACACTCGGAGACGTAATACGGGACACCCAGGTACAGACATCCAGTCTAGATCTCATGGCCGGGACGCAGCTTTAAAAATTCGTTTCAATCCTTAAAAACGAATTTGCTCTAAATAAGGCAAAAACAACCAATTTACACTTTTTAGTGAGATATAGGTGTCCTAATAGTGTTTTTAGCAGTGTGGGACACATATACCACTGTCAACAGCTCAACACATGTGTTCTGGTGTTTTGTGACCCTTTAAATTTACAGTTGAAGAGAGCGATCCAGTTACATTTGAATTATTTTATGTTTTTTACCAAATGTCTGTATTTTTTATTCAGCATATTTATAATCATATTAGTTTTACTAATTCATCTCTAATAACTGATGTATTTTCTTTCTGTCATGATGATAGTAAATAATATTAGACTAGATATTCTTCAAGACACTAGTATTCAGCTTAAAGTGACATGTAAAGGCTTCACTAGGGTAATTAGGGTAAAGTTAGGGTAATTAGGCAAGTCATTGTATAACAGTGGTTTGTTCTGGAGACAATCCAACACTAATATTGCTGAAGGAGGCTAATAATATTGACCTTAAAATGGGTTTAAAACAATTAAAAACTGCTTTTATTCTAACTGAAATAAAACAAGTAAGACTTTCTCCAGAAGAAACAAATATTATAGGAAATACTGTGAAAATTTCCTGAATCTGTTCAACATCATTCGGGAAATATTCGACAAAGAACCAAAAAATCTCTTATTTATATTTTTGAGTTGTCATGATTTCTCCTCTATTGTGATTCTGCAGGATGAAATCCGACAGACTGTTGAAGAGAAGATGAAACGACAGAAAGAGCAGAAGGAGAGGAGCGACGAGAGGAAAGAGCTGGAGAAGAAATCAGCGCTGGATCGCTTTAAGAAGTGAAGATGTCTGATGTACATCGAGAACAGTGTTGCTCATCTGCCGCACACACTGGCAGATTACAGGACACGACTGTTTTATAATAAAATATCCTGATGTCATTTCTGTGCTTCCTTCAGTGTGTGTGTGTGTGTGTGTGTGTGTGCACGTGTGCTCCATCCCAAAGTCTTTATTCTTTAAGCAAAAAATGACCAATAAAAAGGTGTGAAGCAGCAATTTTATTTATCTTTTTAAAATATACACATTTGTACCTACATAGTCCACAGTGCATATTCGTACCCTAATGTTACTAAAAAGTACATTTGAGGTACCACTGTGGACCCTTCAGGTACAAATATGCACCTTTTGAAAAGATACTGCCCCAATGACAGCTCCTGCACCTTTATTTCTGAGAGTGAAGACGGTGTTTACAGCAATATTTTACAAGATTTTACGCTCATACTTTCACTGATTTTTAAATATCGCTCATATTGAATATTAAATATTGTGGGCTAAAAGATGGAACCATTTTGAAAGATGTAAAAAAGCTACGTAGCCAGTTTAGAGGAAAACGCGACACAGCGGAGTTAGTTGTAACAGGGTGTTACAAATAAGCCACACACTGTTGGACACCAATTAAACCAACACAATCATTGCTAAATTCTGAGTGTATTGTTGGGAACTTTTCAAATGAAAAAAGTTTTTTTTAATATAGTTTTTTTATTTAATATAATTTTTTATTGCTAATAATGCAAATAAATGCATTGCAAAATGATGGATAATAATGCAAATAAATCAAAATGTGTTTATTCCATAGATAAATAAATAAATAAACATTGTGCTATGTAGAATAAAAAATACATTTATAAAAATAAAAAGCAGTGCTCATTTGTAGGAGAGGCTTGTGTGTTGTTGGTAAAAAAACAAATGGTTGGTCTAACCCCAGTAGGGATTATTATTAGGGGTTATATTCTATTCGTTCATTATTTGGCCAACACCAAAAAGTATTACTCTGTGCCCCGCTCTCCCCTATGTCTTGCTGGATGCATCACATTGAAGCTGAATACTTCAAATAAATTTATATTATTTCAATCAATATATGTCAGTTTTGTGGTTTGAGTTTAGCAGAACCCTCTCCATTACATTTGTTGTGCTTCTTTGTCTACAGTTGCATCAATTTCTAACTGATTATGTATTTATGACGGCTTTTAATCAATTAATTTAGCAGAGTTTTATGTATTCTATGTGCTTTGCACATGTCCTCAGTCATTTGTTTTTAAAAGAAAACATTGGTTAGTGCAGGGTCTGGTTACCATAGTGAAGCGTGTTCTGAGAATAGAACGCATTCCAAAAGTGAACTGTAAGCCTTGCAGCACAGGAGAAACTCTTGTTGGTTTGTGGTAGTGGCGTTGAGCGGGTGTGTCTTTCGTTGCGAGTCTCCTGTAGTGATTCTCAGCGATTAAACATCGGCCCGTTTGAGTGATTCACGGTGCAAGACCGAAATCATCATCCAGATCAGCTACCAAACAAACCCCGAGTTCTTGACAGAAAGTCTGAAAACCAAACTGACGTCATGATTGAGCATCTTCCACTGGGCGTTGACCCCGAGACATCGGCTGCCAAAATGGAGAGTAAGAGCAACATCACATATTATTATAGTTGATTACAATAAATAACACTAAAATACAAAATAAAAGTAAAATTTCATGGTTAAAGTGTGTTTAAATCATGGTAAATGAGTGGTTTAGTTATTTATATTTGGGTGTTTGTTTTTGGTGAATGTTCATTTAATTTCCTCAATTACTCTGGAGAAGTGTGTCAAGATGTGCAACTGTTTATCTTTTAACAGACGACAAGAAGAAGAAAGTGAAAGAGACAAAGAAGAAAAAGAAGAGCAAGGTTGCTTTGTTCACCAGAGCGGCCTTGAGATGGTTCTGCTTCTCTCCCAGTGATGAGCCGTTCAGATTCCCATCCTCTGATGGTAAATGATGCTTTTGGCATCTACAGTAGATGTTTCAGACTGTAATGTTATGAATAAACTGTATATTTACTGCCCTGATCTGGAGTTTACCATGAAACTGACGGTGTGTATGTGCAAACTGCAATCATCTGTCTTCTAACAGATTATGAGGTCTATGAGAAGAGGATGGTGGAGGAAGAGGAACTGAAGGAGATGAAGCAGGAGGAAAAGGAGGAGGTGGAGAAAGAGAAGGAGGTGAAAGTGAAAGAGAGGAAGAAGAAGAAAAAGAAGAGCAAGGTTGCTTCGTTCACCAGAGCGGCCTTGAGATGGTTCTGCTTCTCTCCCAGTGATGAGCCGTTCAGATTTCCTTCCTCTGATGGTAAATGATGCTTTTGGCATCTACAGTAGATGTTTCAGACTGTAATGCTGTGAATCTGGAGTTTACCATGAAACTGACGGTGTGTATGTGCAAACTGCAATCATCTGTCCTCTAACAGATTATGAGGTCTATGAGAAGAGGATGGTGGAGGAGGAGGAACTGAAGGAGATGAAGCAGGAGGAGGAGGAGGTGGTGATGACGGAGGAGGAGGAGGTTGTGATGACTGAGAAAGTGAACGATAACACGAAGGAAGAGAAGACAGAGGAGGAGGTCAAGAAAAGAAAGGAGGAGGAGATAAGCAGCCAGCTGTCAGAGGAGTTCTGGAGAATGAAATTGAGGGAGGAGGAGAAGGAAAGTGTGGTGGAGGAAAATGAGGAAATAAAACACATTGAAAAAGCGGAAGTGGAGGACATGGAGAAAGACAAAGTGAAGAAGAAGACAAAGAGGAGAAGGAGGCCGAGGAGAAACCGCAGGGTGGAGGAGGAGGTGAAAGGACAGGAAAGTGAGGAGGTGGAAAAGAGCATGGAGGAGAAAGAGACAATAACTGACATCGTAAGAAAGGAGGAGGTGGAGGAGAGGGTGGCGAACAGGAGGAGGATGACCACATGGACAGTTGACAGCTTGAAAGAGGAGTTGAACAGAAAGTTCCCGATACACAAGCAGCACATGTGGCCCAACAACAGACCTGCCTCCAAGGCCCAGGCTGCACGGCGGGGGAAAAACCGCCATATTCTGTTATGGGGACAGAGAAACGTGTAGAACTCAATAAAGTTGTGTTGAACAAAACAGAGGAGAGTGTGTCGAGTTTATCTGCTCAATTTCTGCTTCAGAAGTGTTGAATGTGTTCTTACAGGTTTTGAACATTCTTACAAACATCTTCATTTCTGTTCAACCCGAAGAAAGAAAGTCAAACTGGTTTATAACAGCTGAAGGCTGAGGAAATGAGGACAGAATGATTGTTTTGGTTGAACTATATTTTCAGGCCTAACATTTAGCTTTTGAGATTTAAGACTTTTTTAAGACTCCACTGATAGCCTGAATTTCATAACAATGATATTACCCCAGACATGCTCAATAATGTTCATGTCTGGTGACTGGGCTGGCCAATCCTGAACCAGCTTGACCTTCTTTGCTTTCAGGAGTTTGATGTGGAGGCTAAAGTATGAGCAGCGCTATCCTAAAAATGTGCCCTCTCCTGTGGTTTGTAATGTAATGGGCAGCACGAATGTCCAGTCCAGGGGTCACCAACCCTGTTCCTGAAGAGCTGCCTTCCTGCACATTTCAGTTGCAACCCTGACCAAACACACCTGTTTGTAATTATCAAGTGCTGCTTTAGGTACTATTAATTGGCTCATGTGTGTTTGATCAGGGTTGGGACTGAATTCTGCAGGAAGGTAGCTCTCCAGGAACAGGGTTGGTGACCCCTGGACTAGTCTTTGGTTGAACGCAGTGAATGAAAGCACAGGAGGGAAGCAGCAGTCTGGATGCAGCTATCACACATTACTATGAGCTATTACATATTTCTTTATCACACACTGACGGATTCAAAGATGGCCAGATCTAACGTGTAGAAACTGACAAGAATTCTAACTCATTTTTAGCCATTCTGACAAATAATACACCAACAAACAACAGACCATTTCACAAAGAGGATAATGACGCATTTCAACAGTTCTCTTAAATAACTGAGTGTTTAATAAACTAACATTTGTACATTTATACAGCTTTAGAGCTACATATTTGCTTCGAAAGAGGTATTCCTAATGTAGTGTATGAGCAGGTCAGTGCATTTGACTATAGAAATATATAAATATTCTGCAGTTTTCAGTCTCACATGATTTTTAATGTTGAGGTTTTCTTTTTTATGTGCGCAAACTGAAATGCTCTCTATTGACAACCGCTGCTGAGAAACCTAGAAATGTGAAAGGAGGTCTATATTATTTTATATTTATTCTGCAGGCGCTGTAGAGAAGAGAAAGAGGAAAGTCGCCCATGAAGATCAGAGCGTATGTCATCTCTCTCTGTCGCTCTGCCGTTTGTTTTAGTGGTATTTGGTAAAGGCAAGTTTCTGATTCTTCTAATAAGCTTAAGATTAAGTCATCCTGGTGTGTTTGGGATCATCTTATGCCTTCTTGACAACGGCTAGAATGTCTGACAGCATTGCAGGAGATCAAGAACTATATATAGATCATGAGAATCTAAAGAAATCATATCTAGAAGCTAGAATATCATAGACTTGAGGAATTTTAACAGCAAGTCTTGTTTCTCTTTGAACTCTAAAAACTGTATTAGAATGTTTTCTAGTATTTATTGCATACTTTAATTGATTTTTTTATTTATTTAACATACCTTTCAACATTGGGATGAGAAAATAAGGAAAAATCAATGCACTAATATAGAAATTAAAGTTATGAAATCTCATTCACATTTCTTAATCGCTCTATAATTTAAAGGGCCATGAAACCCCCTCGTTTCAGCAGGGTGTTTTCACACCTCTACTGGGAAAAGTCAGAAAAGTGGGCGTGTCCAGCTCTGTTTAGGGGGGAGTGTCGGATGAACTAAAGAGGCTTGGTGTGGGAGTGTCTATTTGGGCGCGCTGACTTTCAGAGTCAAAACACACACACACACACACACCGGGGAGAAAGTGACTGTGTTTACATGGACATCTGTAGTCGAATTATTTGGCAAATTATTAAATGGTGGACTTTAACTGCAGTTTGGCTCTTTCATTCAGGGAATTCAGTCGTGTCACTCGCGACAAACGAGATATTTGATTCGAGGAACTGCTGTAAGCGTGTATTTTTCATGCAATGTTTGATACCGCACGGCGAATGAGAGAAAAAAAACCCTCAGCATTTCCTGAAAACTTAGATGCACTCAGCAGGTAGCGTCAGAAAGCCGCGTGTGTTATTCCGGTCACTAAATACGGTAAAAACCCTACACGAGGTTAAAGTTTGGTTGTGGAGCTAACATGTTTACAATAAGTGCAATAGTTCGATACTAGACACGTAAGTTATTGTTGTCGCGCGTCATGTTGCGTACACTGTAATCCACACGTGAGTCTGCGCTCTCACAGAGAGAAAATGAAAACGAAACTGAACTGCAGCAAACTATAAAAGCAACACTTCACGCTTGTTTTGCCAACACAACGTGGCGTCTCTGCCGTCTAAACACTGTGACAGTAATGAATATTAATGAAGGTGCACAATAGAGCGCGCTGATTGGTTTGAACCAAGCCTTACTCTTGCATTAATGCAGCACACTCGGAGACGTAATACGGGACACCCAGGTACAGACATCCAGTCTAGATCTCATGGCCGGGACGCAGCTTTAAAAATTCGTTTCAATCCTTAAAAACGAATTTGCTCTAAATAAGGCAAAAACAACCAATTTACACTTTTTAGTGAGATATAGGTGTCCTAATAGTGTTTTTAGCAGTGTGGGACACATATACCACTGTCAACAGCTCAACACATGTGTTCTGGTGTTTTGTGACCCTTTAAATTTACAGTTGAAGAGAGCGATCCAGTTACATTTGAATTATTTTATATTTTTTTACCAAATGTCTGTATTTTTTATTCAGCATATTTATAATCATATTAGTTTTACTAATTCATCTCTAATAACTGATGTATTTTCTTTCTGTCATGATGATAGTAAATAATATTAGACTAGATATTCTTCAAGACACTAGTATTCAGCTTAAAGTGACATGTAAAGGCTTCACTAGGGTAATTAGGGTAAAGTTAGGGTAATTAGGCAAGTCATTGTATAACAGTGGTTTGTTCTGGAGACAATCCAACACTAATATTGCTGAAGGAGGCTAATAATATTGACCTTAAAATGGGTTTAAAACAATTAAAAACTGCTTTTATTCTAACTGAAATAAAACAAGTAAGACTTTCTCCAGAAGAAACAAATATTATAGGAAATACTGTGAAAATTTCCTGAATCTGTTCAACATCATTCGGGAAATATTCGACAAAGAACGAAAAAATCTCTTATTTATATTTTTGAGTTGTCATGATTTCTCCTCTATTGTGATTCTGCAGGATGAAATCCGACAGACTGTTGAAGAGAAGATGAAACGACAGAAAGAGCAGAAGGAGAGGAGCGACGAGAGGAAAGAGCTGGAGAAGAAATCAGCGCTGGATCGCTTTAAGAAGTGAAGATGTCTGATGTACATCGAGAACAGTGTTGCTCATCTGCCGCACACACTGGCAGATTACAGGACACGACTGTTTTATAATAAAATATCCTGATGTCATTTCTGTGCTTCCTTCAGTGTGTGTGTGTGTGTGTGTGTGTGTGCACGTGTGCTCCATCCCAAAGTCTTTATTCTTTAAGCAAAAAATGACCAATAAAAAGGTGTGAAGCAGCAATTTTATTTATCTTTTTAAAAGATACACATTTGTACCTACATAGTCCACAGTGCATATTCGTACCCTAATGTTACTAAAAAGTACATTTGAGGTACCACTGTGGACCCTTCAGGTACAAATATGCACCTTTTGAAAAGATACTGCCCCAATGACAGCTCCTGCACCTTTATTTCTGAGAGTGAAGACGGTGTTTACAGCAATATTTTACAAGATTTTACGCTCATACTTTCACTGATTTTTAAATATCGCTCATATTGAATATTAAATATTGTGGGCTAAAAGATGGAACCATTTTGAAAGATGTAAAAAAGCTACGTAGCCAGTTTAGAGGAAAACGCGACACAGTGGAGTTAGTTGTAACAGGGTGTTACAAATAAGCCACACACTGTTGGACACCAATTAAACCAACACAATCATTGCTAAATTCTGAGTGTATTGTTGGGAACTTTTCAAATGAAAAAAGTTTTTTTTAATATAGTTTTTTTATTTAATATAATTTTTTATTGCTAATAATGCAAATAAATGCATTGCAAAATGATGGATAATAATGCAAATAAATCAAAATGTGTTTATTCCATAGATAAATAAATAAATAAACATTGTGCTATGTAGAATAAAAAATACATTTATAAAAATAAAAAGCAGTGCTCATTTGTAGGAGAGGCTTGTGTGTTGTTGGTAAAAAAACAAATGGTTGGTCTAACCCCAGTAGGGATTATTATTAGGGGTTATATTCTATTCGTTCATTATTTGGCCAACACCAAAAAGTATTACTCTGTGCCCCGCTCTCCCCTATGTCTTGCTGGATGCATCACATTGAAGCTGAATACTTCAAATAAATTTATATTATTTCAATCAATATATGTCAGTTTTGTGGTTTGAGTTTAGCAGAACCCTCTCCATTACATTTGTTGTGCTTCTTTGTCTACAGTTGCATCAATTTCTAACTGATTATGTATTTATGACGGCTTTTAATCAATTAATTTAGCAGAGTTTTATGTATTCTATGTGCTTTGCACATGTCCTCAGTCATTTGTTTTTAAAAGAAAACATTGGTTAGTGCAGGGTCTGGTTACCATAGTGAAGCGTGTTCTGAGAATAGAACGCATTCCAAAAGTGAACTGTAAGCCCTGCAGCACAGGAGAAACTCTTGTTGGTTTGTGGTAGTGGCGTTGAGCGGGTGTGTCTTTCGTTGCGAGTCTCCTGTAGTGATTCTCAGCGATTAAACATCGGCCCGTTTGAGTGATTCACGGTGCAAGACCGAAATCATCATCCAGATCAGCTACCAAACAAACCCCGAGTTCTTGACAGAAAGTCTGAAAACCAAACTGACGTCATGATTGAGCATCTTCCACTGGGCGTTGACCCCGAGACATCGGCTGCCAAAATGGAGAGTAAGAGCAACATCACATATTATTATAGTTGATTACAATAAATAACACTAAAATACAAAATAAAAGTAAAATTTCATGGTTAAAGTGTGTTTAAATCATGGTAAATGAGTGGTTTAGTTATTTATATTTGGGTGTTTGTTTTTGGTGAATGTTCATTTAATTTCCTCAATTACTCTGGAGAAGTGTGTCAAGATGTGCAACTGTTTATCTTTTAACAGACGACAAGAAGAAGAAAGTGAAAGAGACAAAGAAGAAAAAGAAGAGCAAGGTTGCTTTGTTCACCAGAGCGGCCTTGAGATGGTTCTGCTTCTCTCCCAGTGATGAGCCGTTCAGATTCCCATCCTCTGATGGTAAATGATGCTTTTGGCATCTACAGTAGATGTTTCAGACTGTAATGTTATGAATAAACTGTATATTTACTGCCCTGATCTGGAGTTTACCATGAAACTGACGGTGTGTATGTGCAAACTGCAATCATCTGTCTTCTAACAGATTATGAGGTCTATGAGAAGAGGATGGTGGAGGAAGAGGAACTGAAGGAGATGAAGCAGGAGGAAAAGGAGGAGGTGGAGAAAGAGAAGGAGGTGAAAGTGAAAGAGAGGAAGAAGAAGAAAAAGAAGAGCAAGGTTGCTTCGTTCACCAGAGCGGCCTTGAGATGGTTCTGCTTCTCTCCCAGTGATGAGCCGTTCAGATTTCCTTCCTCTGATGGTAAATGATGCTTTTGGCATCTACAGTAGATGTTTCAGACTGTAATGCTGTGAATCTGGAGTTTACCATGAAACTGACGGTGTGTATGTGCAAACTGCAATCATCTGTCCTCTAACAGATTATGAGGTCTATGAGAAGAGGATGGTGGAGGAGGAGGAACTGAAGGAGATGAAGCAGGAGGAGGAGGAGGTGGTGATGACGGAGGAGGAGGAGGTTGTGATGACTGAGAAAGTGAACGATAACACGAAGGAAGAGAAGACAGAGGAGGAGGTCAAGAAAAGAAAGGAGGAGGAGATAAGCAGCCAGCTGTCAGAGGAGTTCTGGAGAATGAAATTGAGGGAGGAGGAGAAGGAAAGTGTGGTGGAGGAAAATGAGGAATTAAAACCCATTGAAAAAGCGGAAGTGGAGGACATGGAGAAAGACAAAGTGAAGAAGAAGACAAAGAGGAGAAGGAGGCCGAGGAGAAACCGCAGGGTGGAGGAGGAGGTGAAAGGACAGGAAAGTGAGGAGGTGGAAAAGAGCATGGAGGAGAAAGAGACAATAACTGACATCGTAAGAAAGGAGGAGGTGGAGGAGAGGGTGGCGAACAGGAGGAGGATGACCACATGGACAGTTGACAGCTTGAAAGAGGAGTTGAACAGAAAGTTCCCGATACACAAGCAGCACATGTGGCCCAACAACAGACCTGCCTCCAAGGCCCAGGCTGCACGGCGGGGGAAAAACCGCCATATTCTGTTATGGGGACAGAGAAACGTGTAGAACTCAATAAAGTTGTGTTGAACAAAACAGAGGAGAGTGTGTCGAGTTTATCTGCTCAATTTCTGCTTCAGAAGTGTTGAATGTGTTCTTACAGGTTTTGAACATTCTTACAAACATCTTCATTTCTGTTCAACCCGAAGAAAGAAAGTCAAACTGGTTTATAACAGCTGAAGGCTGAGGAAATGAGGACAGAATGATTGTTTTGGTTGAACTATATTTTCAGGCCTAACATTTAGCTTTTGAGATTTAAGACTTTTTTAAGACTCCACTGATAGCCTGAATTTCATAACAATGATATTACCCCAGACATGCTCAATAATGTTCATGTCTGGTGACTGGGCTGGCCAATCCCGAACCAGCTTGACCTTCTTTGCTTTCAGGAGTTTGATGTGGAGGCTGAAGTATGAGCAGCGCTATCCTAAAAATGTGCCCTCTCCTGTGGTTTGTAATGTAATGGGCAGCACGAATGTCCAGTCCAGGGGTCACCAACCCTGTTCCTGAAGAGCTGCCTTCCTGCACATTTCAGTTGCAACCCTGACCAAACACACCTGTTTGTAATTATCAAGTGCTGCTTTAGGTACTATTAATTGGCTCATGTGTTTTTGATCAGGGTTGGGACTGAATTCTGCAGGAAGGTAGCTCTCCAGGAACAGGGTTGGTGACCCCTGGACTAGTCTTTGGTTGAACGCAGTGAATGAAAGCACAGGAGGGAAGCAGCAGTCTGGATGCAGCTATCACACATTACTATGAGCTATTACATATTTCTTTATCACACACTGATGGATTCAAAGATGGCCAGATCTACCATGTAGAAACTGACAAAAACAACTCATTTTTAGCCATTCTGACAAATAATACACCAACAAACAACAGACCATTTCACAAAGAGGATAATGACGCATTTCAACAGTTCTCTTAAATAACTGAGTGTTTGATAAACTAACATTTGTACATTTATACAGCTTTAGAGCTACATATTTGCTTCGAAAGAGGTATTTCTAATGTAGTGTATGAGCAGGTCAGTGCATTTGACTATAGAAATATATAAATATTCTGCAGTTTTCAGTCTCACATGATTTTTAATGTTGAGGTTTTCTTTTTTATGTGCGCAAACTGAAATGCTTTCTATTGACAACCGCTGCTGAGAAACCTAGAAATGTGAAAGGAGAGCTATATTATTTTAACTTGGACCATAGAATAAGCAGTTGTTATGGCTTGTTGTGCATTTTAAACATACTTAATGACATAAAAAGAGCCAATCCATTGATTACTCCTTACTTATTCTGCTTGATTTTGATTGGCCGGTGAGCATTCTAAGGTGTGCAGGTCAGATAAATAGTTCCAGCAGGTTTTGAGTGCATTACAGCTCTGTATCACTACGCTGAATGATTCGAGTTATTTCACAGTGAGAAATGCAGATCAAAACACAACTGAAGGCTTACTAAACCTACACGCAGGAGCAGTTTGAGGACAAAAACCTGACAAATAAAGTCGAAACAGTGAATTTAGCAGCTGTGGATAGCAGAGGAAGACCACTCCATTGCATTATAAGAAAAATAATACAAAGTCTACATTTAAAAGGGATAGTTCACCCAAAAAATGGGAATGTGCTCTCGATTTACTTACAAAAGAAGATAGTTTGAAGAAAGCTGAAAGCATGTAACCACTGACTTCCAGAGTAGGAAAAACAAATACTAAGGTCCAAGCCCAATTCTACCCCTTAGTCGTTCCTCTTACCCAATTATCTTTAGCTTGAAGGCGTAGGGCTAAGGGGAAGGGCTAGATAGCCCTTGAAACAGATTTTTCAGGGCCACACTCGAAACCAAGGGGTAAGAAAATTTCCCAGAATACACCAGCTACTGCACACGGAAGTCAGGAGATGCACAAATTAGTATTTTTGTCAATATTACGAATTTCAATAACAAACAAACACATGTTTTAATACATTAATAACCATGTTTGTGTTTTACCATCATGCTTTAAAAAAATATATCATCAAAAAACCCCGCTAAATTTCGCTATTTATAATCCCTAATAACTCCTGTATAGTCGTCCCACAGTATACTTTTACATCTGACACTAGATGACACTCTGTCAGAAAAGTCCAGTGGTTGGGAATGAGCTGTTTACAGTGTCTGCTATAACGTTAATGTTGTTTTCATGTGTTTACATAGATGAATACGGCCTCGGTGTAAATGCACAGTACAGTTACGAGCTTATTGCCACATTGTATGGTTATGATATTGTGGCCTTCAGTGATTTCCTGAAGATAAACACCAAGAAATAACACAACTAGAATAACTACAGCAAATGCAATCGTCTGATTTCATAAGAGATGGCGATGACACATGATGACGTGTGCAGGTGCTGTAGTGCTGTTCCAATTCTTAGGGGTAAATTTTAAAGCCCTTCACACTCTGTTTAAAGGGCCAAGGGGAAGGGGTACAACAATAGAATTGGGATTACGCCTTAGTCAACGGTTTTCAGCTTTCTTCAAAACATCTTCTTTAGTGTTCAACAGGAGGAAGAAACTCATACAGGTTTGCACCAAGATAAAAAAGTGAGTAAATGACAGAATTTTCACTTTTGGTTGAACCATCCATTTAGTAACACTGACCAAGTCAAATGGAGAGAAATATAGCGAATATTAGGATTCAATGGCTCAGTTAATCCTTACATACAACATTGTAGTGCATAGTATGTCGAAACCAAAGAAACCGCTTGTTACGAGTGACGTCATGCAAATACCAGGTCCAATCGCTATATCAAATTGTATGTGGAGGCTCAACAAAGGGTAATAATAAACGTTTACAAAGCGATTTAATACTTTCGAAAATCACAATCGGTGTATATATCCATGCCTAATATCAGATAGCCAGAAAGTGATCAATTTTTTATTCATTCATTCATTTTCCTTTGGCCTAGTCCCTTTATTTATCAGGTTTTTCCACAGCGGAATGAACCGCCAACTTATTTAGCATTTGTTTTACACAGCCCTTCCAGCCGCAATCCAGCACTGGGAACGAAATAGTATGAAAAACAAATACTAAGTCACAGGTGCCAGGTTTGGAGAGTGAGTAAAAGACAGAATTTTCATGTTGAACCATCCCTTTAGTAGCGAAGACCAAGTCAAAGGGAGAGAAAGCGAGTTAACAAATACTACAACTCAATGGCTCATCAATTAATCCTTACATCCAACATAGTAGTGCATAGTATGTTCGAAACCAAAGAAACCGTCACGCAAAGCAGCTTCTGGATCCAAGAGCTCTATCAAATTGTATGCGGAGGCTCAACAAATGGTAATAATAAACGTTTACATATCGATGTAATACTTCGAAAATCACGATCGCTAAATATTTATATATATACATGCCTAATATTAGATGGCCAGAAAGTGATTAATTTTTTTATTCATTCATTAATTTTGCTTTGGCTTGGTAGCTTAAAGGGTCACGAAACACCAAAACACATGTGTTAAGCTGTTGACAGTGGTATATGTGTCCCACACTGGTAAAAACACTATTAGGACACCTATATTTCACTAAAAAGTGTAAATTGGTTGTTTTTGCGTTATTTCAAGCAAATTCGTACTTCCGGTTTGAAACGATTTTTTGAAGCTGCGTCACGGTCATGACATAATAGCGTGTATTCCAGCGTGCAGACTGGACGTCTGTGCCAGAGTGTGTCTTATTACGTCTTACAGTGTGCTGCATTAATGCATGAGTAAGGCTTGGTTCAAACCAATCAGCGCGCTCTATTGTGCAACTTCATTAATATTCATTACTGTCAGAGTGTAGACGGCAGAGACGCCACGTTGTGTTGGCAAAACAAGCGTGAAGTGTTGCTTTTTATAGTTTGCTGCAGTTAAGTTTAGTTTTCATTTTCTCTCTGTGAGAGCTCAGACTCACGTGTGGATTAACAGTGTACGCAACATGACACGCGACAACAATAACTTGCGTGTCCAAGGAGGATTATTATTTACCTGAGAGCTGTTCTCATCTGCAAACTCTGAGATCCAGATTCGCTTTAGTCTCCTCTTAATAAAGACGTGGCTCTAGTTGCTGGTGATTGTCCTGTCTCTACAGATTTGGTAAGTGAGCGACCAGTGCTCTTTGTTTATTCAGTTCGTATTTTATTCGTATCAAACAAACTATTGCAACGAGTGTAAACAAGTTAGCACTAACAGTTACAACCAAACTATAACCTTGTGTTGGATTTTGTGACCGGAATAACACACGCGGCTTTCTGACACTACCTGCCGTGTGCATCTAAGTTTCCAGGAAATGCAGAGTTTTTTTTCTCTCATTCGCTGTGCGGTAACAAACATTGCATGAAAAATACACGCTTAGAGCAGTTCCTTGAATCAAATATCACGTTTGTCAGGAGGGACATGAATGAATTCCCTGAATGAAAGAGCCAAACTGCAGTTAAAGTCCCCCATTTAATAATCTGGCAAATAATTCGACTACAGATGTCCATGTAAACACAGTCACATTGTCCGCTGTGGTTGTGTGTTTTGACTCTGAAATTCAGCGCGCCCAAATAGACACTCCCACACCAAGCATATTTTCTTCCTCCGACACTCCCCCCTAAACAGAGCTGGACACGCCCACTTTTCTGACTTTTTCCAAAGTAGAGGTGTGAAAACACCCTGCTGAAACGAGGGGGTTTCATGGCCCTTTAATCATCAGGGGTCACCACAGCGGAATAAACCGCCAACTTATCCAGCATTTGTATTAAGCGGTGGATGTCCTTCCCAGTACTGGGAAACACCCATACACACTCATACACTATGGCAAATTTAGTTGATCAGTTCCCCTATAGCGCATGTGTTTGGACTGTGGGGGAAACCGGAGCACCTGGAGGAAACCCACGACAACACGGGGAGAACATGCAAATTGGCTTGCACCGTTTACCGATACTATGGTAGCATTGAGATACTATGGCTCCAAAATACTCGCATTGCTGCTGTAGTTTGTAAACGGTAGTATCGTCATTAGCGATCTATCTACAAATCACAATGTTGCATGTGGAAAAAGTGACTAAAACGTTCACACGTTTGTGCAACAATAAATCATTTTATTTTAATAGTCTGTGGAGCACTTTAAGGTCGCAAAACTGTGTAGAATTCACGCCTTTTAAGGTAGCCTATTGCAAGTTTTCTGATGTTTCAGTTCGAACGTACATCGGTTCATCTCTGTTCCTGTTAATATGATTTAGTAGCTACAACAACCGCGACAATCTCTTAAAAAGAACGACTCTCAAAGTGAAATTTTGAATACATGATAAGACAAAATATAGATAAAAAAACAAAATAGCAAGAAGAAAACATTTTAAAAATTAGCCATATAGCCTAATTTTGTTGGAAAAATACGATTTTTAGAACGAATTTCGTTTGGTGTAATTTGTACCTTTATTTTAATGTATTTTTTGTTGGTCAGTTATCTACAAAATAGTTTAGGTGAAGTGACTTGCAAACACTTTTTTCAGTAATAAGGGAATTCCAAATGAACTTCAACTAGGCCTATTATAACATATAAAATATAGTATTTCTGAATATTCAACTTTATTTCATAGATTTGAGTATCGCAATGCTACTTGGTATCACGATACTTCAGCTGGTATAGTATCGTAATGTAAATTAGAGAAAATTTACAAACTAATTTCGAAAGCAGCATGTGATATGATTGACTGCAGCTGGTCACCCATCTACATTCATAAGTTAGCAAATCAGATTAATCCTAACTCACTATAACTAGCCTAGCTAGATCTACTCCCTCATCTTCGTTTTCCGAAGAAACCCCCCATTCACCCCTTTACCACAGGGGAGCTCTCAAGAACCGCCTGATCTCGTACTCCCCTGACGGAGCCCTGGGCTCAGCTATCTCCAAGCTCAGGGTTCTCTCCCGGGACAGCATGCCAAACCTGCTAACATTTGTCAAAGAATATCTAAGTGTGAACTCTTGAAATGTTATCGCAACAACCCTGCATCCAACGCCAACTGACCCAGCCCGGGCTCGAACCAGCGACTTTCTTTGGCCCCAGTGCTAACTAATCGATGAGCCACCGTGTCGCTCCCCCCTATATTTTTTGAACATAGTTAAAATATTGCTGTAAAATTCACTTTAATGTGTTATATGACTAAAATAGGGGACATAAACGAATATTTTAGCAGGTTGGACCTGGACACAGTATTTCAAACGTCACGACTTAGCAAGCGGATATTCTTTGTGTGTGTGTGCTTTTCTTCCACTTTACTTTAGGCTCACTTAATCCCTCCTCAAGAGTGTCCCAAGAAGTGCTCTTACTTTACAGACACCTAAAGACGTCCGCACACCCAACCATGAGCACGGGCCGGAGGAGTGCATGTCCGTCCAGTAGTTTAACATATTAGCTGGTGTGGTATGATGGACGGACACCATCGTCTGGTAGCAGCAGCGGCTGTACGGTACGGCCGGTCCTCCAGAGAAGAATGGAGAATGGGTTGGATTGATTCCTGCGGTGTGAGCACAAATCTCTACAAACACATCCTCCGGGGGCAAAGGTTTGGGTAGATTTATGGCAACCGCAGCTAGGGACAGCTTTAGCAAAGCTGAGTGAGAAAGCACATACGCCGTCCCACTGCAGTAATCCGGGAGGACCATCCCAGCGTATGCAGTCTCCGACATGAAGTGTCTGCTGGCGGGATTGCGATCGGGTGCGACCTGCATATGAACACGACCTAAATAAAGCTCAAGAAGTTCGCTCTCGTCTCTTTTAAAGACTCTTCGATTAGTTCTTTTCCAATAACCGGGTCTGTTGGTTGACCTACAACGAAGAGGGTCATGACCCGGTGACCTCTGACGTGCACTTCCCCACCCCAAGTGTCCCGGATTGCCTGGCGAGCCTTTCTATTAGGAGGTGCAGTTGCTACTAAAGTGATGAGGTAGGGTTTGGCACGTTCGCACACGTGGATGCTAGGCATCAGCAAGAACTCCTCAGATCGGGTTGGAGGAACACTGTGTGGAAGAACCACCCCTTGAGGACTTTCCAATCGGCTCATCCCCAGCGCAGTCACCCATAATTCAATGACGTCAACGAAGAGGAAAGCAAGCAGGGAGCCACAGAAGACTATAATGAGGAGGTAATGGATGATCCCCAAATGGCCTCCTCGCTTCCCGAAGTGAGCTTTGCATATCCTGACACTATACCCCACCATTTTTACCATTGTTTGGGGTGTGGATGTAGCCGAATGTGTTAAATTAGATCCAGTGAAAGGATAAAATCTCCAACGCAAGATGTCCAGTTCAGGATGCACCAACTGCAAGAGTAAAACAAGAGAGTGGTTAATAATAAATATGTTATTGTCAATATATTGTAGTGGGTTTATAGAGACATTTATTTCCATATTTATTCTGCTGTGCAAATACAGATTTATTAGAGTTTCTATGCTCATTTTTTTTATTGGAGTTTCTATGCTGGTTTTCTTTTTATTGGAGTTTCTATGCTGGTTTTTCTTTTTATTGGAGTTTCTATGCTGGTTTTTCTTTTTATTGGAGTTTCTGTGCTGGTTTTTCTTTTTATTGGAGTTTCTTTAGGAGAATTATAGAGGAACTTTTATTATGTAATCACTATATAATCACTGTATAATCCGCCACTATTAAAATACACTGTTAAAACATATAGAAATACATTCAAGTGATGCAGAGCAAAACACACAGAAGTAAACAGCGGTGAAGTAAGACCATTCAGACAGCATATGCAACACGTATTGATGTATTGACCATGACAAAAACAACTTAAAAACAACTTTGCTCAACCTGCATGGCAATAGCATGCATAGGGAGAATCATTTAAAAAGTGTTGAAATATGACCTTTAAGATGTGCAAAAACAGAAAAACATACAGCCATCAATATAAAGGCTAGAATCCTATTGGAGCCTGGAAATAACGTGATGCTCATGCTACACCACTGTTTCATGATGACTATAGGAAAAACGTGTATATAAACTGTGGGTTTTGGAACATTTGTAGGAGAGTGATCGATCGACCAACTCTACTGTAACAATAAACTGCTTCAACTTGACAACTTTGAAGACCTCAGCCTCTTTTTTGAAACTTAGAAGATGTTTGTCGAGATCCAGCGCAACTTTCCACAACATAATTTGGCGCCCAACGTGGGGCTGGATTGAGGGTGGTCGAAAGAAGGTGTCAATAGGGCCGATCCTTGGCAGACACTCACGCAGAGACCAAAAAGCGCACAGATTAAAAAAGGTGAGCAAATTTTTGCTTTATTTTGGTTCTCTGATGAGTGTACTGTGGGGTGGACCAGACGCCTGAACTTGACAATAAAAAATACCTCACCATTAAAAAGAACCTTTGAATTGGCTACATTTATTAAAAGAACGATAAAGTAAATGATAAAGTAATAAAAGTATAGTGAAGTGAACTATTTATAAGAAAAAGAGGTCTTTCAGGTTGTCAAGGTATGTGATTGTACTAACAAATGGCTGTAAATTATGCACTAACTAATAGCTTTGTATTATATACTAACAAATGGCTGTAAACATATGCGTATGAAAGAGAGGTACATGCATGAATTGCTACGCGAGAGGCGTGAGCGGAACGCGCGGAGGCAGCGCTAGGGGTCGCTCTTTATAGATGTAATCAGAGAAAAGGAGCGCTCCGCGTCTCTGTACCCGCCTGTGGATTGAGTAAGACTCTCCCGATAGGGGCAGGGAAATTGGGAGGAGGCCTTTAATCTGATTCCAAAAGCACCTATAGGGAGGGCTGGATCTCAGTGAACTGACCTGTGTAAGTCTTGTTAGTCTATATGTTGTGTTTTATGTGGGTCTGGACCAAAGTGAATGGGGAAATTTTTTCTTACAATTCCTAGAAAAGAGGATTGAATAAGAAAGCATATAATGCGAAATCTGTGAATGAGGATGCATGTGATGAGAGAATTGAATTTAAAGCATGAGTAGGGTGTGTGCTTAAGGATGTTGAGTGTTAGAGAGAAATTTCTAAAGGTGTAGTGTGAGAGAAAGTTAGTATTATTATTAAGAGAATAAAATATAGATAAAAATATGAATTGATTAGAGAATGAATAAAAATTGCACATGCTGTGCTGGAGGGACAAAGCAAACAAAGTGGCCACAACAATTAAGAAAAGCAGTTTTGCATGTAAAAAAAAAGTTTGGTTTGTCTCCCAGGACCTGCTTGTGATGGTAAAGACACTTCAACTGTTCCCCCAAATTAAAATAAATAAAAGTAATGAAGGGAGGTTTGAATTCTAGATAAAAAAGAATAGTTTGCATGCAAATGATCTGTGTCTGTTTGTTAAGAGGCCTTGATAGCTACAGACGTTAACTAGTAACTGTTACTCAGATTTGGGAAGTTATTTAATGATGATATACATAGAACAGATATATTTCAAGAGTGAGTTCTGAATGTGTGGTGACAGTTAAGAGATTAAAAGCAGATTGGATTATAGAGATGTGCACAAGGAAATTCCTATAGTTATCGCTTTAGTATTGTGTGTGTCTGTGTTTGTGTGAATGGTTGTGTAAAATTCCATATTAGTGGACAAGCAGAGCCGCCCTCCTGCACCATCCCTTAAATAGAGCATGGCAGAGTTGGACGCTCTCTGTGTTACACTGAGAGGAATGAATGACTGAATGAGCCCTGTAGATATAAAGGGACAAATGTTGAGTGAATGAGTCCTCTAAATGTGAAGGACTAGAATGTGAGAGTGTGTTTAACTGTTTGTGTTTAGTAGTTTGTTTGTGATAAATAGTGAAATAAAATAATCATCATTGTAGAATATAGTATAAAGATGGACTGCAAATATTGTGTGATATAGAAGAGGTATATGATATATATTGGAAAAATATAGAATAGACTGATACAGTTTAAGGAAGAGATTATAATATTTAGGAAATAAATAAATTTTGTTCAAATAGAAAGATATAAAGAAATATATTAAATTAAAGCTGCAAGCAGCGATGATAGGGACCTCGCACCCGGGCTCACCGCCGCCCGGTGGCCTCAGGATGACAGAGAACAGCGAACAATATTAATTTAAGCCATTATATTTAAAAAATCTGAGAAAATCACCGATTTATGCCAAACCTCCTCCTCTCAGCAGGTGGCGCTATGACTGTGACTCAAGATTGGCATGTAGATGTCACCAGGAGAGGAATCTTATCAAACATGTGAAGTTTCAGGCAGATCGAACATTGTTTAGCTGAGTTATAAGCCAAACTGCCTTTTGTCAGCAGGTGGCGCTACGACAGACTCAATGTTGTTATGTAGATGTGTTCAGGAGAGGACTTTTATCAACCATGTGAACTTTCAGGCAGATCGGACTTTGTGTGGTTGAGTTATAATGCAAACTACCAACTGCCAGCAGGTGGTGCTATAACTGTGACTTAAGATTGGCATGTAGATGCCTTCAGTAATGGAATTTAATCAACCATGTGAAGTTTCAGGCAGATCGGATGTTGTTTGGCTGAGTTATAAGCCTATCTACCTTCTGCCAGCAGGTGGCGTTATGACTGACTCATTACTGTTTTGGGGATGTGTTCAGAAGAGGACTTTTATGAGCCATGTGAAGTTTCAGGCTGATCTGACTTTGTGTGGTTGAGATATAAGGACTTTCTGTTCCACGGCGAAGTGTTGAGGTTTGTCATGCCGCCACGGACACGCCCCTCTGCAAAAACTCTAGATCTTGACAATATATCATCACTTAAGCTTTCAGATAACAACCCACCAAACTTGGTGCTGATACAAAAAAAATAGTGGAAGGAGTTTATTACTCTGTAAATCATGACATTTCCTGTGGCCAGCAGGTGGCGCTATAACTGTATCTGGATATTGGCATGTAAACGTGTTCTGGTCTGGACTCTTATTAAACATGTGAATTTTGAGGCAGATCGGATAATGCATGCCTTAGTTATAATGACTTCCGGTTTTGTGGCGAATCGTCAAAGTTTGCGGGGCCACCACGGACACGCCCATCGACAAAAACTATAAAGCTCCGCAATTTAACATCGCCAAGGCCTTTAGATGACAAAACTCAATTTTGGTGTCGATAGCATAAAATCCCTAGGAGGAGTTCGTTAAGATACAACGCCTGGAAATGGCAAAAATGCCACTTATTTGCAGCAGGAAGTTAAAAATATCCGACTTCCTGTTGGGTTTGAGATATGGCTCCAAGAGACTTTTTCGTATGTTTTGGCGTGTTTGAGGTGTGTGCCAATTTTCGCGCATGTGCGTGATTCGTAGATCAGGGGCTCGTCCGTTTAATTTTTCTAGGTGGCGCTGTCGAGTCATTTTGCCACGCCCACTTCAATATTGTTATGTGGATGTGTTCAGGGGAGGACTTTTATCAACCATGTGAAATTTCAGGCTGACCGGACTTTGTGTGGTTGAGTTATGAGGACTTCCTTTTCCATGGCGAAGCGTTGAGGTTTGTCATGGCGCAACGGACACGCCCCTCTCCGAAAACTCTAGATCTTCTCAATATATCATTGCTAGAGCTTTCAGATAACACAACCCAAATTTGGTGCTGATTCGAAAGAATTTGTGGGAGGAGTTTGTTACAGTGTAAAACATGTCATTTCCTGTGGCCAGCAGGTGGCGCTATAACTGTATCTGGATATTGGCATGTAAACGTGTTCAGGTCAGGACTCTTATCAAGCGTGTGAATTTTGAGGCAGATTCGATAATGCATGCCTGAGTTATAACGACTTCCTGTTTTGTGGCGAATTGTCAAAGTTTGCGTGGCCGCCACGGACACGCCCATCGACGAAAACTCTAAAGCTTCGCAATTTACCATCGCCAAGGCCTTTAGATGACAAAACCCAATTTTGGTGTCGATCAGATAAAATCCCTAGGAGGAGTTCGTTAAAATACAACGCTTGGAAATGGCAAAAACGCCACTTTTTCGCCGCAGGAAGTCAAAAATATCCGACTTCCTGTTGGGTTTGAGATATGGCTCCAAGAGACTTTTTCGTATGTTTTGGCGTGTTTGAGGTGTTTGCCAATTTTCGTGCATGTGTGTGATTCGTGGATTGGGGGCTCGTCTGTTTAATTTTTCTAGGTGGCGCTGTCGAGTCATTTTGCCACGCCCACTTCCGAGACCCATATCAACCTGCTATTTACACCGGGTTTGGTGTGTGTGCAAATTTTCATGAGTTTTCGGGCATGTTTAGACCCTCAAAAGTGCCCCGATAGGGGGCGGAATAATAATAATAATAATAATTAAAGCTGCAAGCAGCGATGATAGGGACCTCGCACCCAGGCTCACCGCCGCCCGGT